AGATATGTTTCCGCTAACGTGATAAGAAAACCTTCGTAGCGATGAAAAGTAAGTCCAGATGTCGAGCGTTTGAAAGAATTTCGTGTGTGCGCTTGAAAAGCACTCCGAAGGGTCTACTTTCTGTGAGTGACGAAATTGGAATGAATTGGTGGATGGAAGCCAAATGCAGAAATTTGTACCCTCGTCGCGTCGCTAATTCTGCGCGTCGCACATTGAAAAAGTGCTCAAATTTCGAAATGACTCGGCAAGCAGTCAACAGGTGCGTCCGACCAAGAAGCTGCAGCCACATGGACAACCGAACTGCCATGTCAACGCCAAGAAGAAACGAGTCAACCGTACTCTTCATTCTCGGCGAGGGGAAGATTTCAACAGCCGGCGTTTCCCGCCCGCCGTCATCCCGTACGTGCCGGATGAAACGAAACGAGAAGACATGCAGAATCCTCGATACATGATGTTTCGGTGTTGAGTAATTTCACCTGACAGCTAACCTCACAAACATAAGAAGGCAACATGATCCATGTTTTCCAGTATGAACAGCTACAAAATGCCAGAAGGTGATACTCTAATACAGAAAACTCAAACCCCCTACAGAGCTAACCAGCTTTTGCTGGGGTGGATGACAACATAGGATTTATATACGTCAATTACAACAATGCACATCCTCCATACTTGACCAATTCAAACCCCATCCCAACACAAATCTATTGCTATTTGTGTTACCGTATGTTTGTTAACCCAAGCCAGGACACTATATTTTTCTTTACAGCTGAGCTGCAAATATCTGCACAAATCCTCATCTGTTCCAATTGAACTGTAGATTCCCAAGGTTGCTGAAACCTCCCCCTCCACCTCCGGCCCCTCCACCCCCCATCATCCCCTCATGCCCCATTCCCACTTGCTCTTGCATCTGCAGCCCTGCTTGCAGTGCTCCTGCTGCCACAGCAGCAGAACCGCCCACCCCTGCTGCTCCCATACCTAGATTCCCCACACCTCCACCAACCAAACCTGCCGCTGCAAGCCGGTCGAGCGACCCCAAGCCTCCAACCAAGCCTACATTCCCGCCAACCATACCTGCTGCTCCCAATCCACCTCTAAACCCACCAGCACCAGCGTCACCCATACCCGCCCCTAAACCCCCACCGACGAGAGCAGAATTAGGCATAGACGCACCTGAATCCATCAAACCGGCAACACCACCACCACCAGCACCACCATCCATCACATTCTCAAACCTCCCCAGGTCTGCAATGTTGGCTCCTAGGCTCGCCAATCGCTCAGCCAAAGCCGCCCCTCGCATCCCTCCCAAACCTCCTCCCACGCCTCCGCCCGAAGGTCCGGCCAAGCCTGCAGCAGAAGCCAGACCAGCAAAGTTACCAGCAGCCCGAACCATTCCCCCTGCTGCTCCTCCCAATCCGTCTGACAGCATATCCCCACCACCCATCACCCCTGCCCCTCCCACACCCCCCACACCAGCGGCACCGCCAGCACCAACACCAGCACCACTTCCCACCATTCCCAACCCAGCCAGGTTGGTGACCCCCATGCTCCTGAGCCGAGCAGCCATTGCCGCCACTCTGCTGCCTGCAGGACCCATCGCAGATACACCTCCCCCAGGCCCACCTCCCCCTGCTCCACCCACCCCTCCCAGGCCTCCTAGGCCTGCCCCCACAACCCCATGACCGCCCATACCTCCTCCCATCCCCCCTTCAGCCGCTCCTTCTCTCAGCATCCCTGCCGCCGCCGCTGCTGCTGCCATGCTAGCAGCAGTGCCAGCACCGGCAAGCCCAGCCCCCCCAGCAGCAGCACCACCAGTGGCAGCGGAAGCAGAGGCGGCAGCAGCGGCCTGGGCAGCAGCGCGGTTGAGCATGACCTGCTGCATCAGCTGCTGCACTGCACTCTGTGCCTCTGCCCCTCGTAGCCCCTCCAGCTTCCCTGCCTGCTGCAGCAAACTCACTGCCACGTTTCCTGCAGCTGCCGCTGCTGCCGCTTGCGATGCTGCTCCTCCCCCCATCCCTGCACCTCCACCCATGCCCGCCCCCACTCCACCTCCCCCTCCTGCTGCCGCTGCAGCGGCTGATCTGCTTGCTGCTGCAGCTGCTGCTACTGCTGCTGCGTTGCCCATTCCTCCAAAATTCACACTGCCAGCGGCACCAGCAGCACCTCCCCCTCCTCCTCCCCCACCGCACACACTGCCGCTGTTGCCACTAACCCCCTGCGCGGCAGCTGCTGCGGCTGCTGCTGCCGCTGCTCTTTCCATCGGATTTCCCTGTGACACTGACTGCTGGTGCTGCTGGTGCTGCAGCTGTTGCAGCTGCTGCTGCTGGTGTTGCAGCTGTTGCTGTTGCTGTTGCTGCTGCTGCTGTTGCTGCTGCTGCAGTTGTTGCTGCGACTGCTGCTGGCGAAGATTAGCAAGGGCTTTGATCTGAGCCTGTCGAGCCATCAGCGTGGCAACTCTATTCGCCATGCCTCCACCCCCACCCACGCACCCAGCACCAGCACTCTGCTGCAGCATGCTCTGGAGCCCACTCAAAGTCATCCCGCCTCCTCCTCCTGCTCCTCCTCCTCCTGCTCCTCCTGCCGCTCCCCCTCCACCACCCATACCAGCACCACCACCGCCACCGCCCCCGCCACTCATTGCTGATGCTGCCCCGCCTGCCCCATAGCTCCCTGCTCTCGCCATCACCCCACCATTCGCCCTCCCCCCTGCGCCCATTCCCCCCCCACCAGGGCCACCGTCCCCACCTCCACCCCCCCCTGCTGCTGCTGCAGACGCAGCAACGGCCTGCTGCCAGGAAGCTTCCTGGTGAGACACGGGAGGAGACATGAGTGCTGCAAACTCGCCCACAGCCCCCTGCCCAGCTGCTGCTGCCCCATCCATTCCCGCACCAGCACCACCAGCACCAGCAGCGAGACTTTCAGCTCCCATAGCCTCAAGCTCTTGGTTCCTCCCCATGCCAAACCCCCCTGCTGCTGCAGCTGCAGCAGCTGATCCCATCACCCTGCCCCCAGGCCCGCCCATACTCCCACCCATGCTCCCCCCTACACTGCCAGCGCGGGTGAACCCGCCCATCCCCTTCCCTCCTCCCCCTGCGCCTCCTGCGCCCCCTGCGCCCCCCATTCCGCCCATGCCCGCGCCAATCCCTCCCCCCATGCCCCCCATGGCCCCGCCCACAGAGCCAGACAGAGAGTTGACAGAGGTGGAGTGTCTGAGCCTTGGGGGACCCAGAGGCGCGCCCGCTGTGCTACCAGCTGCTGCTGCTGCTCCCCCTCCTCCCCCTCCTCCCCCGCCTCCCCCTCCCCCACCTGCTCCGCCTGCTCCCCCTCCCTCCCCCACTCCTGCCCCTGCTGCTCCTCCCGCCCCGCCCCCAGCAGCACCATCAGCGTGCATACCCCCAGCCTCCCTCTCCCCTGTACTGTCCGCTCTAGACATTCCCCTCCCGCCCATACCGCCAGGCCCTGCCCCTCCCCCCGCCCCCCCTCCTGCCCCCAGGGATCCCATGAGGGCGGAGATCTGGGCGGCACTGCTCATTCTCAGGGCGGCAGCTGCTGCTGCCACTGTTGCCGCCCCTGACCCCTGCCCTGCTCCCATGCTCTGCGCTCCAAAGCCTTGTGCCCCTCCCCCTCCCCCTCCTGCTGCTGCTCCTGTGCCCGGGGATAAAGAGCTTTGCACCTCCTGCTGCTGCTGCTGCTGCTGCTGCTGCTGTTGCTGCTGCTGTTGCTGCTGTTGCTGCTGCTGTTGCTGCTGTTGCTGCTGCTGTTGCTGCTGCTGCTGCTGCTGCAATAGCTGCTGCTGAAGGTGTTGCAAGGGAGACCGTGGGGGGAGGTTTCTCTGCTGAGGGGGAGGCAATGGCGGCAAACCCTGCCCCTGGTGCTGCTGGCCCCCTCCCATTCCGCCCATCCCCCCTGCTCTTCCCCCCACCACTCCTATTCCCCCCCCACCCTCAGCCATGAGCTGTGAGGTGGGAGTGACGGCCCTTACCTCGTCCCTCCCCTGCCCCATGCCCTGCTGCTGGGGGCTCCCTCCCTCCTCCTGCTGCTGCCCCATCGAATGCTGCTGCCCCTGCTGGCCCATAGAATGCTGTTGCTGCCCCACCACCTGTTCAGTAACCAGACCGAGCTCCCCTCCCCCCTGCTGCCCCCCTTGCCCCTGCTGCCCCTGTTGCTGCTGCTGTGCCTGCATGCGCATCTGCTGCTGATGCTGCTGCTGCTGCAGGGGCGGCAGGCTAGGCTGCTGCAAGCCGTGCTGCTGAATCGAGTGGTCGGAGGCGCATGGGGAGGGGGGCGTGGGCTTGAGGCGCGGAAAGGAGTTGAGGCTCTCTGCAGGGTCGTGGGTTCCAGGAGGGTAGGGAAAAAAGAGAGAGGAAGGGAGGGGAACATGGGAAGGGACGAACGGGTGAGGGATAGGAAGGGGGAACGGGACGGGGGGGTGAGAAGGGGGGATGGAAGGAAGGGGACATAAGTAGGGGCATGGCGTAGCGAGAAAACGTGGCGAGACTATCTGGAGCATGTGCTCTCAAACTAAGAAAACGGGTAGAAAGCTGCAAGCTCGGTTCGACCGACCTGACTAATCTGAGAGGTACTAAAAACACTGAGTACTAGGCGAGAAAACGTGCCGAGACTATCTGGAGCATGTGCGTAGAAGGGAGGCGAGGGTAAATGTCAACATCACACTTCACAAACCGTACAGGTGGCAGCATACCAACGGGAGGTGGCGACTCACCAAAAGCACAGGTGGCGACAATGACATACCGATGGGTCCGATCCGATGTTGTGCTCTCGGCTGTACTTGACCAGGTCCTTCATGCTGTTGTTGCTGCTGCTGCTGTTGCTGCAACACACCAACGGTACAGCTGTGGACACTGCAGTGATGATACAGGTGCCAACAACTCACCTATGGGTCCGATGTTGTGCTCTCGGCTGTAGTTGACCAGGTCCTTCATGCTGTTGACCACCTCTGATATCTGCCATCCCATGGGTGATAAATAGATAAATAAAAAATCGGTTGACCACCTCCGATATTTGCACATGGCGTGCCATTGACGGGCGTGGCAGTCAAGAGCGTGACAATAACGAGGGTGGGGGGGCATAGGTAGGGGGGTCCAGCGTAATATTATGACTACAAACCCTGTAGCATCTCATACCACCCAATAACACCTCATAGCACCTCAACGCACCGCACAGCAACACCCACTGATCTGCAAGCAGCGCACGTAGCATTTGGTGAAATTCTAGTCATTGCCTATCGGCAACTGATAGCACCTGAGATCACCCTACAACACCTCATGGCACCCTACAGTACCGCATAAACACCACACAGCACCGCATAGCACACCTGCAGGCAGCGCACATAGCACTTGGTGAAGCCCAGGTCGTTGACTGTTGGCGCGTCCAGCTTGTGAGTCAACTCGCGGCACATGGTGGCGAAGCTGGGGAGGGGGGGGGAGTGGGGAGAGGGGGAAGTGGGGGGGGGGGGAGGGGAGGGATGAGGAGGAATGAGGGAAGCGGAGGGGCCTTGCGAGTCAGCTCCCGACACATGGTGGTGAAGCTGGGGAAGTGGGGGTGTAGGGAGAGCTGTTGAAGGGGACACAAGTAAGAGCGAGCGAGAGCCGTTTTTCACATTTTTTTAGACAGAGGCACAGAGCATACAAGGGCGAAAACACACACGGTTCTGAAAACTGAAAGAGGAGGTACAGGGAGAGGGTTAGGCAGAGCGGGAGGGAATGCTTACGTGGCGCAGTGGGAGTGGAGCTGGTTGGGCGTGAGGGACCCTGGCAGGTGGTTCTGAAACTTGAAGGCGAGATCCGCCAGTCGACTCACCTGCAAGTAAGTGAGGGAGCGAGGGAGGGAGGCAGGGAGGGCGGGAGGGAGGGAGGGAGGGAGGGAGGGAGGGAGGGAGGGAGGGAGGGAGGGAGGGAGGGAGGGAGGGAGGGAGGGAGGGAGGGAGGGAGGGAGGGAGGGAGGGAGGGAGGGAGGGCGGGCGGGAGGGAGGGAGGGAGGGAGGGAGGGAGGGAGGGAGGGAGGGAGGGAGGGAGGGAGGGAGGGAGGGAGGGAGGGAGGGAGGGAGGGAGGGAGGGAGGGCGGGAGGGAGGGAGGGAGGGAGGGAGGGAGGGAGGGAGGGAGGGAGGGAGGGAGGGAGGGAGGGAGGGAGGGAGGGAGGGAGGGAGGGAGGGAGGGCGGGAGGGAGGGAGGGAGGGAGGGAGGGAGGGAGGGAGGGAGGGAGGGAGGGAGGGAGGGAGGGAGGGAGGGAGGGAGGGAGGGAGGGAGGGAGGGAGGAGTGGATGGGAGGGAAGGGGAGGCGGGGACAGCGGGGACATAGGAAGACGAACTAACCGATGCCAGTCAGCGCAACGTGGTAGTGGAGACACAGAGGTGCCTTCAACGCTTCTGGGTGACAGTGGTGGGGGGTGGGGCTCACCTGCTGCAGCACGAGGCGGCGCGGCACGAGCTCCTCGTGGTTCTGCGTGCAGAACTCCCAGAGGGTGATCTGCGGAGGGGCATGGGTGAGAGGGCGTGGGGGGGAGGGCATGGGGGGGAGGGCATGGCATGGGTGGGTTGAGTCAGCTCAAAACACGAGCTCCTCGTGGTTCTGCGTAGAGAACTCACACAGGGTGGTCTTTAGAAGGGCATGGGCGGGATGAGAAGGGCGGGGCGAGACAGATGTTACTGTATGGCCTTCCACTGAATGACACGACATGGGCAAGACATGTGCATGGCATGGGCATGGCATGGGCATGGCATGTGCATGGCATGGGCATGGCATGTGCATGGCATGGGCATGGCATGTGCATGGCATAGGCATGGCATGGGCATGGCATGGGCATGGCATGGGCATGGCATGGGCATGGCATGGGCATGGCATGGGCATGGCATGGGCATGGCATGGGCATGGCATGGGCATGGCATGGGCATGGCATGGGCATGGCATGGGCATGGCATGGGCATGGGCATGGGCATGGGCATGGCATGGGCATGGCATGGGCATGGCATAGGCATGGCATAGGCATGGCATGGGCATGGCATGGGCATGGCATGGGCATGGCATGGGCATGGCATGGGCATGGCATGGGCATGGCATGGGGATGGCATGGGCATGGCATGGGCATGGCATGGGCATGGCATGGGCATGGCATGGGCATGGCATGGGCATGGCATAGGCATGGCATGGGCATGGCATGGCATGGGCATGGCATGGGCATGGCATAGGCATGGCATAGGCATGGCATGGGCATGGCATGGCATGGCATGGCATGGGCATGGCATGGGCATGGGCATGGGCATGGGCATGGGCATGGGCATGGGCATGGCATGGGCATGGGCATGGGCATGGCATGGGCATGGGCATGGGCATGGGATGGGCATGGCATGGGCATGGGCATGGGCATGGGCATGGGCATGGGCATGGGCATGGGCATGGCATGGGCATGGCATGGCATGGCATGGCATGGGCATGGGCATGGCATGGGCATGGCATGGGCATGGCATGGGCATGGGCATGGGCATGGGCATGGGATGGGCATGGCATGGGCATGGGCATGGGCATGGCATGGGCATGGGCATGGGCATGGGCATGGGCATGGGCATGGCATGGGCATGGGCATGGCATGGGCATGGGCATGGGCACGGCAATGGTGGTCCACCTTAAGGTCGGAGTTGAAGACGATCTTGAGCTTGCCCTTGCGCACCACCCTCAGCTGCTGCTCTTAAATCCATCTTCCCCTCCCCCCCACAACAACCTCACACACAGGCACACAGCTACCGCACCTTAAGGTCGGAGTTGAAGACAATCTTGAGCTTGCCCTTGCGCACCACCCGCAGCTGCTCAAACAGGCTCTCCTGGATGGCGTGGTCGTACTCCAATACCACGGCGCCACCTGGCAGCATGTACTCCGCGGGCAGGTCCGCATACAGCACCTCCTCCAGCACCCCGCTGTCGTACTTTATCTTGAACAGGCGGGGGAGCACCTCCATGGTCATCTCTGTGCAGTGTAACGAGTTGGCAACATAAGGAGGATGAATGGATATGAGTAAGTGAGGGAGGCCTCCCTGATAGTGCGCACACCCACACACACGTGAACTCACCGAAGCCGCGGCCAGGGCAGGCGCCACAGAGGTCGCAGGGCCAGATGTCCTGCGGGAAGACGCCGGCTGGCTGGCAGCTTGACTGACTGGCATGACGGCGACTAACACTGCCACCTGCCTGCCTGCCATGGATAATACGACACATCCCTCACTGCCTATTCATCACTCACCGAAGCCGCGGCCAGGGCTGGCACCGCAGAGGTCGCAGGGCCAGATGTCCTGCGGGAAGACGCCCGCGGGCTGGCGGCCGCTCCTGCCGTAGGAGGCAACACACCAGCGCTTGCGGGCATTCGGGGCGAAGTACTGCGCGACAAACTGACGCCAGAACTCCACGTTGTTATCCTGGAGGGAAAGGGGGGAGAGAGGGGATGGGTATGTGTGAGCAGGAAGGGACTACTGTGCGGACATTCGGGGCGAAGTACTGCGCGACAAACTGACGCCAGAACTCCACGTTGTTATCCTGGAGGGAAAGGGGGGAGAGAGGGGATGGGTATGTGTGAGCAGGAAGGGACTACTGTGCGGGCATTCGGGGCGAAGTACTGCGCGACAAACTGACGCCAGAACTCCACGTTGTTATCCTGGAGGGAAAGTGGGGGGAGGGGGGAGAGAGGGGGAGAGTATGTGAGCAGGAGGTACTGCGGGGCGTGCGGGGCGAAGTACTGGCCGACAAACTGACGCCAGAACTTTACATTGTTGCCCTGGAGGGGGGGATGGGGCAGGCGGAAGAGGGAGAGCGAGGATGTGAGCCAGTCCCATGCATACACACACAAACACCCATTTGACCCAGCCGAACACTCACCCACCCACAGCAACTCACAGCAGGGCGGCGGCGCTGGTGGTACATGAACTCCATGAGCTTGCGCACACACCCATCCACGTTGGCGGATCCGCCCACAGCAGGCAGCACACCATCCTCTGGCGACACGTCCACCACCACCGGCATCGCCATCGCTGCCGCTGCTGCTGCTGCCGCTGCTGCATCCTCTCCTCCTGCACTGCACGCCCCTTCCCCCTCGCGCTCGCCCTCACCGTCCCCGCCCACACCACCTTGTATCGCTCCTCCAAGCCCTCCTGGCCCCACTCCTACTCCTACTGCCCCGCCTGCTGCTCCTCCTACTGCTGCTCCTCGCCCTCCCACCCCGCCTATCCCTGCTGCTTGCGCGAGCTCCCCTGTCCCCTCATCTGTTACCATAGCCTCCGCAGCAATGCCAGGTAAACCTTCCCCGGTAGTACCTTCCCCAGCCATACCATCAGGGCCAGGAACACCAGCAGCCACAGCCCCAGCAGCAGCGGCGCCAGGACCAGCTGCACCGTGAGCCGTTGATTGACCGGCGCCTGCTGCATCCTGATCGTTGGATGCTCTACCAGCAGCAAGGGCGCCGCTGCCTGCAGCCTCTGCAAGAGCGAGCACTGGGAGATCAGGGCGGGCTCTTGACTGCGACTGGGCTTGGGCCAGTGCTTGTAGCTGAGACTGGCGCTGCCTCAACAGCTGCTCCAGCTTCTGCTTCTGCAGCTGCTGCAGCTGCAACTGCTGCAATTGCAACTGCTGCTGCTGTTGCTGTTGCTGCGGATGCGGATCCTGTTGTGATTGTCCTGCTGAGCTCTGTGCCTGCCCGTGCCCTTGCGCCTGATCCTGCTGCTGCTGTTGCTGCTGCTGTTGCTGTTGCTGCTGTTGCTGCTGCTGTTGCTGCTGCTGCTGTTGCTGCTGTTGCTGCTGCTGCTGGTTCCTGGCGCTGTTTAAGCTCTGCTGCCGTTGCAGCAAGAGCAGAAGCTGCTGCTGCTGCTGCACTTGCTGCTGGCTGCGAACCACCTGCTGGCTTCCCGCACTCTCCCCATCCTCGCCTTGCCCCTGCCCCGCTGCCTTCTGCTGCTGCTGCTGCTGCTGCTGCTGCTGCTGCTGCTGCTGCTGCTGCTGCTGTAGAAGCATCTGCTGTCGCAGAAGCAGCTGGGAAAGAGCATCAGATGGCCGCTGTGCGCCTGCCTGCTGCTGCTGCTGCACTTGCAGTTGCTGCTGCTGCTGGCGTTGTTGTTGTTGCTGCTGCTGCTGGTGCTGCTCCTGCGCCTCTGAGACCCTGTTCTGAGCAGTACCCTCTCTCCCCGCCTGCTCGCTTTGCTCCTTCGGCTCTTCCTTTGGCGCCTGACTCGACACACCCTGTGAATCCAAATGCTCGCTCTGCTGCTGCTGCTGTTGCTGCTGATTCTGTTGCTGCTGGTTCTGCTGTAGCTGCTGCTGCAGCTGCAGCTGCCGCTGCCTCAGAATCAGCATCTGCTGCTGAATGAGTTGCTGCTGCTGCTGCGTCTGAATCAGCTGCTGCCGTTGCGTCATATCCATCGACCCCTGCTGCCGCTGCTGCAGTATCAGCTGCTGCTGAAGCTGCTGCCGCCGCTCCTGAAGCTGATGGAAGAGCATCTGGTGCTTCTGCATCTGCTGCTGCAGCAACTCCTGCTCGTGCTCCCGATTCAGCTGCCTCTGCTGCTGTCCCGACTGCTGTTGCTGCCCTGGCTGCAGCTGCGGTTGTTGCTGCTGCTGATGCTGTTGCTGCTGTTGCTGTTGCTGCTGCTGTAGCTGTTGCTGTTGCTGCTGCTGTTGCTGTTGCTGTTGCTGTTGCTGTTGCTGTTGCTGCTGCTGTTGCTGTTGCTGTTGCTGCTGTTGCTGTTGTTGCTGCTGCTGTTGCTGTTGTTGCTGTTGCTGTGGCTGCTGCTGCTGTTGAGGTGACACGCGATGAGATTGCTGCTGCTGCTCCTGCGGTTGCGATTGTTGCTGTTGCTGCTGCTGCTGAGCCTCCTGCTGACCCTCCAGACCCTGTGGTGCTGACCCTCCTCCAGACCCTCCAGTCCTTGCATTCTGCTGCTGCTGCTGCTGCTGCTGCTGCTGCTGCTGCTGCTGCTCCCCTTCCTCCTGCTGGCCGGGCGATCCCGCATCAAGCATGCCGTCGCCATCCGCCGGCGCCTCTCCTCCAGACCCCCCCTCCTCCCCGTTCCCCCCCTCATTCTTCTCGTTATCCGCTCCACCTTCCCCCTCCTGCGCGTCACCCTCCGCGCCACCCTTCCCTTCCTGCGCATTCTCCCCCTGAGCGCCACCATTCCCCCCCAGAGGACTTTGCGCACTCCCAGTAACCTGCTTTTCGTGCTGCTGCTTCTCGCCATCCTTCGCCAACCCCTGATCGCCGGAATCGCCGTCATGTCCTGTCTCCGTTCCATCCCGAGCGTCCCTACCCTCCGCTCCGTCCTCTCCTCCCTCGTGGCGGCCGTTCTGCCCTTCCTCCGGTCCCTGCTTGGACGCTCCCTCTTGCCCCTTGCGCTGCTGCTGCTGCTGCTGCTGCATCTGAAGCCGCGTCAGGTGCTGGCGTCGCTCCTTCAGCTCAGCCTGGCTTTGCATCGGCGCGCTTCTCGGCCCGAGAACAGATCCTGACGGACCGGCAGGAGAGCCGGCGCTAGCAGGTGTAGCCGTCGCCATGTTGCCTTGGCCTGCGTCGCTCGATCCAGCGGACCCAGTCTCCTGGGCCCTCTGCATCAAAATCTGTCGCTTCTGCTTCGCAGTCAGATGCATTTCTTTTGTCGAATCCTTAACATTCGTTGGTCAATGTCAGAATGAGCACGAAATCCCGCACTCGTTTTTTTATAACAACCCAAAAATCGCATTTCTTCCGTCAAATCCCTCACATCCGTTCGTCGATGGCAGAACAAGCACGTCAATGTGCAAAAAAGTCGGCAACTAACTCCTCGCGCAATCGAGGGACTTCAATGTCAGCAGATTAACAGCTCAACCGGAAAGGATAAGCGTTCATAATGTCTGCGTTCATCTACATTTAGCAAGACGTCGAAACTTCAGGAGAAAGTGACGTTTTGAGTTGACTCAAGAGTCACAGGTATACGGCTAATCTGAAAAGAAGCCTGCATTATCCACATTGCGCAACGTCGCAATGTCGGACGAGGCGAGACAAACGTCCCAGACCTAAAAATGTCGCAACAGTGCTCGGTACTAAGCGATGACCCCAAACCTGAAACGTTACTAAGCTACAGTTCTTAGGGTTCCAAACTACACGGCGAAGCTAAAAAGTCTTGACGACGCGAAATGCGGAAAAAAAAAAAAAATCGATGCAGATAGCTTCAACTAGGAGACGAAGAGCTCCTTCAGATACGAAAGCTGTGCTAACTCGTAACTAGACGCCTTTTTTTTTGGAGCATTACGAGCTTCAACCCCATACTAAGAAGGGAAAATATGCCGTTCGTAACCATCATGGGACTCGAAAACATTTTTGGTAAAAAAATAAAGGGTACGGTCACTGCAAAGGGTGTTTTCACGCGACTGATAAAGCGTTTCACGGAATCAGTCACAATCAGCTGGTAAAAAAAAACGCGAATGGTCACAGATGAAACTCCCGCCAAAACAAAATGAAACCCAGAAAGAACCTGGATGCATTTTCGGATGATCAACCCTAAACACGTAACTCGCCAGGTGTTTAGGGTTGATCCGTTCCCAAACCGCTTCCGATTCCGATTGGGTTTTAGTTTTTTTACAAGTTAGCAGATTGGTTGGGCGCGAGCGGGAATTTTGTTGAGTTTCAAGTTTTTTTGGCGGGAGTTACATGTGTGACCATTCGCGTGATTCTTTACCTGTTGTTAGTGACTGAATCCGTGACCCCGCTTACCAAACCCGTCAGAAAACCCGATACAGTGATCGTACGCGTTTTTTTTTTACCATTCACGTTATCGAGTCCCAAGTTGGTTACTTGTGGCATATTCTCCCTACTAAGAACGTCACTGTATCAAGCAACTCCACGTGTATACGCTAACGTCAGAAACACTCTGTTCTTTCCTGCCTAAAATAACGTGTACTAACAAGTAAAGGTGGATGCGATTCGTTCTTGGAAACACAGCAGCCAGAAAAAGCCTGGAACAGAAGCCAGAAGAAGCTTGGCTCGTAACTAAGTGCTTCGCCTAGCACCGCGACTCGCGCAACGGAGGCTGCTGCGTTCAAAGCGGTAGGCAGCCAAAAGCGGCGGAGCTGTTGCGAATGTATAAACCAGGAAACAGGTCGGCATGGCTGTGCCAAGTTGCTGTCAAGGCACAGGAAACAGTGAAAGCAAGAACGACCACCAGCACGAATGGGTGCGTGCGTACAGGCGGAGCGGAGGGAGGGAGGGGCTGGCCGGGTGGGTGGTTGCGTTGGGTTGGGTGCCCCAACGATTGCACTGCAGCGATAGCGGATGAGAGGGGGATGGGTGAGTGAGTGATATGCAGGGAGGCCATGTGTACGGTGGGTGGGTGGCCCTGGTGGGTGGTGGTGGGTGGTAGCTTGGCGAGAGAAAACGAGGTTTGGTTTGGGTGAAGCCCAGATTGCCTTGCCCTCTCTGTACCTTGCGTGTCTACCTGTCTGCCTGTGTGCCTGTGTGCCTGCGTGCCTGCGTGCCTGCATGCCTGCCTGCATGCCCTGCATGCTCCCTTCCTTGCTGGCCTTGGGAACGCCGCATCATGCTCACAGAGGACTGAATTTATTATTCCTCCCGTCTGGACTTCGCCTTGAAGTTTGCGGGTGCTTGTTCTGTCGTGTCCTCCCCCACACACACATCCCCCTGGCACTGCTTGCTGTTTGTGCCTTGACGGAGATGTGGTCGTGGCAAAGACAGAAATCGTGACGGATTTTTGGGTTGCGTAGCAACCTTATACATTTGGTTTCACTTTTTGGGGAACTGACCATGAACAGTGATTTTTCCCTGCCCGTTTGGGAAAAAAATACTGTTCAACTTTTTAGTTGCCCCAAAAATGTGAAACCAAATGTAACCAATAATTCCTTAGTCGTCGATAAGTACGGCGAATGGAACAATTGGTTGGACACGAACGTGTACAAAAACAGACCCAAACGACAGCACACAAACTTGTACAAAAACTAGAAACACCAGTTGTGAGTGCTTCGAAGCTAATGCTAGAATGCATCGTGAATGCAACTGCGATTGATCTGGTATGGAAGAGGCAACCAAAGCTGCCCCACCAACGATCACAACCGCAATTGTATACACGAGGCACTTAGCACTCACCCCAAAACAGAGCCACACAACTACATAGCCTACATGTACGCACACACATACGCAGATAGAAAAACACGCAGAAACATACAGCTAATACTAAGCATGCAAGCATAGCCGATGAAGTTCACCAATTAACAAACCATCGCTACCTTGCCCCCCATTCCCCTCCCTCCCCCCCTCCCTGATCTCCCTTAACCCTCCCTACACCCCTCCGCTCACGCACTATCTCACGCGCTCTCTCACACTCTCTCACGCGCTCTCTCACCTGCTCTTTCAGGGCTCTCTCACGTGCTCTCACACGCTCTCACGCGCTCCCTCACGCGCTCTCTCACACTTTCTCTCACGCGCTCTCTCACGCCCTCTCTCACGTGCGCTCTCACGGACGCCTTCACGCGTCTCTCACGCGCTCTCTCACGCGCTCTCTCCTCGCTCTCACGCGCTCTCTCACGCGCACTCTCACGCGCTCTCTCATGTGCTCTCCCACGTGCGCTCTCGCGCGCGCTTTTACGCGCTCTCTCACGCGCTCTCTCACGCGCTCTCTCACGCGCTCCCTCACGTGCTCTCTCACGCGCTCTCTCACGCGCACTCTCATGCACTCTCTCACGCGTCTCACTCGCTCTCTCACGCGCTCTCTCTCACGCGCTCTCTCTCACGCGCTCTCTCTCACGCGCTCTCGCTCATCTCATGCGCTCTCTCACGCGCTCTCCCACGCGCTCTCCCACGTGCTCCCTCACGTGCTCTCTCTCACGCACTCTCACTTGCACTGTCACGTGCACTCTCACGTGCACTCTCACTCGCACTCTCATTCGCTCCCTCACGCGCACTCTCATCCGCACTCTCACGCGCTCTCTCACGCGCACTCTCACGAGCTCTCTTACGCGCACGAGCACTCTCACGCGCACGCGCTCTCTCACGCGCACGCGCTCCCTTACGCGCATGAGCTCTCTCACGCGCTCTATCACGCGCACTCTCAGGAGCACTCTCACGCGCACGCGCTCTCTCACGCGCTCCCTCACGTGCTCTCTCACGCGCTACCTCACGTGCTCTCTCACGCGCTCTCTCTCACGCGCTCTCTCTCATGCGCTCTCTCACGCGCTCTCCCACGCGCTCTCCCACGTGCTCCCTCACGTGCTCTCTCTCACGCACTCTCACTTGCACTCTCACGTGCACTCTCACGTGCACTCTCACTCGCACTCTCATTCGCTCCCTCACGCGCACTCTCATCCGCACTCTCACGCGCTCTCTCACGCGCACTCTCACGAGCTCTCTTACGCGCACGAGCACTCTCACGCGCACGCGCTCTCTCACACGCACGCGCTCCCTTACGCGCATGAGCTCTCTCACGCGCTCTATCACGCGCACTCTCAGGAGCACTCTCACTCGCACGCGCTCTCTCACGCGCTCCCTCACGTGCTCTCTCGTGCGCTCTCTCGTGCGCTCTCTCGTGCGCACTCTCACGCGCGCTTTCCTGCGTGTTCGCTCCCGTGTACATGCTCTCCCTCGCGCTCCGTCTCTCCCCTTCTTCAAATGAAATTGCAATGCGAGAGGAGACCAATCTACACAAAAACTTTACGAGGAGAGCAAAGAAAACAAAAAAGAGGGGAGGGAGGGGGGGAGGAGAATTCAGTGGGGGAAGGGAGGATGAAAGGACCGGGAACGCACCTGATAATCACGGTGTTTCAGAAAACAACCCGCGCTCGCGCACCAACACTCGCGCTTGCGCTCGTGCACCTGCCGCCAGAGGCGACGGCGGGGAGGAGGGAGAGGCGACGGCGGGGAGGGGAAAAGAGGCGACGGCGGGGAGGAAAGGAGAGGCGACGGCGGGGAGGAGGGAGAGGCGACGGCGGGGAGGAAAGGAGAGGCGACGGCGGGGAGGAGGGATACGCGACGGCGGGGAGGAGGGAGAGGCGACGGCGGGGAGGAGGGATACGCGACGGCGGGGAGGAGGGAGAGGCGACGGCGGGGAGGAGGGAGAGGCGACGGCGAGGAGGAGGGAGAGGCGACGGCGAGGAGGAGGGAGAGACGACGGCGGGTAAGGAGAGGCGACGGCGGGTGGGAGGCGACGGCGGGTGGAAGGGAGAGAGGACGGCGCGGTGGGAAAGAAAGGATGGCGGGGTAGAGGTAGAGGCTATGACGAGGTGGTTGGTTGGGAGAAGCAACAGTTGGGTGGGTTTGTCACGTGAAAACACACGCACAATCACGTGACACTGAGTGGGCTGAAAACAACTCAATATGAACCACAAAATAGTGCAATGTTACAATACAAAGTAAAGAGAACATCATTGTTCACTATATAAAACAAAAAAGGATCAATGTGTCTAGATATTAACGTATTAGAAACATCAATTGTTAAGAATCATAAACATCCACGTTGAAAAGAATAGATTGAACCATCAAAAAACGCTTGCAATATTCCTTGAACGGTAGGCCTAAATTTGACGCTTTAAAAAAACTGCAAAAAAAAAATTGTCAACTAAGAATGTAACATCTACGCAACCCTTCCGACGTTAACGTCGAGTCTTGTTTCGTCAACGTGGAGTCATGGTGCTGGCGCGTCAGACGGAGGGCGCATGGATGTGGGAGGTTGGGCGGGCGGATTATGTGCATGGTGTGTCGAGCGGTGGTTGGCTGGTGGTGGTGCACCAGACGAAGCGCGATGCCTGTACGGCGACTGTGGACAATCCAACGGATAGAGTTGGTTTGGAACAAGTTCGTTTGGGAGTGTGTGCACTGACCAGTACACACCAAACCAAACCACCCAAATCAACTCAAACCATACCAAACCAGACCGAAGCAAGTGGCTCGTGAGTGAGTGTGTGCCGAAACGCACATTCCCCTCTATAGGATGGCGCAGGCAGTGCATAGTGCTGTCGGATATTTTTGCTTCGCTGCACACTTTAGAACACTTTTCATATCTTCTTCTTCAACATTGTCCACCTCCACAATTTGTTCTGAATCTTGCTTTATGGGCTTACGTCTGCGCTTCCCTCCCTCGTTTGACATCTTTTCAACCTTGCGTCGCGCCGATCGACGATATCTTCCATGATATTTGTCGCTCTACCACCACGCGCGCCAGTGATAAATCCGTGCGCCCACAAGCCCTGCTTTTTTTTCATAAACACTCCAAGTTTACCGCATTTGGCCCTTTTCACTTAGTCTCAGACAGACAACTGCCTGTCATGCCTCCGTCCCCAGCAGCCACCTCCACGTCATCGCGGCTTCGCACCGCGATCGCGCAGTACGGACGCCTGGCAATCGCCGTCCACATCGGCGTGTCGACCGTGTCGTTCGCGGGCCTGTACCTTGCCATTCGCAGCAGCATCGATGTGGAAGGGCTTCTGAACAGAGTAGGCCTCCTCCCCTCGCCCACGCACCCGTCTTCCGCGCCTCCGACCGATGCTGCTCCTCCCTCGACGTCCCATTCCGTGAATTCGTTAGAACGTGAAGCCGCGTTGTCAGGGAGCGACCTAAGCTCGAGAGATCTGCCAGATTCTTCCTCTTCGGGCATAGCGGGCAGAAAGGCCGATCCAGGATCATCAGTAGCGACCAGGGAGCAGGCAAGAGCAGAACCCTCTGGTACGGGCTCTACTGGAGCAAATTTAGCCGTTGGGAATGGAGAAACCACTGAGAGTGGAGGAGCAGCAGCAGCTGGTTTGATAGGAAGTGGTGGTGCTTTGGCTGTTGCTTGGCTCTGCAACAAGGCTCTGATTCCTGTCCGTGTGCCCATCACCCTGGCGCTCACCCCACCCATTGCTAGATTCCTGACAGCGAGAGGCTTCAGAATTTAAACGCCCTGGTTTCTTGTTGGCCATACTATGAGCCTAATATGCCAGAAGCTGTCAGTCACTATCACTAATGCAAACTGTTCCTGATGTAGTTGTTCTGGCAGTGTACAAATACCTAAATTACTAAATGTTCAGTTTTGAATCTCTGTAACTTCGTTTGGACCGACATTGCTGTAGAGAAAGTACGGAGGTCTTAAGTTTAAAGGTGCTAGGATAACGGTACATGTATTAGTGAAGTTGAGTTCCATCTTTAATCCTACTTACACTTATATGGTGTAGTTGATGTTACACAAATGTGGCCAGCGAAGTCCAGCGGGTTCATGAACATTTCGTCCATGTTGGCAGCATGTGGGTCAGGAACGATTTCTGTGACCGCCACGTGTCATCCACGTTTCCGAGACAACAACAAGGGAATTGAACCTTGGGATTCCGTTCTCCATCCCCTGAGTGTTGTTCCGGCAATTTTCAGGTGCATGCCACTTAGTCAAGGCGCGCTATTCAGGTGCAGGCCAGGTTGCGTACACTATTTTCAGGTTTAACAATGTCTCCCGTAACTAGATACGCTTTTCAAGATTCCATTCAAATTGGCACTAAATGTCTGAAATAGCTTCAATTTCGGGCTACGCAAATCGGAATCGGAATGGTTGGCTCTCAATGCTGCATTTTCTGACGTCACTCAGTGCAATGATTGCTTTTCTGCCCAATTTCTGCGCAAATCTTTGCTTCGCACCAACTCTTTTTGAACGAACTGTAATGCTAAATCGTTTGTACTATTGGCGCAGGTGGCGGACGCTTCGTGGGTCAAATCGGCAAACCCTAGTGGGACGTGCGTTACTTGGAAAGGGTAATCCGAAACACGAGAAACATGCCCGAGTGTTAGAGGGAGTTAACCCTACCGCTATTAAGGATATATCATACGTTACATGTGTATTTAATGACACGTAATTAACGCCATGGTATACCACCTGTTTCAATATACATGTACGGCAAAACATTAATTTTGGTAGAGGAAAATTTTACAAACACTCACGAAGGGTTTGCTGATTTGCCATGCGCAGCGTCCGTCATCTGCGTAAACAGTACAACAGATCTAGCATTAGATTCGTTCAAGAAGTGTTGGTGCGTAGCAGAAATTCGCGTAGAAATTGGGCAGAAATGCAATCATTGCACTGAGTGACGTCAGAAAATGCAGCATCGAGATTCGAGAGCCAGCCATTCCGATTCCAATTTGCGTAGCCCGAAATTGCATCTATTTCAGACCTTTCATGCCAATTTGAATCGAATCTTGAAAAGCGTGTGCAGTTACGGGAGACATTGTTTAACCTGATAATAGTGTACGCAACCTGGCATGCACTTGAATAGTGCGCCTCGGCTAAGTGGCATGCACCTGAAAATGGCCGGTGTTGTTCCGCTCCTCCTAGTCTCCAAAAATCCTTGTGCTCTCGGGAAGTGCATCTTTTCGCCACTAGCAATCCATCCTATCTTGAATCCGCCTCCACCTGTCACTTGGTTCATGCTCTTGATTTTGCTGCGGCGACCTTAGTCTTCCCTTGTCTGCAGCTAAAATTTTATCGTCGGCTGTCAGTAGTGTTTGCTTCGACGCTGAATCCAGACTGGCAATTCATTGCGGCTGAAGCGACTGAGCATTTCTCACTAACGTATTCTTCACACAACCTCCGCTGCACGAATTTCATCCTAGCATTGCTTCAGAGCATTGAACCGCTATGGCAGCCCTCAGCGCGCAGCTATCTCGTTCAGCAGCTCCCAGTCTCAAGTCCGACTTGTTCCGTCATGAGCCTGTGACTGGCAAGAGGGCCGTCGCTGCTGCTCCTTCGCGCAGGAGATTCGCGCGCTCGTCGCCCACTCTCGTCGCAACAGTCGCACAGTCGTCGCAATCGCCGCCGACGTCGCTTAGGGACCAGGCTGACGCGAACGCCGCAGCTGCGATCCTCACTTCCGTCGGCCCCAGCGACACTTTCGTGCAGAGCCTTGTCGCGAAATATTCCCTTCCTGCCCCGTCAGACGCCGCATTCCCTGCGGCTGCAGCTCTCGGGCAGCTCAGAAATGCTTCTGCAGAATCAGCCCGTGTTCTGCGGTGGCCCGGCCGCAAGGATGAGGAATTCCGCTTCACAGACTTGAAATCTCTCCGCGCGATGCTCGATAAGGCTTTAGAAAAAGGCGCCGCCACAGGGTCCGAGTCGCAGGTGGTTTCAGCAGACGCTCTAGCGGAATACACGCTCGAAGAGGCCAAGAATAGTCGGCTTGTTGTGCTTGACGGCGCTATCCGGCCGGAGCTGTCGGATTTGACGGGAATTCCGGCGCAAATGACGGTGAAGCTGCTGAGTGAGCTGAATGCGGAAGAAGTGGAGCGATTCGTGGCGCCGAACCTTGGCAGGTGGGTGTTTTCACAGGTGAGTGTGTGCACAGGTGGGTTTGTGCACAAAGGAATGCAGAGGAATCCAAAACGAACGGAAGAAAAAGGAAGGAACATACGATGATGAGTAGAAGGGAGCGCAAGAAAACAAATTGCTGGGTGGAAAGAGTGAAGCATGCGTGGGGCAGACCGACGAGGCTCTAAGATGCTCGTATAAGAGTGAGAGCCAGGATTGTTCGGTTGGAAACGGTTCGGGTTGCAACTTCATCCATCCCGTCCCTCCCATCCTCCGTTACCCGCACCCTTCCCTGGTTGCGCCTGTAAATGTCCAACAGTACCAGCCATCTCACGGCCATCTTATAACAAGTCCCTTCAAGCCTCAGTCCGTCCCAGTATTTCATCTTGCACAGGCCTTTGAGGCGCCTCTATTAAGTCCTCATCGGTCCCACCATCCCAGTATTTCATCGTGCTGACGTCCCAGGCCGTCTGCTCTCTTTAGTACCCTCAATTCCCCGACTTGTCTCAATCCACCTCCGGTTTCTCCGTCCCCGCGTTCCCCTCAGGTCCTCCGCGCAAGCGGACCTCTTTGCCGCGCTCAACGGCGCATCCGCCGCTGACGTCCTCGTTATTGCCGTCCCCGCTAACGTCAAGCTCCCGAACCACCCCGTCCACATCGTCTACGCCTCCTCTTCCGCCTCCCCCGGCCCCGCTTCCCCGCGCCTGCTGGTCGTGGCGGAAGCTGGCGCGGAAGTGGAGGTGGTGGAGGAGTTTGTGGGGGGGGCTTCCGCGGGTGGGGGAAAGGGGGAGTGGGTGAACGCAGTGGCGGAGATTGTGATTGGCGCGGAGGGGAGTGTGAGCCACGCGGTGATTCAGAACCAACCCGCTAAAGACTGCTTCAATATCAAGAGAACGTTCGTTGCACAGGTGCGGACAGTGTATTGTTTTAAACATAAGATTTCATTTACTCCCGCCCCCTCTTCCCTCCCCTACAAGCTTCTTCCGTCCGCTTCCCCCTCCTTCCACTCCCTCCCCTCCCATTCCTTCCCTTGCCTCTGCCGCATCCCCCCCTGCCTCATGCAATGGTCCATTCCCGTCCGAAAATTCTCAAGAGTGACTTCTTTTTGCCGCCGTTTTCCCCTCCCCTTCTGCGCCCATCCTCCCGTCTTCACCCCTCCTCGCCCCTGTGCCCGTCCTCCCCTTTTCCCTCACCGCCCATTTCCCCCCTTCCCTCCCCTTCCCCTCCCTCTCTGCTACCGTTTCCCCTCTTATATGCGTCCGTTTCACCCCTGCCCTCTCATCACAGCAGGAGGATACTAGCAGATTGTGCTTGGTGGAGGCTCAGCTCGGGTTGGCCACATGCAACCAGATTATCCCAACTTCAGCTTCCCAACCAGCCATCCCTTTGCATGCAGTAACGGGAATTTTGCCACAAGTCCTCATCCTCCCCATCTCCCCCCCCCCCCGTTCCTCACCGTTTTGCGCCACACCAGGAGGAGAGCAGCAGGTACTCTCTGGTGGAGGCGCAGCTGGGGGCGGCGCTATCCAGGCACAACCTGAAGATGCAGCAGCTGGGGAAGAAGACAGAGACGCACGTGGACACGTTCGCGCTGGCGGGCGGCAGGCAGGTGCAGGATCTGCACAGTAGCCTCGTGCTGGATTTCCCGGGCGGCGTGACTCGGCAGCTGCACAAGTGCATCGTGTCTGACGCCACTGGGCAGTGCGTGTTCGACGGGAACGTCAAGGTCAACAAGTGAGTTCTTAAGTCGCCTCAATTGCGTGTGCGTGGGATGTAGAATGGGTCTAAGGGATTGGGTCAAAGGGAGTGGGTGGGACCAAGTGCATTGTGTCTGATGCCACGGGGCAGTGCGTGTTTGACGGAAACGTGAAGGTCAACAAGTGAGTGGGTTCAAAGACCTTATACAGTGAGTTCTGAGGCGCCCCAAGTGTGGTGCCCTGTAGAGTGGGTCAAAGGGAATGGGTCAAAGGGAATGGGTCAAAGGGAATGGGTCAAAGGGAATGGGTCAAAGGGAATGGGTCAAAGGGAATGGGTCAAAGGGAATGGGTCAAAGGGAATGGGTCAAAGGGAATGGGTCAAAGGGAATGGGTCAAAGAGAATGGGTCAAAGAGAATGGGTCAGACGGGCCAAGTGCATCGTGTGTGATGCCACGGGGCAGAGCGTGTTCGACTGGAATGTTGTAGCCAACAAGTGAGTGCGTTCCACGGGTGTTCGACTGGGTCAACGAGTGTGGCTGTCTGCTGCCATCATCACACGCGCTCTGACCAACTCAAGACCTCGTGTGCATGTGATGCTCCTGGTGCTCACGAGAGTGAGCGGAGCACCAGAAGCATGTGATGCTCCTCTCTGACCTCGTGTGCATGTGATGCTCCGCCCTGACCTCGTGTGCATGTGGCGCTCCGCTCACTCTCTTTCTGTCCCCCTCCTTCCTTCCCCTCCACCCCCGCCTTCACCTCCCAGGCTCGCCCAGCAGTATTGGTGCGACTTTTGAGAATTCTCAAAAGTCCCTCTCTTCATGTCCCCCTCCTTCCCCTCCACCCCCGCCTTCACCCACCAGGCTCGCCCAGCAGACGGACGCGGGGCAGCTGTCCCGCAGCCTGCTGCTGATCCCCCTCGGCACCATCAATGTGAAGCCAAACCTGCGTATCAACCCAACGTGTGTGTTTCTCTTCCCATTTGCACCCTCCCTCCTTCGCCCCCTCCCAGGCTCGCTCAGCAGACGGACGCGGGGCAGCTCTCTCGCAGTCTCCTCCTGGTCCCGCGCGGCACCATCAACGTGAAGCCGAACCTGCAGATCAACCCAACGTGTGTGTTTCTCTTCCCATTTGCACCCTCCCTCCTTCGCCCCCTCCCAGGCTCGCTCAGCAGACGGACGCGGGGCAGCTCTCTCGCAGTCTCCTCCTGGTCCCGCGCGGCACCATCAACGTGAAGCCGAACCTGCAGATCAACCCAACGTGTGTGTTTCTCTTCCCATTTGCACCCTCCCTCCGCCGCGCTCACCAGGCTCGCCCAGCAGACGGACGCGGGGCAGCTGTCGCGCAGCCTGCTGCTGATCCCCCGTGGCACCATCAACGTGAAGCCGAACCTGCAGATCATAGCAGACGACGTCAAGTGCACCCATGGCAGGCTGCTGCTGCTGCTACCATCACACGCGCTCTGGCCAACCCATGACCTCGTGTATGCCCTCCGCTCACTTTCTTCTGCCCCTCTCCACTGTTTCCTCCCCGCCCTCCCACACACATTAGGCTCGCCCAGCAGACGGATGCAGGCCAGCTGTCCCGCAGCCTGCTGCTGGTCCCCCGCGGCACCATCAACGTGAAGCCGAACCTGCAGATCATAGCGGACGACGTCAAGTGCACCCACGGCGCAGCCATCAGTGACCTGGACGACGAGCAGCTCTTCTACTTCCGCACTCGGGGGATCGACCAGAACACTGCGCGCTCTGCTCTGGTCTTCTCGTTCGCTGCTGAGGTGCGTGGAGGGATGGTTGGGGTTGGGAGGAGGGGGGAAGTGGGGAGGGAGGGAAGGGGACGGAGGGAAGTTGACGGAGGGGATAGGAATGGGGAGGTGGACTGGGGAGGTGAAGACGGGATGGACAAGCTGCCATACAAGAGGCTAAGGAGACGTGAAACTGACTCTAGAGCATCCGCCTCCCCTCCCCTCCCTTCCCCATCCCCTCCCTTCCCCCTCCCCTCCCTTACCCCTATCAGGTGGTGGATAAGCTGCCGTACAAGGGGCTGAGGAGGCGCGTGGAGGAGACGGTGAAGAAGGCACTGTCAGCACAGGGAGCCATGGAGGCGTCTGTTGCTGCCGACCTGCAAGGCGCCACGTCATAGGCTTTGATTTACTGCTGGAGTTTTTGAGTGTTGGAAAGTGTGGGTTCTATCTCATTATATCCGTGTGGCTGTGATAACTGGCATATCATGACCTGTAGTGCTATGATGCAGCATTATTTTTTTGAGGACAGACCAGTTACTGACGAAGGATGGCTTAACACATTTTAGCAAATGTTGTGCTACTAAAAGCACAGGTTTTAGTATCTCATTTTGATCCACAAATATTGCTCTCCAAAGGGTTTATGCTAGTTGATAAATTTCTAGTATGATTGATTCACTGGTGGTAATGTGGAGAGATAAGTATCGGTGTAATAATTAGAAACCAGGGCAGCACGTGTCGAGGATTGTGCAATTCTTTCTCGTTTCGTTTCATCCGGCACGTACGGGATGACGGCGTGAAACGCCGGCTTCCCCTCGCCGAGATGCTGTAGAAAAGTACGGTTGACTCGTTTCTTCTTATCGTTGACGCGGCAGTTCGGCTGTCCATGTGGCTGTAGCTTCTTGGTCAGCCACTCCTCTTGGACTGCTTGCCGAGTCATTTCGGAATTCGAGCACTTTTGCAATGTGCGACGCGCAGAATTGGCGACGCGAAGAGGGTACAAATTTCTGCAGCTGGCTTCGACCAATTCATTCCAATTTCGTAACACACAGAAAGTAGACTCCCGAGAGTGCTTTCACGGCCACACACGAATTTCTTTCAAACGCTCACATCTGGACTTCATTTTCATCGCTACGAAGGATTTTGCATCACATTAGCGGAAACAGAGCTATGGAGCACCCAATTCCTTTCCCGAAGAACAGGATCCGTCGCCGTAACCTGAGCACGGCGCTTCTCCTTCTCTCGTTCGTCCTGCTTTCGTCTCTCCACGCGGCATTGGCCCTTCGCTTCTCCGCGGGACTCCGCGTGGACAAGATGGGCGGAAACTTGCGCGCATGGGTGCGCTGCGGACGGTCTACCTGTAATAAGCACAAACACGGCGGCGGAAATGGCGGAAACAGGAATGGTGGAAAAGGGGGCGATGGCGGAGGGACTGGTGGTGGCGGAACGGGCGGAGGCGGAACGGGTGGTGGCGGAATGGGTGGTGGCGGAATGGGTGGTGGCGGAATGGGTGGTGGCGGAATGGGTGGTGGCGGAATGGGTGGTGGCGGAATGGGCGACGGAGGGAAAGGAGGCGGCGGAAGCATGATGGGCGGCGATGAAATAGGTGGTGGAGGAGATGGAGGGGGAATGGGCGGATTTATGCCATTCGCTCCTGGATCAGAAGCTGGTATGGGAGATATGGATGATGGCATGGGTGCCCCTGCTCCCGGATCAGAAGCTGGTATGGGAGATATGGATGATGGCATGGGTGCCCCTGCTCCCGGATCAGAAGCAGGCATGGGAGATATGGATGATGGCATGGGTGCCCCTGCTCCCGGATCAGAAGCAGGCATGGGAGATATGGATGATGGCATGGGTGCCCCTGCTCCCGGATCAGAAGCAGGCATGGGAGATATGGATGATGGCGTGGGTGCCCCTGCTCCCGGATCAGAAGCTGGTATGGGAGATATGGATGATGGCATGGGTGCCCCTGCTCCCGGATCAGAAGCAGGCATGCGAGATATGGATGATGGCATGGGTGCCCCTACTCCCGGATCAGAAGCAGGCATGGGAGATATGGATGATGGCATGGGTGCCCCTGCTCCCGGGTCAGAATCAGGCATGGGTCCTGGAGGGGGCATGGGCGGCGGAGGAACGGGCGGCGGAGGAACGGGTGGCGGTGGAATGAGCGGCGGAGGAATGGGCGGTGTAGGAACGGGCGGCGGTGGAACGGGCGGCGGAGGAACGGGCGGCGGTGGAATGGGCGGCGGAGGAACAGGCGGCGGAGGAACGGGCGGCGGTGGAATGGGCGGCGGTGGAACGGGCGGCGGTGGAATGGGCGGCGGAGGAATGGGCAGTGTAGGAACGGGCGGCGGTGGAACGGGCGGCGGAGGAACGGGCGGCGGTGGAATGGGTGGCGGAGGAACGGGCGGTGTAGGAACGGGCGGCGGAGGAACGGGCGGTGGAGGAACGAGCAGTGGTGGAATGGGCGGCGGAGGAATGGGCGGTGTAGGAACAGGCGGTGTAGAGACGGGCAGCGGTGGAACAGGCGGCGGAGGAACGGTCGGCGGTGGAATGGGTGGCGGAGGAACGGGCGGTGTAGGAACGGGCGGCGGAGGAACGGGCGGTGGAGGAACGGGGAGTGGTGGAATGGGCGGCGTAGGAACGGGCGGTGTAGTAACGGGTGGTGCTGGAACGGGCGGCGGAGGAACGGGCGGCGGTGGATCGGGCGGTGGAGGAACGGGCGGCAGTGGAACGGGCGGCAGTGGAACGGGCGGCAGTGGAACGGGCGGCAGTGGAACCGGCAGTGGAGGAATGGGCGGCCCTGGAACTGGCAGCGGGGGAACGGGCAGCGGGGGAACGGGCAGCGGGGGAACGGGCAGCGGGGGAACGGGCAGCGGAGGCGGTAATATAAGAGGTGGTAAGGCTGGAGCTGCGTCTCCATGAGCAGGGACAGACACGAGTCTTGGATGGGAGATGGCTGCACTCCAATGGCATTCTTTATGAGCATGCATACCATGCATCTCCAGTGGGATCATGCATTGGTCATCTCAAGCATGCGAGCACCTCAAGGCTGAGCGGTGATTGGCTTACCAAGCATAATTGTTGTGGAGATTGCACTCCTGTTCCAATTTTTATACATGTCGTTGATAGCAAATCACAGCTACTGTACTTATTCTCTTGTACGAGCGGTATCCAGTTTTTAATATGCTCCATTGTTTAAATTGTTGGTGAAGCACAGCTGATGGGAGGGTGGATATCGGCCAGGTGAATAAAACGGAATTGAATGGAATGGAGCGAGCGTGTGAGGTGAATGGAATGGAACCTTACCGAAGCCACACATTCCCCTCACACGCTCGCTCCGCTCCACTCCACTCCACGCAAGCACGACCGTATTCGAAAGCACCTTTTCCGGACCAGAGGAGAAAAAAAATCTCATAGAAACTCCTAATTAGCTCCCTGCCCACGCTTGGAGATGTCGAAGAGAAGAACATGCACTTGGGCAAAGAACAGACAACCCCATTCCTTGGGTGAAAACCTACAAGAAAATCTGGAAATAGACAGAATGATGGTGCTTCGCATTAGACAACTGCCCAGCTCACTGCATGCACGTGGCAGCACAGGGGATGGTCATGTAGGGGAAGCCTGAGATGTGCAAAAGCAGGTGGCAAGTCAGGTCATGCTCACATGGCGCTATGAAGCCGAGGGAAGATCCCAAGGGTCTGTGGCATGGTGGGGGGGAGAGATGCCAGGCATGAGGGAGAGAGAATTGGGATGAGTGGCGGCGGAAGCAAAAGAAGGTGGGGTGAATAGAGAGGGCTGGTTGAAGGAGCTTTTGAGAGTGTTGAGTGAAACCAGGTGATGTTTGTGCTTCTTGGAGAAGAATGAACCGAGGTGAGCCAAGCGCACTCATGACAAAAGAGTGCAACCAGAGACGATGTGGAGAACAATCAGAGGCCACTTTATTATATAAAGTAACAAAGATGCAAGTCAACAGCGAGATTAACAAGTAATGGCATAAATTATAAAACTCGTGGCACCATGAAGGGCATACCAGGGAGGACACAGCTGCTCTCTTCAGCTGCTCTCTTCAAATTCATTAGCAAGCCCATGGCGGAGCCCTGTTGATGCACTCACGCCCTCACTTGTGCTTGAGACACGTCCATCCACCAGAAAATCGCAGGAAAAGGCGCTGTGCTCTGCAGAGCGTGTGATGAGTCGATTTTTGAGTCGACTCAAAAATCGACTCATCACACACCACGCGGAAAAGGCGCAGTGCTCTGCAGAGCACGTACGCACACTCCCACACGCAGGGTCGCACGCTCGCACGCACGCACGCACACGCACACACACGCACGTGAAGCATTGTGAGCTTGCATGTCGCGTGAATGCATGCCGCGTGAAGTGAGTGGTGTGGCTTGTTGCTCACACACTGAAGCAAAGAGAATCTTAGGATCGTAAACACCTTAGTCGGCAATAGTCTACTTGCTATTGCTTATCGTGTTCTCCACGATCTCCCGAATCCAACGATATGCGCAGCTCTGCTTGAAGTTGTCAATACACACTTCAGCAATTTTCAGAATCTCAATGGTTTCAATGTTGTCCAATGTTGTATTTCCAGAATGAGTACAAACAGGTTTATAGTCAGGCAAGACACAAAATGCGATTCGTAACTTCACTTGTTTCCCAAGTAACCGCGTGCGCCTCGTTTCACCCCGAGTCGCACACGCAACCGAACCGAATGCACCGAATACTCCTCGAGTCCGATTCCAGCACCTTCTCGAACACGCCTCCAGCTCGAACCACAATTTCCCCCCGTCAATCTCATTCTCGATGCTTCTCCACTCTTCTCTCTCCATTTCTCTAGTTTCTTCCTGATTTCTCTCCCGCTTCTCACGCCGTAGCTTCCATTCTTCACCGTAGGCCGATATCCACCGTCTTATATCTAGAATCTCCCACGAGATCCATTCCGCCGTCATTCCGCATTTCGCCGTAGGTTCCGTGGTTCGTCGAACCAACCCTAACAATCTCCCCTGTGGTTCGTCAACCACGAACTCCACTCGCACTCCTCCTCTGCTCCTTGTAGCCTTCACAGGGTCTAAGTCGGCTTCACGCTCCCCTGCAGCTCCTGCACCTTGAGCCTCTGCTTACGTGTCTTGAAGTTGAGCGCCTTGACATCCAAACCTTGAGAGATTTTCTTGATCCTCTCGCTGCTCCTCGGCATCTCAACACGCAACACCTCTCGGGTCTCATACCCCTCAACGTGTTCCTCTTTCGTAAGCACTCGCCCCTTTGCAGTTGCATTCGCCTTTGATCCTTTCACCATGATGCCCCCTTTCACAGCTTCAACTCCCACACACTTCGCATTTACTGCTTCATCTTCAACCACGATCGCTGCTGCAAAAGTGTTGACACCATCTCCATCTCCATCGTTCACTTTCGTCACATCCGTGATCACTATCTCTTCTTCCTGCTTCACTGTTGCCGTATCCTTCGCATCCTCTATCTCATCAACCTTAGTCGATAACTCTTCCAATTCTCCCATCTCAGTATACTCAGGATCCTTATAGATCTCATCCTTCTCGTTCATCGCGATCAAGTTCATCTCATAGAACCCGTCACTGAAGTAGCCATCCGCATACTTCTCCCACTCAGGACCAAACACAGTCACCTCACCACTGTCATAGAATATCTTGCACCCCAAGTCATCAAGCTGTGATTGACTGACCAAGTTCACCTTCAAATCCTCAACCAAGAGTACACTCTCCAGTTTCACCTCTCCATACAGACTCTGCAGCACCACGTCACCCTCTCCTGTCACTGGTAACTTCCCACTGTTACCTTGCAGTATATAATCCTCACTCGACTCCCTCACATTCTCCATCCAATCTGACCTGAATGTCATGTGACGCGTGCATCCGCTGTCCATGAACCATGCCGTCTTCTCACGTCCGTCCGTCTGACGAACATCCTTCGGTAAACGCACCACGTTCGCAAAATGCGCTCCTCCAAGGATCACATCCTCTTCGTTCGCTTCTGCTACATTCGCCTTAGCCGCCACATTCCTCTGCTGCGACGGACCCTTGTAGCTCCTGCTGTTCGGATTGGAGTAGCACTCTGCGGCACGATGCCCGTAGCGCCCACAATAGTCGCACTTTCCGCCAAAACCTCGTTTATGCTGCCACTCCGCTCCCTCATTTTCTCCTTTCTCGTTCTCCACCGCTTTGCCCTTGTAGTTTCTGCTTCGAGGATTTTCGTAGCAGTTTGTCGCTTTATGACCGCGCTTTCCACATTGGTAGCACGCTCCAAAGGCCTTCGTTGCATTCACCAAAGCTGGCCTCTCCTCGTAGAATTCCGTAGCTGCTGCTGCCGCTTTCTTTTTCCTCATCTCTTTGACCGTCTCCAGCGACTGTAGAATCTCTTGCAGCTTCGTCAAACTATCCGGCGGTTGGTACGTAAACATACCGATGTCGGATTCCCACTCCTTAGGAAGGTCTTGGATGATGTAGTCAATCATCTCATGCTCCGTCTCCGCGGCTCCCATCACCCGCAAGTCGTCGTTGTAGCTTTTCGCCCTGTTGACGTAGGTGATGATTTTCTCGCCTTTCTCCATGCTCAGCATCAGCAGTTGCTTCCTGATCGCCTTCTTGTTGACATCGTTCGTACCCATGTACGTGGACTCCAGGTACTCCCATGCTTTCTGTGCAGAGTTCAGCTCCCCTGTAAACTAGTCCAAATCCACCGCGATTCCATCGGCAACTGAGTGACAAAGCTGAAAGAAAGCTTGCTTACTTTGTTTCTTAAACGCCGCTATTTTCTCCTTCGTATCCGTCGTGGAAGGCGCAACTCCCTCCATCGTCTCCTCGTCGGGACGGTAGTACGGCAAGAGGTCCACCTCCTCTGCCCTCCGAATGAACTTCTTACGCCACACGTTGTAGTTTCTCCCATTGAAGCGCTGAGCTTCACTGAGCCCGATCGTCGGTTTCGCCACCAATCGGCCACTCGCAAGGGCCTCGAGAAGAGTCTTCAACTGCGGGTCTCCAAGACTCACACTGGAACCCGAACTCGCCTCGTCTCCCATAGCGTATGCGTGAACGACTCCTCTTCTCCACTAATTTCACTTAGCGCACCAAGTGAATTCACCGCGATCGACGAGCCCATTCGCCAAGCTCTGATACCAGTTCTTAGGATCGTAAACACCTTAGTCGGCAATAGTCTACTTGCTATTGCTTATCGTGTTCTCCACGATCTCCCGAATCCAACGATATGCGCAGCTCTGCTTGAAGTTGTCAGTACACACTTCAGCAATTTTCAGAATCTCAATGGTTTCAATGTTGTCCAATGTTGTATTTCCAGAATGAGTACAAACAGGTTTATAGTCAGGCAAGACACAAAATGCGATTCGTAACTTCACTTGTTTCCCAAGTAACCGCGTGCGCCTCGTTTCACCCCGAGTCGCACACGCAACCGAACCGAATGCACCGAACACTCCTCGAGTCCGATTCCAGCACCTTCTCGAACACGCCTCCAGCTCGAACCACAATTTCCCCCCGTCAATCTCATTCTCGATGCTTCTCCACTCTTCTCTCTCCATTTCTCTAGTTTCTTCCTGATTTCTCTCCCGCTTCTCACGCCGTAGCTTCCATTCTTCACCGTAGGCCGATATCCACCGTCTTAAATCTAGAATCTCCCACGAGATCCATTCCGCCGTCATTCCGCATTTCGCCGTAGGTTCCGTGGTTCGTCGAACCAACCCTAACAGAGAACTCATTCCATCTAACAGGCATGCGACCACCTCACTTGTCCCCATCATGTGCCCATCATGTGCCCATCATGTGCCCATCATGTGCCCATCATGTGTGGTAGGCCCATAACACATCTCCATGCAACAGATGAAGCCCCATGTTTCCATGCATCACAGTACACCGTACATGGCATGCATGGCATGGCGTGTGTGTTAGCATGCTGCACACGCATCCACCAGGCACACAGCAGCATCATGCATGGCAAATCCACCACCCCACCTCATGATGCTTATGCTCATGCATCATGCATGGCGAATCGAACAAGACAAGAAACCGACTGTAATGGCGAATCGAACAAGACAAGAAACCGACTGCAATTGCATGCGCGATTTCCGGCGACACACCTCACGGCGTGGGTTGAAAATCAGTGACACACCTGGCGTGGGAATTGATCACTATCATGCCGACCGGCGACCATGTATATTGAGTAAACTTAAAGCCCCACCACACCGCCTCATGATGCTCGAGGTCATGCATCATGCATCATGCATGGCAAACTGATCGAGACCGAGAAACCGACTGAAACTGCATGCGCGGTTTCCGGTGAGGGTTGAAAATCAGTCACACACACACCTGGCGGGTACGATCGCTGCTGTCAGCCAAACCACTTCTCAGCAGCAGCAGCCGCGATACAGTCACAGCAGCAAGTACCACTGCTAGTAGCAGCCCTGCCCCCGCCACAGTCACTCCACCCACTGCACCCACTCCAGGCACTCGAGGCATACTGCGATGAGCAGGGAAGATGGGGTAGGAACTATTTCAGCCCTGCTTTCTCCCTGCGATGAGCAGGGAGCAGGGAGCTTGGAGCAGCAGCAGGTGGTGAGAGAGGAGGAGGAAGAAGCGGTGAGTGGTGGAGGGCAGTGTGGGGGAGGCACGAGACTGAAGCGGGCAGGGGAATGGCTTCTGCAGGTGCGGGCGCGGCTAGGCGAGGCGAGTGAGACGGCAATGAGCACGGACGTGAGATGGCATGTCGCAGAGAGACGAGTCTGCAGAAACACAGAGAAGAGAGAATACACAGGCGGACTTGACCTCCCCTGCGTATGGCGCAGCTGAGGGTGGGGGGGCTGGGGGAGGGAAGGCTGGGGGAGGGAAGGCCGCGGGTGGGGTGGCTGGGGGTGGCTGGAGGTGGTTGGTTCGGGTAGCTTTAATTAGGGCTTGGCATGGCTTGAGGTTCTTCCGACGGGCCGTTTAGGGAGGGTGGGGCGGCTGCGGAAGTGGGAGGTGGGAACGATATGAGAGCAACTTGCTGAACGCGGTATGGTGATGAGGCCAAGGGAGGTAGGGCAGCGCAGAGCAGGGCAGGGTGCGGCGGAGTGGGGCATGGCAGAGCACGCGGAGCTGCGCTTGGCGGAGCTGCGCTTGGCGGAGCTGCGCTTGGCGGAGCTGCGCTTGGCGGAGCTGCGGTCTCGTTGCCGCCATCGCCGAGATTAGTAACAAGATTCCGTATGCAATGCGACTCGCAATGTCCGCGAGTCACAGCGAAGAGCTACGCAACAGCACGCCATGCGAGGGTGGGTGGATTCAAGCCCGCTTCAATGCGACGAGAGAAGATGTGAAAAAGCAGTTTTCCCTTCAATTCGCTGAAGGTTCCTCTTAACCGTGCGTACAGAAAGCCCCCCCGCAACCCGTCGTAACTTCTTCCCCGTCCCCTCGGGCCCCCACCCTCCCTCTCCCCCCCCATGTCATTAGCGGAAGACGCGGCGGAACCCGCGCGATGAACACGGTATGCGCGGAGTTGCTGCGTGACGCTAAAATGGAATCGATGTCGCGAAATTTCTCTACGTTCTCGCCTTGTTCTATACCCCCCACGCATATTGCCACGTCAGCTTGGTCGAGCGAGTCGCGGATAGTGTCAACTTTCGCAAGGCCCTCTGGTGAGCTTGTTCTTAGTCATTCCAGCGCTTGCCTGCTTGTCATAGATTCATCCACGATTGGGGATTGGCCCGAAATCTTGTTCGTGCTGTGCAGCATTTCGTTTAGTACATGGACTACAATATGTGCACCGCGACACCTACTATGCATATCGGATCCGATGTAATCAGGGACACAAGTTTCTTGATTTCCGGTTTGTTTGGTTTGTTGGGAGGACGAATGGAGAGAGTCGGCTGCTGAAAAAGCCTACAGTGGTCAACATTTTTTCACAAGGCGTTGACTCGAATTTCATGCGCTTGACTCGACGATAGCCTCATTGGTCCACCAGTTGCAGCTCGAGTCATCGCGCCGCGCCGAAGGCATTTTCATATGCAGCAGCATTCGCGGCGCGACGGGAGTACAAAAGGGCTGGGTCGCATTGGCCCAACTCATCCACTCTTCTTCACACATTGCAGTGAAGATAGGACTTCGTGCTTTCCAACTTCTGAACTTCAGACTGCTTGAAGTTGCTTTCTAATTCTTCATTTCCAAGCTGCTAGAACTTGCAAACAAAAATCGTACGCAGTATTCTCAGTTGAAACATACGCAACACCAGCACAATGACGCAGAGAGTCTCATTTCCGTCCAGCCAGCGTCGTCGCCGTGACCTGAGCACGGCCCTTCTCCTCTCGTTCGTCCTGCTCTCGTCTCTCCACGCGGCGATGGCCTTCCGATTCTCCGCGGGGCTCCGCGCGGACAAGCTGCGCGGGATGATGCGCGGATGGGCGCAAGGCGGACGCTCGACCGGCCAGCAGCAACAACAGAGCACCGGAACGAGCGGAGGCGGAATGGGCGGCAGCGGAATGGGCGGCGGCGGAATGGGCGGCGGCGTAATTGGCGGGGGCCGAATGGGCGGCGGCATGGGCGGCGGCGGCATGGGCGGCGGCGGAATGGGCGGCGGCGGGATGGGTGGCGGAATGGGCGGCGGCGGTATGGGCGGCGGCGGAATGGGCGGCGGCGGGATGGGTGGCGGAATGGGCGGCGGTGGCATGGGTGGCGGCGGAACGGGCGGCGGCGGAAATGGCGGCGGCGGAATGGGCGGCGGCATGGGCGGACCCGGTTCCTCTGCTCCCAGATCTCAGTCAGCCATGGGTCCTGGGGGGAACATGGGCGGCGGCGGAATAAGTGGCGGCGGAATGGGCGGCGGCGGAATGGGTGGCGGCGGAATCGGTGGCGGTGGAATGGGCGGCGGCGGAATGGGTGGTGGCGGAATGGGTGGCGGTGGAATGGGTGGCGGCGGGATGGGCGGCAGCGGATTGAGTGGCGGCGGAATGGGCGGCGGCGGAATGGGCGGCGGCATGGGCGGACCTGGGTCCTCTGCTCCCGGGTCACAATCAGCAATGGGTCCTGGGGGAGGCATGGTCGGAGGCATGGGCGGCGGAGGCATGGGCGGCGGCGGCATGGGCGGAGGCGGCATGGGTGGTAGCGGAACAGGCGGCGGTGGCATGGGAGGGGGCATGGGTGGACCTGGTTCCTCTGCTCCCGGATCACAAGCAGCCATGGGTCCTGGGGAAGGCATGCGCGGCGGGGGTATGGGCGGCGGAGGCATGGGCGGCGGAGGCATGGGCGGCGGAGGCATGGGCGGCGGAGGCATGGGCGGCGAAGGCATGGGCAGCGGCGGCACGGGCAGCGGAGGCATGGGCGGGTCAGGGTGGGTTGCTCCAGGGTCGCAGGCAGCACCCGGCCAGGGTGGACCTGGGATGGGCGGAGGGATGGGCGGAGGGATGGGCGGAGGGATGGGTGGAGGGATGGGTGGAGGGATGGGTGGAGGGATGGGTGGAAGGATGGGTGGAGGGATGGGTGGAGGGATGGGTGGAGGGATGCGAGGGCCTGGGGCAAACATGGGAGGCGGCATGGGCGGACCACAGTAGTGTTCTCCTCTGAGCAGGGGCAGATATAAGAATGGCCACCCACAACCCAAATGGCACACCCTGAGTAGTGTTTGCTAGGAGCATGGTCGCAGCAGCACTTCCAACGGAGTGCCGCCAGCAGTGCTGCTTCGTCCAAGCTCCTCCTGACAGCCAGACTCATCAAGCCATCACAATGCTGCACCATAGATATCCAGGTTGAGTTCTGTCAACATCGATCAATAGAACCGGGCTTGCTTGTGACTGCATACATCCTGGATTTTTTAGGTGAGCTCGTCTGCTATTGTTGTCTTCCTTACCTTTGTTTTCTAGTTGTTTTACCAGTACTATGCCAAGAGCTTTCCTACCGTATGGTATGTTCCTTGGACTGCTAGGTCTGTAGATAGAGGTTGATGATGCATACCAAGCTCTACCGGGTGAATCAAATGCTGTAGGCCAATCCTACTTTGAAATTATTAGTGGTAATTCACATTCATTGCAGTCATACGGTAGGTATTCTCTCACGAGAAACAGACAATGCAGTCCTCAACCCGTGCAACAGTCAAGATGCTGCTACCGGTATCACTTGGCCATGTCTACGGTATGCCATCGCACCTCCCTGACACCTGCCAACTGCCATGCAACTGCCATGCAGCTGCCATGCAACTGCCATGCAACTGCCATGCAACTGCCATGCAACCAGGGCCCAAAATATCAGGGTAAAACGCCCTGATTACCCTGGGGGCCGGCCGCTTTTTCAGGATTACCCTGCCAAAATCAGGATTGCACGATAGTTACCCTTCTGCAAAAAGAGCATGTTTTTTTTTACACTGATTGGATTTATGGTTAGCCTGACGGTGTCAGGGTAGGGTGTAGACTACCCTGATACCGAAACTTTTTTACCGCGGATCAGGCCTTATTCCGCGTGGTGACGAACTGTACCACACTCACATATCAGACATTTCCAAAAAGCCCTGACAGCAAATTCGCCCTGGCACGGTAGTTTCGTGCTGTCAGAGCACAGCAAATTCGCCCAATCACAGTTTTGCGCCGTCAGAGAGCAGAAAATTTGCCCAATCACAGCGGAATTACCCTGACACAAGAGCAGATTCGCCCTTACACGAGATTCGCCCTGTCAGACCCTGTTGTGAGTGCTGCTTTATTATGTTAGTATAGAAAACTTAGCTCACAAAATAGTAGCCGAAACAGGCTTAGCCTAAAACTACCCTGCTCAAATCAGGCTATAGGTTGATTTACCCTGCTGCAAACAGGGTACGAAAATTTTTACCCTAGGGGTCGGGCTAAGGAGGGGCTGGAACCCTGATTTGTAAGGGTAGGCCTAAACCAATTTTGGGCCCTGCATGCAACTGCCGTGCAACTTCCAGGCGACTACCATTTCCTTTACCTCAGCTTCCCCTACCTCCACACTTCCTATCCCTTTTCCTTTCCTCCTTCCATTCATCCTTCCTCCTCTCCTCCATCCTCCTCTTCTCCTTCCTCTCCGTCCTTCTCTCCTCATCTCTTCTCTCCTCCTCCCTCCATTCCTCATCTCGCCTCCTCTCCTCCCTCTTCTCCTCCCTCCTCCTCTCCACCCTCTTCCTCTCTTCCCTCCTCCCCTCCCTCCACTCCACCTTCATCCTCTCATCCTTTCCCTCCTCCTCTCCCCCCCCTTCCTCTACCACTACCTTTTCTTCCTCCCCTTCCCTTGGTCCAACCCTCTCTCCCCCTCCCTCCCTCTCCTCCTCTCCCTTCAATGCACCACTGCCCATTGCCTCTCCCAAACACTCTTTCAACGCACTTTCGAATGCACCACCGCCAATTGCCTTTCCCAGTCGCTCTCTCACCAAACTCTCCAATGCACCACTGCCCATTGCCTCTCCCAATCGCTCTCTCAACACACTCGCCAATGCAGCACCACCCAATGCCTCTCCCAGTCGCTCCCTCAACTCATGCATCTCCATTCTCACCTTCTCCCGCTCCTCCCTCTCCCTCACCACCTCAGCAAATACTGCTTTCTCTCCATCTCGTATTTCATTCAATAGCCTTCTCAGCTCACTCCATTCCATGGCTCTTTCCCTCTCAGCCTCCTCTCTCCTTGCCGCTGCCAGCTGCATATCAAGAGACCTTATTCTCCTCTCCAATGCTTGCCTCAGCATGGCTGCTCCGAACATTGGCTTGAGAATTACAAAAAGAGCTTCACTCACGCTTCTCATCCCCGAAGTGCACAGCTCACTACACGCGACAGCACATCAGAATGGAGAGAGAGAGAGAGAGAGAGAAAAAAAAATATCGAGATTTGCAAGCAAATGTGAGACGTGAAGGGGAAAGAGGGCAGGAGTGTACAAGTCGACAAAGAGATATGGTAGATGGTACTAGCAGAAAGAAAGGCAGCGCAGAGCAAATAGCATCCAACGCAGCAAAGCCCATAGAACGCAGCTGGCACTGTATGTCATTCATTCTCACATGGCATCGTGGACTCGGGGGAAGATTCCTAGTGTCTGTGGCGTGGAGGGGAGAGATACAACGGGGAGTTGGCATGAGAGGTTGAGATGAGGTGCAACTGAAGCGGAGTGGGAAGACTGAGTGCACTGAGACTACTCCTCGTTATTAAACATACAGCAAGAAAACAGCAGCTTATGGCATGATGAGCAAGAGTCATGGCATGATGAGCAAGAGTCATGCAAAAAACCGCATAACCCATGGCATGGCTTACGGGTTCATCAGCTACCATGAAACTTCTGGCATACCATGAGAGACGCAGCTGCTCTCCTCAGCTTAATCAGCTTCGCTCCCAAAGCTGATCGCTGCCGCTGCACCCACTCCCTGACAGCTGAGCCCTGTCGCTGCACCCACGCCCTCACTTGAGCTTGAGACACGTCCATCCACCAGAGCAGTCCCAGGAGGGGGCACAATGCTGTGTAGAGCATGTAGAGCTGTGGGGGGATGCCCACACACACATGCACACAACCACGCACGCACACATGCACACGCACATGCACATGCACACACACGCCCACGGCTGCGCCCACCCACACATCCACACGCACGCACGCACGCACGCACGCACGCACGCATATGCACACGCACGCACACACAACCACATGCACACTCACACATGCACGCACGCATATGCACACGCATGCACACACAACCACATGCACACGCACACACCTACACAACCACACACCCACGCACGCACGCACGCACACACCAACAGCAGACAGTACAGCAGTACTTGAATCACGCATGTTGGAAGTAGAGAGCACAGGCAGGGGAGCAGAACGGGCTGAAGAAACAGTTGGATGGCAAGAAACGGATCGCTGTCACTCATGGTTGGAGGGACCGCAGGACAGAATCAGTTTGAGCATGAGGAAACGCTGGAGCAAAACAAAACGCAGGTAAAGTGTGCCAGAGTGAATTAAAGGGGGATGGCAGGGGTCATGCCACAAGCAGACTTCCAATCCCCGTCCATGCATGAGTGAGTGTCACGTGCGCGTGTCATGGTTGAGGGTGCACGCACCAGGGTTAGGAGGAGGTGCAGTGCCAAAGCGTGTAAGGAGACAGGTTGAACCGAAGAGTCTGCGCTTTCCTCCACCTGAAGAGCAACCAGACCTGTGGCATTGTGACACGTGGCTGTGGCGTTGGGCTGGGGGGAGGAACAAAACAAGAGGGATTGAATATGAATCCAGGGGGATAAGCACCGTGGCATGGACACACATAGATACACCGATACACCGACATGGTTAATGTTCTCCATTGGGATAAACACAGAGTCACATGGAGACTCACTTGCACATACACACCGAGACAACCAAACACCGACGCACGCACACACCCACACACCCACGCACCCACGCATCCACACACCTGAGCCACCCACACACCCACACATCGACACACTAAACTGCGGTTGCAAGCACCTCTGACTTATGGATTCTGGTTAACGATGCAGGCCTGCATGGGAGCTTAGCTTCTGTGCTCGTGTGCTCGTGTGCTCGTGTGCTCGTGTGCTCGTGTACCAAATTCATGTGCTCGTGTGCTCGTGTGCTCGTGTACCAAATTCATGTGCTCGTGTGCTCGTGTGCTCGTGTACCAAATTCATGTGCTCGTGTGTGCGCACCTCAGGGGCAGTTAGAGGTTGATGCACCAAAGAGTGGTTCGCTTGCAGTTGATGCTCGAAAGAGCTGTTTACTGAGAGGCCGCTAATGACACGTGGAAGCTGCAAATGGCAACACGGAGAGCAGCAGAGGTGAGAAGAAAGGTGTTAGAACGGACGAGAGAAGAGAGAGAGGTGTCAGAACAGGTGATGGTTGATGGTTGATGTGAGCTGAGCTTGGCCGTGAGTAATAGCATAGCTCACGAGTCACAGCCATCCTATTATCTCCACTCTGCCTGCCTCACTGCCTCATGATTCTCTATATCGCAGGGAAATTGAAAGAAACAACTGACTCGCTTTAGTCGTGGTGTAAGTTGGAATCAATATTAATGCGCTGCAAAAATCGCCTCAAAAGCTACTGTAGTGGGGATGAAATCAGTCACAGGGTGATGCCGTTGCTTGCTGTCAGGCGGAGCATGTGTCAGCGGCAGCAGCCTCGATACAGTCACAGCTGCAAGAATCGCTGCGATTAGCAGGCCTGCCCCCGCCACAGCCACTCGAAGCACTCCCGGCATACCGCGCGATCAGCTAGGAAGAATCCGAAAGGATTTCTAAAACGCGAGAACGGAGCTTAGAGGGGGAGAAGGTGGCAAGAGGGAAGGAGAACGAGGCGGTGGGTGCTGGAGCAACCCACAAGGTGAAAGGCTGGGAGGCTGGAGAGTGTTCAGGGCAGTCGGGTGGTTGGGCTTGGCTCGCCTCGGCGTGATGGAGGAGCTCGGTAGGGCGGAGCTGCGCGTGGCGGATCTGCGGAGCTGCGCATGGCGGAGATGCGCATGGCGGAGCTGCGCATGGGGGAGCTCGGGTCCCGTCATCCCCGAGCTCAGTAGCACGCTTGCATGCAATGCGATTCGCAACGAACCAGCAGCACGCCATGCAAGGGTGGATGGACTGAAGTGCGCTTCGACGCAACGAGAGAATCGAAATCCTCTTAGGCTCTCCGCGCGCGTCGCGCGATGATCACGGCATGCAGCAAGGTTGCTGCGCGGGGTTACATTACTAGAATCGATTTCGCGAAAAGTCCTCAGCGTTCTCGCCTTGTTTCAGGACTACGCCTGCCCTAGCGTCCAGCGCCCGTTGCCTTTTGCCACGTCAAGATGACCGAGCGAATCGCGGAATCGCAAAATCTTTTGCAAGATCTTTGTGGCGAACTCAGCAAATTGCTTGACGTCAATCCCCCCCAAGACTTTGGAACAGCTGTCTGAAGTTCAGCCCTTTTCAAACCAAAATGTCATGCGGCGTTACTGTTCCAGGTCTCGTTTATCCAATAACGAGGATCCGAGTTTATTGATGCCATTTTTCTCATCTTGGTTGTGTTCGGACCACTTCGTACCGAACTGAAGAATATGTACGGGAAATACGCACGCCTTGTTCACGTGTTGCACTCGCTTAGGGCGTGTTACATTTTTCATTTTTTTCGTCCGGATGGCTGACCGTCCGGACGATTGTGTGGTTACAGAACTCGTCGATTCTCGGCAGTGAGCTCGTTAGGGTCTAAACGACGTCGTATTCTTCGTATTACCTCCTTACGACATCGCTTTGGTCGCAAAGCGACCGTGCGACGTCGCAATCTTCGCACGCGTCCGGACAGCCGTCCGGACTTTCAGCGACTTTAAAAAATGTAACACGCCCTTAGTGAAATGCGACGGATTACGATTCATGCGACGTGTGCAATTAGTCGGACACCCCTGACGACTGTTTAGGCTCATCGCACACGGGACCTTGGATTCGCAGATGTTGTGCTTCCGCGGACATGTTATTTTAGCATATGCGTTTCTTCGCTGGCAGTTTGGGCCTCATGCCGCAGATAAGAATGGGGATGGCGTGGGCGGATGCTGGATGGGCGAATATGTGGGTTCGCACGACGAGAGTCGCCGACGGGCCTCAGCTGGCGATGAGCCAGTCTCGCGAGCCGTCGTCGATGGAGGGACCGACGTTGACGTTGACGTTGACGTCCTGAGCAAAGTCCGTTGACGTCGAGATGATCTGTTGCGACAGACATCCAACCTCGCATGAAACGATGCTGCTGATTCTCTCATCGCTGTGATCCTCGAGGTGATACTATCTTTATCTGTCATCACTCTTGCCACGTGCATGGTGCATGATGTCCAGTGACGTCTTGCTGAGCAGGACCTTCACGTCAGCAAGCACACGGGTCACGCATGACAGCGGGACAGCTTAACGAACACGTCTGTGGGCTACTCGGGTCGGGTCTGCTAGTTTTTGTCCCACTGTCGACTGCATTTTTGCCGTGGCTTTTCTGATCCCGGCCGTTCCTGCCTTCCCCTGAATATTTGTATGTCTTTCCGTCGTCGCCATGCTCTATGTAGTCACTCTCTGACATCGTCCCCCGTGTTTCCGCTCCCACACATCCCGAAGCTCAGCCATTCCAACTTTGTGGATGCTTCGGAATCCAGGCTTGGAAGGGTATCATGTGCACGGGCCTCGCGCCCTTGCTTCAGAAGCGCCGCCTGAATGTGCCCTATCTCTCCATCTGGCATTATAGCTTTCCAGATACAACCTCGAGTTACGTCAAGGAAATAAAAGTCCATTTAGTGCTCCTCCTGATTCTCATCTCCAGCACTAAGCTTGGTGTGCACTAGGCTAGGACATGTTCGTTTCTTAGCGTTTCGTTGTCTTTCATCAGCAGCCACTCCAAGCGTGGTGCTGCACGTCTGTTCGCCCTAATTCTTGCCAGTCGTAGCCATGCCTCGAGTGGCTGGAGTGGCTATGGCTCTGGCAGGGCTGCTACTGGCAGTAGTTCTTGCTGCTGTGACAATATCGAGGCTGCTGCCCATGAAAAACGACCCTCCTGGCAGAAATGACCTCTCACACCATGTATGAGTCGGACCGAGCCAGGTTGAGTCAGACTCTGATCTACCACCTGATATTTATGAAATCTCAGGTCGGTTTGTATGTGCTTGACCGTCACGGGGCGAAGTTGGTCCATGTATCGCGTTGCCGGAATGCATGCTGTGTGATGCATGGGACCTTGCTATCCAAAGCATGGAGATGTGTTGTGGCCGCCATGCCATGTGAGCATCGTTGCACCCATCCTCTTCTGCCCTCACCCTTTTCTCTCGCCTTTCCTTTCTCTCACCCTTGTCTTCCACAGCTTCCACAAGACCCTCCCAGCCTGGAAGCGAACTGCTCTCTCGTGCACCAACCAACAATCCACGTTGAGGTGCGCGCAAATCACGTCTTCAACATAATTGCGATTTAAAACGTTTCTTGCTCAACCTCATGAAAACGAGTTTTGTGACATCCATATCTTGCAAACATAAATCCATATTTTTTTCCCTTTCTCGTTTTCAAGGGGTGCTTCACGGGTCATCATGTCACGTCACTATGTATATACTGTTCTGATGACCTGTGTTTTGTTTCCTTTCTTCAGCCCAATGGCACTGCCACAGGTCACAATGCTACAGGTGTAGCAATGCTTCAGTCCCATGAAGGCACAGAACCAGAACCTTCAGTTCAACCTGGCCGTTTTCACCTTCTGCCACTGTATCTCCTTCATACTCTTGTGCGTGCACACTCAACCTCGTGCATGCACACTTACTCTTGTCCGTGCACACTCACACCAAGGCCTGCTTTAGTTGTCACTGCAGATTATTTTCCTCCACATCCACAGCTCTCATCATTCGTTCAGTGCTCACCCTTCTTTTGCCTCTAACCACAAAACATACTGTCCTGCTGTATGCACATGTGCTCAATTCCAGCTGTACACACTCTACACCGCACTGTGTCCGCTCATAGTGCTCCTCTGGTGGATGAACGTCACTCAAGCACAAGTGAGGGAGTGGTTGCGCCTGCGGGGCTTGGCTGTGAAAGCTAAGCTGTCGGAACTGAAGATTGCAGCTGCGTCTTTCATGGTATGCCTTGAGTCGTCTGCGTGGTTGTAGCTCACAAGTGGTGGTACTGTGACAGTATGCTTCGATCTTAGCCCTGACATTGCTAGAGTGATGATGATGAGGCATGAAGCATGCCTTGATTCGTTTGCATGCCACGCCTTGCATTTTTTTGTCCCTTATCAGTCGCTGATGTCAATCGTCATCCATTCCACCTGCTCCAAGCACCTTCCTTTTTCACTTGTCCCTCCTCCTGGTTTCCTTCCCTCATCTCTCTCCCCCATCTCTCCTCCCTTTTCCTGTTTGAACTCGATTTCTTCTTGCACTTGCTGCAGAAACTTGACAACTTTCCACTGCTCCGCAAAGCTATGTGAGGATTGGCCTAACCCCCCTCACACCTCCCCTCCCGTTTTCTGTCGTTCGTTTTCATCAACACATGCAACGTACGCATCCTTAAGAAGCTGGCTAGAATCACTGTGTGCTGCCTCTACTTGGCTTTCCTCGCATGCGGGTTGCCTCCCTCTCGTCCATGCTCCTATGCAATCATTGTGTGCGTGCTCATTCCATGCTCTTATGCAATTCTTGTGTGCGTGCTCATTCCCTGCGCCTACGCTATTATCCCTTCATTCTGCATCTCTCATGTGCTGTCACGTGCTGCCATGTGCCGCCTTGTGCCAACACTTGCAGTGAGCTTGGTAGAGCCAGAATGAAGATGATAAACAACGCTGTTGTGGTGGCACTGAGACAAAGAGCGGGAACAGACTCGCTGAATGCAGCTATGGTGAGGGCTGAGAAGCGAATTAGTGCATTGGAGAGGCATCTGGAAGATTCAAGGAAGGAACTGGAGGAGCGTGAGACAACACAAGCTGAGTTAATTGACCTGAGAAGGCAGGTGCAGGAGATGAAAGATGAAGAGCAAGCATTGAAAAGGGAGATGGAGCAAGAGAGGGAGGAGAGAAGGATAGATTTGGGTGAGATGACATACGTACTGGCTCGGGGCAATGCAGGGATGGAGCGAATGCAGATGGAAGCAGGTGACATGGTCAAGGCTGTGCATGCGCTCAAGCTGACTGTGGACTCGGTGGCTCTGGTGGTGCGAGATTGTGCCGGGAAAAGTGAACTGGTGGGAGTCCATGAATGTTTGGCGGCATTGAAAGGAGAAGTTGCTGGTCACAAGACAGCTGCGGCAAGGGAAATGCATGAGGTTCGGCAGACGTTAGGAGGTGTGCGGGAGAGGAATTGTGAGGCCGCTGGTGTGCTGGCGCAACGGGGGAGAGAGTTGGTGGAAATGAAACGGGAGTTGGCAGCAGTGAGGCGAGAGGTATTTGAGAACATGTCGGCCTTACAAAGGGAGGTGCAGGAGATAAGAGACATATTGCGTGCAGTGGAAGAGAGGAATGGTTGCAGTGCTGCAAGCATGGCAGAGAGGGACAGGGAGCTCGCAGCAGTTGAGGCGCAGCTGGCAGCGATAAAACAAGAATTATTACCTCGACTCAAAGAGGCTGCAAGAAGGGAAGCGATTGTGTTGAGTGAGGGCCAGTTGGCAAGGGCGAGAGAGGTTTTTTTCCGACAGAATATGGCGGCACAGGCGGAGGTGGATGAGATTAGAATGAAGTTTCAGGAGAGGACCGCCGAGTTTGCAGCTGTGCTGAAGCAGAAGGGGAAGGAGTTGGCAGCAGTGAAGCAGGCGTTGGCTGAGTTTAGGAAGGCTGCAGAAAGAGAGGCGGATGGATTGCGGAGCGCTCTGGGTGCTTTGAGGGAAGGCAATGAGGAGGCTTTTGCGTTGGTGAGGGAAAGCGAGATGGAGTTGGCAATCGTGAAAAAGGAGATGAGGGCTTTGAGGAATTCGCAGGGGCTGATGGTGGAAGGCGGGGTAGAGTCCAGCAAGCAAGGGTGTGCATCCGGATTGAACGGCACGGCAAAAGCAGGACACCGCAAGGGTGACGGGGACGCAATCTGGCAGGTGAGTGGCAACCATGGTGGAAAGCTAGGTTAAGTTTATCAATATATCCCGGCCTCTGTTGATTTCCTCGTTTCGTCTTTCTACCGTTTTTTTCTTCCCTCCCTCCTCGTTCGTGGAACAGTGCTCATGTGTTTTGACAACCTACCACTCCCTCCGCTTCATCCCTCCCAGAAAATCGGGTCTGCTTCAGGAAAACCGAAGCTAGATCTGAGTGGTTTCTCTGGCCTCTCTGATGCCGTCCTTGCACATGTATCCACCATGACCCACCTCACCGTTCTCAACCTGGATGGATCCTCGGGCTTCACTGCAAAGGGCACCAGTCACCTCTACAAGCTGCTATGGTTGAAGAAGCTGCACCTGAGTGGCACACCCGTTGCAGATGAGCACTTGAAGGGCATTGAGGCGTTGAGCAGGCTCGAGTGTCTCACTCTCTCGCACACGAAGGTGACTGATTCTGGCCTGGTGCACCTCGTGGGGCTACCCTCCCTCAAGCGATTGGAGCTTGCTGGGTGTGAGTGTGTCATGTCTGCTGGGATGGCGCATGTGGGAAAGCTCACAAGCCTCAAACAGGTGGATTTGAGGCGCACTGGGGTGGCGGATGATGGGTTTGAGTGGCTCGCCTCCCTGGTGCAGCTGGAGCAGCTGTTCCTGCCCTCTGGGAGGTGTGTCAACCACAAAACGCTCTGTCTTCGGCTAGGCTGCCGTAGGAATGGGAAGAGACGGGACCGGGGGTGGCTGAAGGAGGAGAAGGGGGGATGTGGGATGGGTGTTGGTGTCGAGGCAACGATGGAAGGGGTTGCGAAGGTCAGAAAGGAGAAGGGGAGAGGGATGTGGAAGGGTGGGAGGGAGAGGTGGGACAATGCACGAGTGCAAGCGCACAGGGAGAGGCCGAATAAGAAGATGGAAGCATGGCAGGAGTATGTTGCAGTGAGAGATGCTTGCCGCAAGGAGCAGCAGAGAAAGCAAGCAGAGGAGGTTAGAAAGAACACTGAGGTTTTTTATTACGCGCTAAACAGTTTTTTCACCAGAAATCGTGAGGCTGCTGTGAGAGCCAGTAGCTAAATTAGTGACCCCCCTTTCAAGTTGGGGCCCAACTGAAAATAATGATTTTTTTCTCTCTTTCTTTTTGCCTGGTGTTGGTCAAAGGTGGACATGAGTGACATGACGCATAGTGTATGAGTATTGAACCCAACATCTGTGGGGAGAACCCTCAACTTAGTTCAACTTAAACCGTGATGACCACATTCTGGCAACGCCAAGCAGGTCTGAACTGAAACTAGCTTAAACGGAAATCGCCCGTTAACTGCGACACCTCACTAATCACCAACGTGATACTGCCGCCTGGCAAGCCAAGTCGTGCCTTAAAGCCAGGATCTCAAGTACGAGAAATTGCTGTCAACTGCAAAACACTTGCTGCTCTCGTTACCCTATCTGCGTAGGCGAACTGACTGGCTGGTTAGGAGGTTTTGTGTGCGACACACCCACGTTTTTGCCCCTGGGTCAATTGCAAAACACATTTCTGATACATGAGATTTTTTCGGGGGTGGCGAGAAATTGCTGGTGTTGGAGCTTCGTCACCGAACCAGATTCCGTGCCTCCCTGGTTCGGATTCAAACTTGCGATTTGACTTTAGTTCGCACCCCTCGCTTCACCCCTCGTCAAACTAACCACCTCGTTAACCAATCACAGGCGAGCTACCCTCACCAACTTCCAGCCGATTTTTTTACTTGAGATCCTGGCTTTAAACGCCCCATACCACCATCAGTGCCCCCCCAGGACTGCCTGCGATGGACGCCACAAGCTCCCCTCTTAATTCTATGCTTATGCCTCCCATTCTGCCATTGCCTGGCCCTCTGCTGTCCACTTCGCCACCACCTGTTCCTCCGCCGCACATTCCTTCGCCTCCTTTCCGCTGCCATCCACTTCGCCACCACATGTTCCTCTGCCGCCAATTCCTCCACCGCCCATTTGTTCAGCTGTTCTCTAATCTCAACCCCCTCCCCGCCCATTGCTGCTGCCAACTGAGCCCTCAACTCATCCACCTCCCTCCTCACCAATTCCCTCTCCTCCCTCTCCCTCACCACCTCACCAACCACTGCTTGCTCTCTCGCACTTCCTCCACTCGCCTTTGCAGCTCACTCCATTCCACTAATCTCTCCCTCTCAGCCTCTTGCGACTCTCTACTTGCCACTGCCAGCTGCATGCCACATATGCCAGCTGCATGCCACATATGCCAGCTGCATGCCACATATGCCAGCTGCATGCCACATATGCCAGCTGCATGCCACATATGCCAGCTGCATGCCACATATGCCAGCTGCATGCCATGTGGAGAGCACATATTCCCTCTCCCTTGCTTGCTTCAGCGCCTCTGTTCCCTCCCATCGCCTCAGAGGCTTCTTATCAGGAGCGTTATTTTTTAGGCGCCTCAAAACTAGCGTTATTGGTGCTTTGCATTCCAAGACCATCCCAGCTCACTGTACGCACAATGTTGATCACACACGCGAAACCTGAGATGTGCAAACGAGAGAGGGGAAGGTGAATCAGACCATGCGCAAACAGCCCAAGGGGATACAAGGGATGAAGAGAGAATATCACGAGAGATGACAAGAGACGACAAGAGACGACAAGAGACGACAAGAGACGACAGAGAATCAGCAGCTGGGGTGGCAGCTGGGGAGGCACAGGCTGATGGGTTTCAAAGCAGCTCGTAGAGTCTAAACGCCGGTGGCAAGGCAGGTCATTCTCAAATGGCATGAAGAAGAGGGAAGATCCCAAGGGTCTGCGTCAGTAACGGACAGGTGGGCTGTCTGTGGAGGCCTTACTTCCATCAACTCTTGTTGCTCTAAGACAATGAAACGAACCCCATGGGTTTGGTGAGAGAGAGGAAGGAGTGCCTGGTTGAGTGTGTTTCTTTGAGAGCCAGATTAAACTAATCTTCAGCACATGGCACTATGAAGCAAAGGGAAGATCCCAAGGGTCTGTGGCATGTTGGGGGGAAGGACGAGAAGCATGAGGTACAGAGGATTGGGATGAGTAGCGGCGGAAGACGGGTTGAGTAGAGAGGGTTGGTGTGAAGGAGCTTTTGAGAGTGTTGGGTGACACAAGGTGATGTCTGTGCTTCTTGGAGAAGAATGAGAGTATTGTGATGCTTGAGGCGAGCCGAGCGCACTTATCACAAAAGAGTGAAACCAGAGACAAAGTGGAGAGTATTTTTGAGAATTCTCAAAAATACCCTGCAGAATCAGAGACCACTTTCTAACAAAGCTGCAAGTCAATAACGCGAATAACGAATAATGGCATAAATTAAAAAAGTCGTGGCACCACAAAGGGCATACCAGCGAAGACACATCTGCTCTCTTCAGCGGCTCTCTTCAGCGGCTCTCTTCAGCGGCTCTCTTCAGCGGCTCTCTTCAGATGCTGTCTTCAGGTTCAGTATTTGCAAGCCTATGGCAGAGCCCCGTTGATGCACTCTCGTCCTCACTTGTGCTTGAGTCACGTCCATCCACCTGAGCAGCCGTGGGAAAAGGTACAGTACTATGTAGAGCACGTAGAGCTGTGGGGGGGTACTCCCACACGCATGCACACACAGACGTACACGCACAACCACACACACGCACACGCACACTCAACTCAACTGCACATGGACACACCCACGGCCATGCCCATCCACGCACGCACGCATATGCACACACACACACACACACGCGCGCGCGCGCGCGCGCGCACGCACGCACACGAAGATCCCAAGGGTCGCATGCATGCATGCCGCGTGAAGTTAGTGAGTGATGTGGCTTGTTGCTCACGAAGTGAAGCAATGAGCACTCTTGTGGAAAGAAGGCACTACTGTTGGGGTGTAACGGTGACGTGATCACATCACATGTCCCCATCATGTGCCAACGGCCCATAGCACGACTCCATGCAACAACTCAAGCCCCATGTCCCCATGCATCACGGCACATGACATGCATGGCGTGTGTGTTTAGGGTCTGGGTGTGGGGCATCACGCATGGCAGACCCTCCGCCTCCCCTCATGATGCTCGAGCCCATGCACCATGCATCATGCACCATGTACCATGCACCATGCATCATGCACCATGTACCATGCACCATGCATCATGCACCATGTACCATGCACCATGCATCATGCACCATGTACCATGCACCATGCATCATGCACCATGTACCATGCACCATGCATCATGCACCATGCACCATGCATCATGCACCATGTACCATGCACCATGCATCATGCACCATGTACCATGCACCATGCATCATGCACCATGTACCATGCACCATGCATCATGCACCATGTACCATGCACCATGCATCATGCACCATGTACCATGCACCATGCATCATGCACCATGTACCATGCACCATGCATCATGCACCATGTACCATGCACCATGCATCATGCACCATGCACCATGCACCATGCACCATGCACCATGCACCATGCACCATGCACCATGCACCATGCACCATGCACCATGCACCATGCACCATGCACCATGCACCATGCACCATGCACCATGCACCATGCACCATGCACCATGCACCATGCACCATGCACCATGCACCATGCACCATGCACCATGCACCATGCACCATGCACCATGTACCATGCACCATGCATCATGCACCATGTACCATGCACCATGCATCATGCACCATGTACCATGCACCATGCATCATGCACCATGTACCATGCACCATGCATCATGCACCATGCACCATGCATCATGCACCATGTACCATGCACCATGCATCATGCACCATGTACCATGCACCATGCATCATGCACCATGTACCATGCACCATGCATCATGCACCATGTACCATGCACCATGCATCATGCACCATGTACCATGCACCATGCATCATGCACCATGTACCATGCACCATGCATCATGCACCATGTACCATGCACCATGCATCATGCACCATGTACCATGCACCATGCATCATGCACCATGTACCATGCACCATGCATCATGCACCATGTACCATGCACCATGCACATGCCATGCATCATGCACCATGCACCATGCACCATGCACCATGCACCATGCACCATGCACCATGCACCATGCACCATGCACCATGCACCATGCACCATGCACCATGCACCATGCACCATGCACCATGCACCATGCACCATGCACCATGCACCATGCACCATGCACCATGCACCATGCACCATGCATGGCAAACTGAGCGAGACCGAGAAAGCGGTTGAAATTGCATGCGCAGTTTCCAATGAGGGTTGAAAATCAGCCACACACACACCTGGCGTGTACGATCACTACTGCCAGGCGAACCATGTGTCAGCGGCAGCAGCCTCGATACAGTCACAATGGCAAGAACCACCGCTACTAGCACACACACAGAACACCTGGCGTGTAAGATCGCTGCTGCCATGCGAACCACTTCCGAGCAGCAGCAGCAGCAGCAACAGCAGCCTCGATACAGTCACATCAGCAAGAATCACTGCGAGCAGCAGTCCTGCCCTCGCCACAGCCACTCCACCCACTCCGCGTTGGGCAGGGAAACACGAGGAGGGACTATCAGTCTGGGAGCTGCAAGGCTGGAGCGGCAGCGGGTGGTGAGAGCCGAGGAGGAGGCGCGGACTTAACCTCTCATGGCGGATGACGCAGCTGCGCTTGGGGAGGCTGCGCGTGGCTGGGGCGACTGGGGAAGTGGAGGTGGTTACATGGGATAGGTTAATTAGGGCATGGAATGGCTGAGATTCGCCCAACGGCCGGGGCAGGAGGCTGGGGCGACTGGAGAAGTGGGAGGTGGTTAGGTTGGGAAGGGAGGTTTGAGCTTGGAAAGGCTGAGGTTCGGCCGTCGAGCCGGTTAGGGAGGCGGACGAGACGAGACGGGAAGGAATGGCGAGTGACACAGAGAGCGACTCGCGGAATGCGGCATTGTGATGAGGACAGGGCGGGGCGGGGAAGGGCAGGCCAGGCGGAGCTGCGCGAGGCGGGGCTGCGCGTGAGAGAGCTGCGCGTGAGGGAGCTGCGCGTGAGGGAACTGCGCGTGGCGGAGCTGGGCGTGGCGGAGCTGCGCGTTGCGCGTTGCGGAGCTTGGGTCTCGCTGATGACCCTCCGCCGCCATCGCCGAGCTCAGTAACACCGATTTCGCATGCCATGCGAGTCGCAATGCTTGCGAGTCGAAGCGAGGAGCGGACCAGCCACACGCCATGCGAGGGAGATTAATTTAACGTGCGTTTTGATGCCACGTAAGAAAATCAAATTACTCGTCGTATCCCCCTCCCCCTTTCCCCCCTACTCCCCCTTCCCTTCCCTGCCCTTGCTTTCTTTGCCCTATACATCACGGAAACAAGACGTGCCGCGGAACCCGCGCGATGAACATAGCATGCGGCGAACCACTGCGCAACTTTTGAAATACAATCCATCTCGCGAAATCTCTCTCTGCTTTCGCCTTAGTCTATACCCCCCTGCCCTGCCGTTGAACGACCATCGCATTTCGCAACGTCAGCTTGGTCGAGCGAGTCGCGGATCGCGACATCTAGCGCAACGCCCCCCTAATGAGCTTGTTGTCAGTCACTCCTGGCCATTGCCTGCTGATCATAGATCTATCCCCGCTTGTGAAAGCTTGATTGGTGCGTTTTTATTGTGTGCAGCAAAACCCACGCTAACCAGAACTTTTGTAAGAGTACATAGAGAACGAATGTGAACGAGTGTGCATTGCGTTCATGGACTGTGGACACCGAATCCAATCTTATCAGGGATACGGGTTTCTTCGAATTTCGTTTCGTGGGTGGGAGGACGAAAGGAAAGAGTCGGCTGTTGACAAAAGGTACAGTGGTCAACATATTTTCACAAGGCGCTGACTCGATTTTCAAGCGCTTGACTCGACGTTAGCCATTGGTCCACTGGTTCCAGCTCGAGTCATCGCGCCGCGCGCAAAACATTTTCATGCGCAGCAGCATTCGCGACGCGATATTGCAGTGGCAACTCATCCGCACTCCTCCACACATTTGCAGTGAACATAGGACTTCGGCCTTTCCAACTTCTCAAGGTGCCTACGATTCTTCATTTCCAACCTGCTACTTTCAGAAAACAATCTTACGTGGAATTTTCAGCTGAACCATACGCAACGCCAGCACAATGACACAGAGGGTCTCATTTCTGTCCAGCCAGCGTCGTCGCCGTGACCTGAGCACGGCCTTTCTCCTCCTCTCGCTTGTTCTTGTTTCGTCTCTCCACGCGGCGTTGGCCTATCGCTTCTCCGCGGGGCTCCGAGCGGACAAGCTGCGGGGGATGATGCGCGGATGGGCGCGAGGCGGAAGCTCGACCGGCCAGCCGCAGCAGCAGCAGCAGAGCGGCGGAATCAGTGGAAGCGGTATGGGCAGCGGCGGAATGGGTGGCGGCGGAATGGGTGGCGGCGGAATGAGCGGCGGCGGCATGGGCGGCGGCGGAATGGGTGGCGGCGGAATGGGTGGCGGCGGAATGGGCGGAAGCGGCATGGGTGGCGGCGGAATGAGTGGCGGTGGAATGGGTGCCGGTGGAATGGTTGGCGGTGGAATGGGCGGAGGCGGAATGGGCGGCGGCGGAATGGGCGGCGGCGGAATGGGCGGCGGTGGAATGGGCGGCGGCGGCACTGGTGGCGGCGGAATGGGCGGCGGCGGAATGGGTGGCGGCGGAATGGGCGGCGGCGGAATGGGCGGCGGCGGAATGGGCGGTGGTGAAATGGGCGGCGGCGGCATTGGTGGCGGCGGAATGGGCGGCGGCGGAATGGGTGGCGGCGGAATGGGCGGCGTCGGAATGGGCGGCGGCGGAATGGGCGGTGGCGGAATGGGCGGCGGCGGAATGGGTGGCGGCGGAATGGGTGGCGGCGGAATGGGCGGCGTCGGAATGGGCGGCGGCGGAATGGGCGGTGGCGGAATGGGAGGGGGCATGGGAGGACCTGGTTCCTCTGCTCCAGGTTCGCAATCAGCCATGGGTCCTGGGGGAAACATGGGTGGCGGCGGAATGGGCGGCGGCGGAATGGGTGGCGGCGGAATGAGCGGCGGCGGAATGGACGGCGGCAGCATGGGTGGCGGTGGGATGGGCGGAGGCGGAATGGGCGGCGGCGGAATGGGCGGCGGCGGAATGGGCGGTGGCGGAATGGGTGGCGGCGGAATGGGCGGCGGCGAAATGGGCGGAGGCGGAATGGGCGGAGGCGGAATGGGCGGAGGCGGAATGGGCAGTGGCAGAATGAGCGGCGGCAGAATGGGTGGCGGCGGAATGGGCGGCGGCGGAATGGGTGGCGGCGGAATGGGCGGAGGCGGAATGGGCGGCGGCGGAATGGGCGGCGGCGGAATGGGCGGTGGCGGAATGGGCGGTGGCGGAATGGGTGGCGGCGGAATGGGCGGCGGCGGAATGGGCGGCGGCATGGGCGGACCTGGGTCGTCTGCTCCCGGATCACAAGCAGCCATGGGTCATGGGGGAAACATGGGCGGCGGCGGCATGGGTGGCGGCGGAATGGGCGGAGGCGGAATGGGCGGTGGCGGAATGGGAGGCGGCGGAATGGGCGGCGGAGGCATGGGCGGCGGAGGAATGGGCGGGTCAGGGTGGTTTGCTCCAGGGTCGCAGGCAGCACCCGGCCAGGGTGGACCTGGGATGGGCGGAGGGATGGGGGGAGGGATGGGCGGAGGGATGGGTGGAGGGATGGGGGGAGGGATGGGGGGAGGGATGGGGGGAGCTGGGGGCAACATGGGAGGCGGGATGGGTGGATTAGGGCCGTTTTCTCCTTGATGCAAGACATTCCCTCACCACAGGGAGGAGTGGGGTGGTTGGCGGTAATTAGCGGAGGCATGGGTGGTAAAATTGGCGGGGGCACGGGGCATTGAGGCCGCAAGGAAAAATACGATTTGTAGGTGGCTTGGCTTCACCACCACACGGATGCTACAGGGGGTGGCAGCTAGTGCTGGGGTCTCAGGAGCATTGCCGCAAGAGGCGTTAGGGGTTTCATGTTTCGTTTCATTGCCAGAGCTTGGGTGCAGCAGCACGCTCACTGGTGCACGGGCACTGATGCATCAGTGTAGTGCTGCTTCGCCCAAGCTTGTAGCATCAGCTGTGGGTGTACCGTATGTGTAGGGTGCACGAGATGGCTCTTTGTGTACCGTAGTTTGTTATGTTATTGGATTGAGTACATTCTTCTCCTTTGTGTGTCATCCTCGTTGCGCTCTCATAACAAGAGAGCCTAATCTGGTTACTACATGGAACACGCATGTGCTGGAATTGCACACAAAATATCGCACTATAGTTTAAAATACTCACCTGGAGGTAATGTGTATGCTCAATGCTCATTGCTCATGGAGGTGGGCTTCAACCAACCATGCTCCGAGTTAAATAGAGATGGATGGATGGATGCATAACACAAGCTGTTCAGTAGTGAGGAATCCTAGCCGGAGTAGCAGCAGCAGAGCAGGAGAGCAGTGGAATGCCCATCCCTGTCATGTGTGCGGGGCTGCTGTTGGCATCTAGTAGCTCTCTTACTCGTTATAAGGTGCATCAAGACTCTAATAGCTCTCCTCTGCTTTGAGGCGCCTCAACAGGAGAGCAGTGGAATGCCCATCCTGTCATGTGCGTGGGGCTGCTGTTGGCATCTAGTAGCTCTCTTACTCGTTATAGGTGCCTCAAGACTCTAATAGCTCTCCTCTGCTTCGAAGCCTGGCCACGAGAGAGTGTAGTTGAGGGCATTGAGTGTAACGGAGAGAGGGGGAAAGGGGGGGTGGGGGGGTAAGGGAGGGAGAGGAGGGAGGGAGGGAGAATATATGAGAGATTGGGGGGGGCATGGGAACTGGTGGGCGGGGTTGAAGATTGGTAGGCGAAAGAGGCTTAATTCTATACGATTAGGGCGGTGACAACTCATTGTCACCGTCTTCACAAATTTCAGAGCTGTTTAGATTAGGGCGGTGAGAGTGAGCTTGAAGCCAGGATGCCAGGGAGGTGAAGGGGAGTGGCTTTTGAGTCGACTTAAAAGTCACCTGGATTAGGACTGGCGGCGACAGTGAGCTAGAAGCCAGGATGCCAAGGTGAAGGGGAGTGGGGACGGAGAGGGTAAAGCAAGAGGCAGAGATACAGAACGAGGGGGATTGAGCTTGAGCGCACTAGGCGTCAGCCAGGAGAAAGGGGAAAGCAGAAGTAGTTGGAAGCGGTTGAGAGGGGTGCGAGGTGGAGCAGGGATGGGAGGCAAGAAAAAGAGGGGAATCACTGGCGTTCTGAGGGGGAATCATGATGGGCGAAACGACAGATAGGGTGTCAGAACAGGGGGGTGGTTACGATTTTTTTAGGCGCCTCAAAAATCGCTCAAGATGGCGGGTGTCAGAACAGCGGGGCGTTTACTGATGAAGGACGGGCAGCAGTGGTGCCTCGGAGATTGAGTGGAACAGCCAGCAGCAAAGAAAAAGGGACCGGTTATGCGAACAACACAAAGACAACAGACTGAGGTGCGCAGCTCCGCAAAAGAAGGGATGTGGGTGGAAGTGGGGAGTGGGGACACAACACAAGTGTGTGACCGTGCTTGCTTGCTTCATCTCGCTGTGCTCATCTCATCTCCTCATCCAGTGGTCCTGCACGGTATGACAAAGGGAACACAAAGGAGAGCAGAGGAGAGAGATGGCTTTTGAGTCAACTCAAAAGTCAACTTGTTTCATCTCGCCGTGCTCATCTCATCTCCTCATCCAGTGGGCCTGTACGATATGACACAGGGAACACAAACGAGAGCAGGGGTGAGAGATGGGGTGTGAGATGAGAACAAGCAAGAGAACGAACGGTGATGGGTGATGTGAGCTGACCTTTGCCCGTGGGCCCGTCGCCTCAAGATACAGCTTTGCCCGTGCGCACTAAGCAGCAGCATAGCTCACAACCATCACATGACAAGCAGCAACGCTATGCCCAGACGTTAGGAATAGAACAGCCTTAACAGCTGCATTATCAAGCATCGGAGTGGAGTGGACTGATTGAAATCAGCCACATACCTGCCAGCAGATGCCGTCATGCGGACCAACTCTCAGCAGCAGCAGCAGCCTCGATACAGTCACAGCAGCAAGATTCACTGCGAGAAGCAGCGCTGCCCCCGCCACAGCCACTCGAGCCATACCGCATCAGCTGGGAGAAATGAGGAGGGACTATCAGCCGGGGAGCTTGGAGCTTGGAGCAGCAGCAGATAGCAGCAGGCGGAAAGAGAGGAGGAGCGGAGGCGGTGAGTGCTGGAGGAACGCACGAGGCGGAAGAATGATGACTGGTGAAAGGGTGGCAGGCTGGCAGGCTGGCAGGGTGGGAGGGTGGGAGGGTGGGAGGAAGGGTTGGAGGGTGGGAACACCCACACGGCGGTGGATGAGGCTGGGGAATGATTGTGCAGGAACGGATGGGCGACTGACATGACGATGAGCGGGGCAATATGGCATGTCGCAGAAAGAGGAGTCTGAAGTGTTACTGAGCAAAAAGAACACCTATTATTAGATGTCTCATAATCAGCTACTGAGCGGAATTACTTCATGATTTTAGGCGATTGAGAAAGTGGGAGGAGGTTAGGTTGGGAAGGTTGGGTACGGCGGTTAGGGCTTGGCATGGGGACAGAGTCAGGGAAAGGGCAGGAGACATGCGCCGACACGCAGGGCAAGGAGGCGCGCATGGCAAGCAAGGCGGCAATCTCGGGTCACAGGTGACAGCACGATGAATAGCTGCGCGTGGCGGAGCAGCGCGTGGCGGAGCTGGGAAGGGTACGCAGCGCGGGTCTCGATTGCATCCAATGCGAGTCGCAGCGACCAGCGCGTCAGCGGAACGGCTCTATGCGAGGGTGAACGGATTGAACTGCGCTTCGATGCGACGAGAGAAAATCAAAATCCTCTAAGTCTTCCCGTGCGTGCGCTCTAAAGCTCCCTCCCCGTACCGCACCATTCCCCAACCTCTCTCCCATCTTCCCTGCCGTCGAGCGATCTTAGCATTTCGCAATATCTCTTGCAACCACATCAGCTTGGTTGAGCGCGTTGCGGTTCGCGAACCGCGACATGTCTCGCAGCTCCCCCTGCCATTGCCAGGACCAGCTGGTTGCGGTTGCGATTGTGGATTTGTTCCAATTCGCAACTGTGCAGCAAAATCCACGAAAAGGTTTAGTCACGACAACCAGACTGTGCACCTCGACACGCAATATCGGATCGGGTGTAATCGAGGATTCTGGTTTTTATTTTTCAGATTTTGTATGGAGAGAAGCTACAGTGGTCAACATCATTTTGCGAGAAGGTATCAGCGGACAGACGCGGATTCCAGCCACATCAGCGAAACATTGCTGCCCGGCCAAAGTGGCGCCACATTGACATCGAAGTTGGTGTCCAGGTGGGAATGACCAGGTGCAGCGCCAATCAGTAGCCTCCTCCGAATCTCGCTACAAACTGCGAGTTCGTTTGCTTGGTTGGCTCCACCCCACCCCCGAAGGCTTGTTTGATAGGGTTACCGCGCTTTGCTCGCGACCAATAGGATCATTCAATATTTGAGGTTCGTATGGAATCATCCAACCAACTGCTTGCCTGCATGACAGGGGGGGGAGCTCAGGAGGAGGTTTTCGTTCAAGCCACTCTCCAAGCAAGACCAACTCCCTCACCCTGAGCGAGCAGGTGAATGTTTCCTTTCCCGTAAAACTGACAGCCATGACAGCCATGCTCAGTCTGATCTCATCTTTATTGCTTTCTCTGATCTAGTTCCTCTCCAGGGACATCCCTTCCCAAGCTTAGTCGTGGTTGTCAATCAGACGTAGCACAAGCCAGAGCTTTACCTCATCCCTCTTAGGAGAATGTCTCCAAATATCCATTGCCTTCCTGACCATGTTCTTGTCAGGATCTTCTGGCATTCCGACGCTTTCCGGCCGACCTCGTCACTGTCTCTCTCCGATTATGCTACTAGGAAGGAGAACGAAGATTCAGAGCCTGACCCGCATTTTTCAACACCTCCTGCCTCTGCCGATGTCGCTCACGTTCTCCTCATTGCCTCAGTCTGCCGTCGCTGGCGTGAGCTCGCACACGAATCCGTCACAACGCTTCTCGTTTCACGAAATCGTCTGGTGCCTCGCGAGTATCTCAAACGCGTCCTCGTGTCCTTCCCGAATCTCACTCGCCTGCACTTGAGCAACGGAAGCATGGAAACGATAGACGACAATTTCCTAGCATTTCTCGGCTCCTCGTCACCAAACCTAACGGCTCTTCATGTCGGCACAGGAATTGCTCCATACGACAGCCGTTACCAAAAACAGGAGGAGGAGATGGACGAGTTTGGCGAATCAGGTCACCCCGTCACGACAGCTGGGCTGGACATTCTCTTCCGCCATTGTCGCCGCTTGGAGCAGCTGTCACTCCAATGCCTCCATTGGACCACAAAGCTTCCGCCTTCGTTCTTCCAATTGACGCGCCTGCACACGCTGTCACTGGGAGATATCTCGCCTTTGGTGGATCCCAACTTCGCGAATCTCTCTTCTCTCACGAAGCTGTCTATTCAAAAGCTGAACATGCGGTTGCATCAGATGTCGCCGTTAACTCGCCTTCCGAATCTGACCAGCCTGTTCTTCCCAGGAGAGATATACTCCGAAGTTTCGAGGGGGATTTCTCATTTGGTGAACTGACAAATCTTCGTTCGCTGGGATTCGTGCGGGGAACAACGGACTTCCCTGCAATGTTTCCGCGAGAATCACCGTGTTTCCGTCTTCAACGTCTGCTGCTAAGCTATGTTCCGAGCATCCCGCCTGAGGGGCTTGGAGAACGGTTCCCAGTACTTCGCGCGAACTCTGCCTTTTCGGTAGCCTTTATTCTGCTGAGTTCCTGGTACCAGATTCCATCACAAGCCTCAGCACCTTGGAAGTTCTAACCATTCTCAACTTCAAAATATCCAACCTGCCCGAGAATTTTGGAGATTTTCCAGGGCTGAAGTCATTGGTGTTGATCAGATTGTCGTTGAATAGACTCCCCGATTCTATAGGGTTACTCACAGGGCTTCAGAAACTATCCTTGGACCATGTGGACATAGACACCTTCCCCACAACGATTTCCTGCTTGACTGCTCTTGAATCATTGAGCATCACGGGATCAAGGCTGACGGCACTTCCGGAGGAGATAGGCGAGCTGACGAATCTCCGCGATTTGGTGCTGAGCGGTTGTGAAGAACTGCAGCAGCTGCCGGCGTCGTTCAGTCGCCTCTCTTCTCTAACGCGGCTCGAAATCAGCAGCTCTCCCGTTGTTAACCTTCCAGAGGGTACAGGCCATCTTGGTGACCTGCGGGCTTTGACCTTGAGCTGCTGCAATGAGCTGACAGCTCTGCCAGCATCCATCACTCAACTGAGCCGCCTGAAGACTTTCAAGGCCTGCATGTGTATCAAGCTCGCGTCTGCACCTCGAGCCTTGGAAAACCTCTCATGCCTGCGGGAGCTGGATTTGACGGGATGTGAACTTTTGCAGGAAACTTTGGAATCTTTGCCGCAGTCTCTGGAAACATTGAGCTTGGGAAACGACACCAGCAGCATCATTCTTCCAGATTTGTCAACGATTCCAAATCTAAAGAATCTGAAATTGATTCGGGTTACCATCAGGGACGCACCAGCGACCAGCCGTTGTCCCTCTCAGATAGAGCACCTGGAGATGCGCCTGGGCGCTGAACAGACAGAGCTTCCACTCCCGCACGGTTTCCTTTCATGCCTCCGTAATCTACGCATCTCGAATGCCACGGCATTGCATCACCTGCCTCATGACATCGGCTCTGCTCTGCCTCAGCTGCGACAGCTGCACGTGGAAGGTGCGGAATCTCTGACGGAGATTCCAGAAAGTGTAACCCGGCTAGTGCAACTCACCTCCCTTCATATTGAAGCTCCAAGCCTGACCCATCTTCCGGAGACCATTTCCTCCTTGTCAAGGTTAGGCGACCTTAGCCTGCGTAATTGCTCCTCCTTGACAAGCCTGCCCGATTCTTTCACCAGCCTCACTTACCTGCACAAATTGGATGCCAGGAAGTCGGCTCTTCACTTCCTCCCTCCCAACTTCCACCAGTTGGCACGACTCAGAGAGCTGGACCTGAGTGGCTGTGAGCAGCTTCAGTCCCTGCCGCAACAGCTGTGTGACTTGACGATGCTGCGAGTGCTGAATTTCTTTGGCTGCAGAATGCTTGGTCCTTACAACCTTCAAGAGAGGCTTGGACTCCAGTGGTACCAAGACTATTGGTAGATCCAGCAGCTATTTTGCATACATTAATATACAGTTATGCAAGAGTGCGTACATGTAGGACATGTACGGGTGGATCCGGGACTCAGAAAACATTGTTCAAATCATCTTTAGAGTTGTGAGTGGAAGGTACGGCACTGTACCATAACCCCTGAGGAATGCTTTTGTGACTGAAAATCATATGGGCCCATTTTATAGACAAGAATGGTTTTAAAAGGGATGAGTGGATATATGAATTGATTCAAAACAGACTGTACAGCTGTGAGGAAGACAAGTGGGGGTATGTCCAGTTTCAATCACAGAAGAGCATAAAAAACATGCACAGCCCTGTCATGTGCCTTGCGCTGCTGCTGCTACCTTGTAGCTCTCTGCATCGTTACAAGGTGCATCAAAACAGTAGAAGCCCTCGGCCTCGCTATAAGGTGTCTTCAGGGACTGGAAGCTCTCGGCCTCGTTATAAGGTGCCTCGTGACGCTAGTAGCTCTCCTCTGCTTCAATGTCTGGCCGCGAGAGAGTGTAGTTGCGGGCGCTGAGTGTGAGCTGCGAGGGGCCAGGGAGAGGCGGGGAGGGAGTGGGAGAGAGGGCAGAGAAGATCGAGAGCGGAACGGCATGGGTGGGTGAGGGGGAAGACTGGGAGGGCGAAAGAAGAGAAACACGGTAGAGGACAGAACTGCGTGTTCCTTGTAAAGGTTTTGAATACAGGTGATCACAGTGGGCTGGAAGTCAGAAGGTCAGGGAAAGGGAGGAGAAGGAACGGGACGAGGGGGTGGGGGGGAGGGAGGGAGGGGGGGTTTGACCTTGATGGAGGAGAGAGAAAGTGTATACGATGGAAAGAAAGGTCGCGTTTGAGAGTAGTGGGAGTCAGCCAGGAGTGAGCAGAGGGGAAAGCGAAAGGAGTTAGAGATCGTTGAGAGGGGTGTTAGCCAGGAGTGAGCAGATCTTGGGACATCTTCCAGTGAGCAGCGCTTGGAGTAGTGGGAGTTCGGCAGGAGTGAGCAGAGGGGAAAGCGAAAGTAGTTAAGAACGTTGAGAGGGGTGTGAGGTGGAGCAGAGATGAGAGGCAAGATGAGGAGGGGGAGCAGGGGTGATGATGGATGGGCAGCCGCAGTGGTGCATGATTGGCAGCAGTGGTGCATGATTGGCAGCAGTGGTGCATGATTGGCAGCAGTGGTGCATGATTGGCAGCAGTGCTGCATGATTGGCAGCAGTGGTGCATGATTAGCAGCAGTGGTGCATGATTAGCAGCAGTGGTGCATGGTTGGCAGCAGTGGTGCATGATTAGCAGCAGTGGTGCATGATTGGCAGCAGTGGTGCATGATTGGCAGCAGTGGTGCATGATTGGCTGGCAGCAGTGGTGCATGATTGGCTGGCAGCAGTGGTGCATGATTGGCAGCAGTGGTGCATGATTGGCAGCAGTGGTGCATGATTGGCAGCAGTGGTGCATGATTAGCAGCAGTGGTGCATGATTAGCAGCAGTGGTGCATGATTAGCAGCAGTGGTGCATGATTGGCAGCAGTGGTGCATGAATGGCAGCAGTGGTGCATGATTAGCAGCAGTGGTGCATGATTAGCAGCAGTGGTGCATGATTAGCAGCAGTGGTGCATGATTGGCAGCAGTGGTGCATGGTTAGCAGCAGTGGTGCATGATTAGCAGCAGTGGTGCATGATTAGCAGCAGTGGTGCATGATTAGCAGCAGTGGTGCATGATTAGCAGCAGTGGTGCATGATTAGCAGCAGTGGTGCATGATTAGCAGCAGTGGTGCATGATTAGCAGCAGTGGTGCATGATTAGCAGCAGTGGTGCATGATTAGCAGCAGTGGTGCATGACTGGCAGCAGTGGTGCATGACTGGCAGCAGTGGTGCATGACTGGCAGCAGTGGTGCATGACTGGCAGCAGTGGTGCATGACTGGCAGCAGTGGTCCATGCTCGTTTCATCTCACCGTGGTCATCTCATCATCCAGTGGCCCCCCATGGTACGACACCGTGAACACATCCTTCGCCACCACGCCCTGCATGCACATGCATGAGAGATGAGCCATGAGAGATGAGCCATGAGAGACAGATACGGTGATCATTGTGTGGGATGGAGCACATCATTGTGTGGGATGGAGCACATCATTGTTTGGGATGGAGCACATCATTGTGTGGGATGGAGCACATCATTGTGTGGGATGGAGCACATCATTGTGTGGGATGGAGCACATCATTGTGTGGGATGGAGCACATCATTGTGTGGGATGGAGCACATCATTGTGTGGGATGGAGCACATCATTGTGTGGGATGGAGCACATCATTGTTTGGGATGGAGCACATCATTGTGTGGGATGGAGCACATCATTGTGTGGGATGGAGCACATCATTGTGTGGGATGGAGCACATCATTGTGTGGGATGGAGCACATCATTGTGGAGCACATCTATGTGATCATTGTGAACACATCCTTCGCCACCACGCCCTGCACGCCATGCACGCCCAATCCTCCCCTCCGCCCTCCCCAGTCCCCCCACCCTTCCCCCCTCACTCATAGTGCAGGGCCGCTAGTTCCATGTGAGTCCCATGGCGAGATGTGTGCCGGAATCCTGCAGGTGGGGAGAATGGGAAAGGGGGAAGGGGAACAGATTGAGGTGCAAGACGGTGGGATTCGGTGCAGGGAGGTGAGTCGCACGTGAGGCCCATGGCTAGCTGTGTGCGGGAATCCTGCAGGTGTGCGCATATAGGGTTTAGGGGGAAGAGGAGGGAGGAACAATCGGGAGGGGAAAGGGCACGAAGGGAAGGGGCAGGGGGAAGTGGGAGGAGAAGACAGGAAAAAGGGAAATGGGGAGGAAAAAGGGAAATGGGGAGGAAAAAGGGCAATGGGGAGGAAAAAGGGAAATGGGGAGGAAAAAGGGAAATGGGGAGGAAAAAGGGAAATGGGGAGGAAAAAGGGAAATGGGGAGGAAAAAGGGAAATGGGGAGGAAAAAGGGAAATGGGGAGGAAAAAGGGAAATGGGGAGGAAAAAGGGAAATGGGGAGGAAAAAGGGAAATGGGGAGGAAAAAGGGAAATGTTGAGGAAAAAGGGAAATGGGGAGGAAAAAGGGAAATGGGGAGGAAAAAGGGAAATGGGGAGGAAAAAGGGAAATGTTGAGGAAAAAGGGCAATGGGGAGGAAAAAGGGCAATGGGGAGGAAAAAGGGCAATGGGGAGGAAAAGGGAAATGGGGAGGAAAAAGGGAAATGGGGAGGGAAAAGGGAAATGGGGAGGAAAAAGGGAAATGGGGAGGAAAAAGGGCAATGGGGAGGAAAAAGGGCAATCGGGAGGAAAAAGGGAAATGGGGAGGAAAAAGGGCAATGGGGAGGAAAAAGGGAAATGGGGAGGAAAAAGGGCAATGGGGAGGAAAAAGGGCAATGCGGAGGAAAAAGGGCAATGGGGAGGAAAAAGGGAAATGGGGAGGAAAAAGGGCAATGGGGAGGAAAAAGGGCAATGGGGAGGAAAAAGGGAAATGGGGAGGAAAAAGGGCAATGGGGAGGAAAAAGGGCAACGGGGAGGAAAAAGGGAAATGGGGAGGAAAAAGGGAAATGGGGAGGAAAAAGGGCAATGGGGAGGAAAAAGGGAAATGGGGAGGAAAAAGGGCAATGGGGAGGAAAAAGGGAAATGGGGAGGAAAAAGGGAAATGGGGAGGAAAAAGGGAAATGGGGAGGAAAAAGGGAAATGGGGAGGAAAAAGGGAAATGGGGAGGAAAAAGGGAAATGGTGAGGAAAAAGGGAAATGGGGAGGAAAAAGGGAAATGGGGAGGAAAAAGGGAAATGGGGAGGAAAAAGGGAAATGGGGAGGAAAAAGGGCAATGGGGAGGAAAAAGGGCAATGGGGAGGAAAAAGGGCAATGGGGAGAAAAAGGGAAATGGGGAGGAAAAAGGGAAATGGGGAGGAAAAAGGGAAATGGGGAGGAAAAAGGGCAATGGGGAGGAAAAAGGGCAATGGGGAGGAAAAAGGGCACGGAGAAAGGGGAAGGGAGACGAGGGAGGAGGAAAGGTGGAAAGGGGGAGGAGGGATGGGGAGGGCAAAAAGGAAGGGGGAACGGGGAAGGCGGAAAGCGGAAGGCGGAAGGCGGGAAGAGGAAACGGGAAAAAGGGGAGCGAAGGGGGAAAGGGGAAAGGGAGTGAGGTGGTGAGGGAAATGGCAAAGGGGAAAGGGAAAAGGGGGGATGAATGTGATTGCTTGCTGATAAATGCGTGGGAATCTCTTACTGGCAGGGGGCCATTGGATTCAGGCTTTTTTTATAGAGTGACAGTGTGGGTGGGAACTCAAATGGCCAAGCCAAGCAAGCAGAAATGAATCTCCAGCGCAGCAAGCCAAGCAACCAATCCAATCCACTCCACTCCACGCCACTCCACTCCACTCCAATCCACTCTTGGGGTGCCATGCAGTGGTACAAAGTGTGTGTTACAACTGGTTGTGAGAAAGTAAGCCAAGCAAGCCAAGCAACCAATCCAATCCAATCCAATCCAATCCAATCCAATCCACTCGACTCTTGGGGTGCAAGGTGACTTTTGAGTCGACTCAAAAGTCACCATGCAGTGTACACAGTGGTTGTGAGAAAGTAAGCGTGTGGACCACTGCTGCTAGCAGCAGCCTACCTGCGCACTCACAGCGTATGGAGCTGGGCGACGTCGCTGCTGTCAGGCGGACCATGCTTCAGCAGCACCCTCGATACAGTCACAGCAGCCTCGATACAGTCACAGAAGCCTCGATACAGTCACAGCAGCCTCGATACAGTCACAGCAGCCTCGATACAGTCACAGCAGCCTCGATACAGTCACAGCAGCCTCGATACAGTCACAGCAGCCTCGATACAGTCACAGCAGCCTCGATACAGTCACAGCAGCATGAACCGCTGCTAGCAGCAGCCCTGCCCGCGCCACAGCCTCTCCTGCCAGGAGTGCGAGGACGATGTGAGACGCGGAGGTATGGAGTGACACAGAGGGGCGACTTGGCAAACGTGGCATAGTAATCAGGGCAGGTGGGGGGAGGGCGGGGGCAGGGGGGGGCAGGCCAGGGGACATGTGGCGACATGCAGGGGAAGAAGCAGGCACGGCGAGCATGGCAGCAATCACGGGTCACAGGTGGCAGCACGCTGAATAGCTGCGAGTGGCGGAGCTGCGCGTTGCGGAGCTACGCGTGGGGAACTGCGCGTGGCGGAGCTGCACGTTGCGGAGCTGCGCGTGGGGAACTGCGCGTGGCGGAACTGCGGAAGGCAAAACGTATTGTTGAAGCATGACGCGACGGGGCACGCGGCGGCGGAGTCGCTGCGCGACGTCGAAATGGAATCGCTCTCGCGGAATTCCTTTGCGTTCTCGCCTTGATTCTGAGCCTCCCTGCCCTGCCGCCGAGCGGCTTCGGCACTTTGCTACGTTATCTTGGTAGAGCAAGTCGCGGATCGCGTCATCTTACGAAGCGCCCTTGGGGTTAGCTCACCAGAAGGTCGCTGTGGGACGTCGCTTGCTGGTCGTAGTCCCGCTAGTGTGGAATGAATGGCGCAAATAAGGGAAAACACGCGGTAAGGTACAGATAAACCAGATTCTGAACTTTATGCTTGTGCTGCTCACAACGGCGATCTCTCGTTGTATCGGATCAGACTCAAAACGGGTTTCGAATTTCTTTCAATTCGTTGAAGGGGATGGGAAAAGGCTAGTGGTCAACATTTTTTGCAAGAGGTTGACTGGAATTTCAAGTGTTTGACTCGCCAACGGCCTCTGTTTGCTCATTGGTCCAGTGCTTACAGTTTGAGTCATCGCGCCGCGCAGAAAAACTGCCCAGCTTTGGCGACGCGATGAGGGTACAAATAATGCACACGGCATTCCGAAACTCATTCATTCAGTTCTTCACTTGGACTCAAGATAGGACCTAGAGCTTACTGCTTCTGAACCTGCTTGTGTTCACTTCCAAGCTCCTGGCCAGCAAATTTGCTCCTCAACAGCTAGATTTCTTTCTCCGTGGGAATATTGGCTGCATCCTAGGCAGTGAACTAGCACAATGACGCAGAGAGTCTCATTTTCGTCGAGCCAGAGTCGTCGTCGTGACCTGAGCGCGGCCCTTCTCCTCCTCTCGCTCGTCCTGCTCTCGTCTCTCCACGCGGCGATGGCCTTCCGCTTCTCCGCGGGGCTCCGCGCGGACAAGCTGCGCAGGATGATCCGCGGATGGGCGCAAGGCGGACGCTCGACCGGCCAGCAGCAGCAGCAGCAGAGCGGCGGAACTAGCGGAGGCGGAATAGGCGGCGGCGGAATGGGCGGCGGCGGAATGGGCGTCGGCGGGATCAGCGGTGGCATAATGGGCGGCGGCGGAATGGGTGGCGGCGGAATGGGCGGAGGCGGAATGGGCGGCGGAGGAATGGGCGGCGGCGGAAGGGGCGGAGGAGGGATGGGCGGCGGCGGAATGGGCGGTGGCGGAATGGGTGGCGGGGGAATGGGAGGAGGCGGAATGGGGGGCGGCAGCATGGGAGGCGGCGGAATGGGCAGCGGCAGCATGGGAGGCGGCGGAATGGGCGGCGGAATGGGCGGAGGCGGCATGGGTGGCGGCGGAATGGGAGGGGGCGGAATGGGCGGAGGCGGGATGGGTGGCGGCGAAATGGGCGGAGGCGGAATGGGCGACGGAATCATGGGAGGCGGCGGAATGGGCGGAGGCGGCATGGGTGGCGGCGGAATGGGCGGAGGCGGCATGAGTGGCGGCGGAATAGGCGACGGAGGAATGGGCGGCGGTGGAGTGGGCGGAGGGAGCATGGGCGGCGGTGGAGTTGGAGGGGGTATGGGCGGACCTGGTTCCTCTGCTCCCGGATCACAATCAGCCATGGGTCCTGGGGGGAACATAGGTGGCGGCCGAATGGGCGGCGGCGGCATGGGCGGCGGAATGGGCGGTGGAATGGGTGGCGGCGACGGCATGGGCGGCAGTGGCGGCATGGGTGGCGGCGGAATGGGCGGCGGTGGTGGCATGGGTGGCGGCGGAATGGGCGGCGGAGGAATGGGAGGCATGGGCGGACCTGGTTCCTCTGCTCCCGGATCGCAACCAGCCATGGGCCCTGGGAGGAACATGGGCGGAGGCATGGGCCGCGGAGGAGGAATGGGCGGTGGCGGTATGGGTGGCGGAGGCATGGGCGGGTCAGGGTGGGTTGCTCCAGGGTCGCAGGCAGCACCCGGCCAGGGTGGACCTGGGATGGGCGGAGGGATGGGCGGAGGGATGGGCGAAGGGATGGGCGGAGGGATGGGTGGGGGGATGGGCGGAGGGATGGGTGGTGGGATGGGTGGGGGGATGGGCGGAGGGTTGGGAGGGCCTGGGGGCAACATGGGAGGCGGTATGGGCGGACCACAGTAGCCTCATCCCCTGGGCAGGGGCAGGTATGAGAATATACACACCCCAAATGGCACACCCTGAGTAGTGTTCTCTAGAAGCATGGCCGCACCGCAGATACCAACCATCCTCAGAGGCGCATGGCCGCAGCAGCACTTCCAACGGAGTGCCGCCAGCAGTGCTGCTTCGTCCAAGCCCCTCCTGACCGTCAAGTCAAGCCATCAAGCTTGGGTTGTGACTGTTGAGAAGAGTTTGTGTTTAGGCATTCGATCCAACAATGTCATCGGTTTGAAAGATCATGTTTCTCATTCCAAGCATTATAGGAATCCAAGGTTGAGTTGTTCCAATGTTGAGTGAGCTGTGACTTTGAAGACCTTGAAAACTACAACAATGTCATTCTGAATTTGATATGGTGATTTTGAGATAAAACAGCTACCGTATACAGTAAGTAACTGGAATGCCACAAACAGCGCCCTGTCTGCCAGCCAGCCTTCCCACTCATGCCTCATCTGCCCCTCCCCCCACTTGCTGCACCTGCTCCCACGCACCAGTGCACGTGCTGCTCTTTCAACAAGTGCAATCACGAAACCCCTGCTGCTACCTACTTCAGCAATGCGGCATCGACAGTATCAAGACTTGCAGAGCCCATAATTCCCCTGTATCACCAACCTTGTGATGCCGCCAAGCAGGCCGTGTTGTCTCATCGTGCCTTCACCGCCCCATACCATACCACCATCCATGCCCTCCCATTACAGCTTGATTTCGACGCCCCATGCTGCTGCCCTGGTGCAAACCACCCTGGTCCCTGACCCGCCCACGCCTCCGCTTCTCATTTCCCACCACCTTCCAATCCTCCCTCGAACGTTTTGCTACCACCCATTCCCCCACCGCCACTTTCCCCCCTCTAATTCCTCTGCCTCCAGCTCCGCCAACACCTGTTCCTCGCCACCCATTCGTCCACCTCCTGTTCCACTGCCAACCACTTCGCCAGTGCCCGTTCCTCTTCCTCCGACGCCCATTTTGCCAATGCCCGGTCTTCTGCTGCCCATTCTGCCACCATCCGCCCCTCCGCCGCCCACTCCTCTGCCTCCTGTTGTATTGCCATCCATTCCGTCACCGCCCGTTCCTCTTCCTCCGCCGCCCATTCCGCCTCTGCCCGGTCCTCTACTGCCCATTCTGCAACCATCCGCTCCTCTGCCGCCTGTTCCTTTACCTCCAATTCCTCCACCTCCAGTTTAATTGCCAACCATTTCGCCAGTGCCCGTTCCTCTGCCGCCCGTTCCTCTGCCGCACATTTCTCTGCCTCCCATTTCGCCATCGCCTGGTCCTCTGCTGCCCATTCTGCAAGCATCGGTCCCACCGCCGCCCGTTCCTCTGCCTCCTGTTCCTCTGCTATCCATTTCACCACAGCCCATTCCTCAATCTCTGCCGCCCATTTATCCGCAGCCCATTCCGCAGTCTGTTGGTACCTCGCCCATTCCACATTCTCCACCACCATCAGGTTCAGCCATTCTCTGATCTCACGCCTCTCCCTGCCCATTGATTCTGCTAATCGCGCCCTCAAGTCATCCACCTCCCTCCTCATCATCTCCCGCTCTTCCCTCTCCCTGACCACCTCAGCAGCCACTGCTCGCTCTCTCTCACTTATTTCCTCCACTCGCCTTTGCAACTCACTCCATTCCGCTGCTCTCTTCCTCTCAGCCTCATCCACCTCTCTCCTTATTGCTGCAACCTGCATGTTAAGAGCACTTATTCGCCTCTCCATCACTTGATTCAGCGCGTCTGTTCCCTCCCTTTGCCTGAAAGCCACCACAAGAGCTTCACTCACGCTTCGCATTCCTGACGTGCACAGCTCACTGCCCGCGACAGAACATGGGGATGAAACGAGAGCATTTGAGACGACATTTGTGAGGCAAGAAGGGGAATGAGGACAGGAGCATACGAGAACGTGAGGAGATACGATATGAAGTACATGGAACGACACGGAGCAAGAAAGGACCCTTGGACGGCACAGCACAGGAGAACCAGTGACATGTGACAACACATGTGACAACCCATGTGACAACACATGTGACAACCCACGTGACAACACATGTGACAACCCACGTGACAACACATGTGACAACCCACGTGGCAACACACGTGACAACACATGTGACAACCCACGTGACAACACATGTGACAACCCACGTGACAACACACGTGACAACACATGTGACAACCCACGTGACAACCCACGTGACAACACATGTGACAACCCACGTGACAACCCACGTGACAACACATGTGACAACCCACGTGACAACACATGTGACAACCCACGTGGCAACACACGTGATAACACATGTGACAACCCACGTGACAACACATGTGACAACCCACGTGACAACACACGTGACAACACATGTGACAACCCACGTGACAACCCACGTGACAACACATGTGACAACCCACGTGACAACCCACGTGACAACACATGTGACAACCCACGTGACAACACATGTGACAACACATGTGACAACACATGTGGCAACACATGTGACAACACATGTGACAACACATGTGACAACACATGTGACAACACATGTGGCAACAGCATCCAGCACAGCTGGCAAGGCGAGTAACTCTCACATGGCATCGTGGAGACGCGGGAGTATCCGAAGTGTCTGTGGCATGGTGAGGGGAGAGGCGATGAGAGGGCATGCAAAGGGAAAATGGGCTGGGAGGGATGAGTGGTGGCAGAGGCGGAGTGGGAAGGCTGAGTGAGTGAGGTATCAGGAGTTTGAAGGGGGTTTTGAGAGTGCTGTGTGCAACAAACTAAAAAGGTTTCGGTTTCATTCGAGATCGACACTAACTCATGACAAGAAGCTGAAACCAGAGATTGTCAAAGAGCTGTAATACAATCGCAATTTCTGGCATGTTAAAGGAAACGAGTCATGGCATAAACTGCATAGCCAATGACATACCATGAGAGACCAAGCTGCTCTCCTCAGGTTCGCCAGCTTCTCCCTCACAGCAGAGCCCTGTTGCTCCACCCACTCCATTACAGCGGAGCCCTGTCGCTGCAACCACGCCCTCGCTTGTGCTTGGGAAATGTCCATCCACCAGAGCAGCCCTAGGAACGGGCAGAGCGCTGTGTAGAGGTCGTATAGCTGGGGTTGCATTCACACACGCGTGCGCCCACACGACCGCACGCGCCCGCGCGTGCACGCATGCACGCACGCACGCACGCACGCACGCACGCACGCACGCACGCACGCACGCACGCACGCACGCACGCACGCACGCACGCACGCACGCACGCACGCACGCACGCACGCACGCACGCACGCACGCACGCACACACACACACACACACACACACACGCACACACACACGCACACACGCACACACACACACACGCACACACACACACGCGCGCGCACGCGCGCGCACACACACACACGCACACACGCACGCATACACCACACACGAACACACGCAAACAAACAGACACACACACGCACACAACACGCATGCACACACAGACACACACACGCATACACGCACAGACGCGCGCATGCACACACAGACACACACACGCACGCACGCACACGCGCGCACGCGCTTAGACACACACCACCACCACATACATAGCAGAAGCACCGCAGTGCGGGCGACATGCATGGTGGAAGTTGGGGGCACGAGAGGGAGAGCAGATTGAGCAAGCGACGGCGGAAGCCAGGGCTCATACCCGAGAACAGAATGGGAGGAGGATGAGAGCAGAACGGGGTCATGCTGCACGCAGAGCTCCCCTCCCCCGTGCACACATCAAGAGCAAGCCTGCACGTGCTTTTTGCATAAGAATCGCCTAAAAAATTGCATGTTCAAGTACTCGAGCCGGGTGAAATCAGCCACCTACCTGGCGGGTGATGCCGTTGCTGTCAGCCGAAGCACCTCTCAGCACCAGCAGCAGCCGCGATACAGTCACAGCAGCAAGAATCACTGCGAGGAGCAGCCCTGCTCCCGCGACAGCTACTTCAGCCACTCGAGGCATCCCGCGACCAGCAGGGAGGAATCAGGTTGGAGGATGAGCCGGGGAGCACGGAGCTTAGAGCGGCAGCAGGTGGCGGAAAGAGACGAGGAGAACAGTGCGGTGAAAGGTGGAGGAACCAACCACAAAGGTGGCTTCAGTTATTGCAGAAGCGGCCAGGAATGCGTTCTGGCGGAGACGACGATGAGTGCGGGCGATGATGGCATTTTGCAGAGTGGAGGAGTCTGCACATTGGAATTTGAGCCTTGGGATTTCCAGTGTTGTTCCGTTTCCTCTAGTCACCTCGCCAGGAAGGCTTTACAGCACCTGGAGGGACTGAACCGGACGGCAACATTCACGGCGCTGAGCTTGGGGAGGATGGGGTTGTCTGGTCTGGGGCGACTGGGAAGCTGGAGGTGGCTAGGTAAGGGATGTGTTACGAACTACACGAAAATACATGCGAGTTTCGCGGATGTGTTACTTTCGCGAAATCCGGCCGGTCGGTTTGGTACGAAAACGGATCTGACACACCCTGATAGGCTGGTTAGGAGTCACGCAGAGAGCAAGTGCGTGCGACTTGCGGAAGGCCGAACGTGATGATGACGAGAGCTGATTGGTGTGTGCTTGGCGGGAATGACACAGTGCAGCGCCAAACAGCTGCCTCCTCCAAATCTTGCTACACCTCACAAACGAGGGTGCAGCTGTTCAATGAGCTTGGTTTGCTTCACTCATGGGTCACGACTCACGACTCAACTGATGGAGTTACCAGCTTTCCTATTTTGCTCGCACCCAGTAGGATCATTTAGATTACATAAGTTCGTACAGAACCATCGAGAATTGTGCATTTCGAACGAGATGTCACCAATCCAACCACTTGCATGCATGACACAACCGAGAGCCAAGGAGGGTCTCGTTCGAGCCACTTCCAAGGGAGTTAAAGTTAAAGTTATATTTCTGGTCGTAACCAGTTTAGGGGTATCCATTCCTAGATGAGCACGTGCTAACCCCTTCTTGGGGGCTGGCAGAACACGCCTGCACGGGGGTGGGTTCGATCCCAGGACCTCATCTATCGGAAGTGCCTCTTTCTACTAACTAGGCCACTTCTGGATTAGCCACTTCCAAGGGACGAACTGCCCTCGGGTGGATAGTGTTTCCTCCAAAAACTGACGACCATCACACTCTACCAACGGTAGGAAGCTCCACTGTACTCGGGTCCATCAAATTTCATCTTCTGTTCTGGCACAGCTCTGTCTCAATCTTGTATTACTCTCCAGAGGCAGCCCTCCCAAACTCACCGTTGGTGGTCAATCAGACATCGCAGAAGCCAGAGCTTTAGCAGGTCGTTCCTAAGACATGAGAATGACTACCATGATCCATAGTCTTCCTGACCATGTTCTTGTCAGGATCTTCTGGCATTCCGACGTTTTTCAACCGACCTCGTCATTGTCTCTTTCGGATTACGCTAGTAGGGAGGAAAACGAAGATTCAGAGCCTGACCCTCATTTTTCGACGCCTCCTGCCTCTGCCGATGTCGCTCACGTTCTCCGCATTGCCTCAGTCTGCCGTCGCTGGCGAGAGCTCACACACGAATCCGTCACAACGCTTCTCGTTTCACGAAATCGTCTGGTGTCTCGCGAGTATCTCAAACGCGTTCTCGTGTCCTTCCCGAATCTCACTCGCCTGCACTTGAGCAACGGAAGCATGGAAACGATAGACGACGATTTTTTGGCATTTCTCGGCTCTTCGTCACCAAATCTAACCGCTCTTCATGTCGGCACAGGCATTGCTCCATACGACTACCTTGACCGTGACGAGGAGGAGGACATGGACTACTATGACGATTCAGATCATCCCGTCACGGAAGCTGGGCTGGACATTCTCTTCCGCCATTGTCATCGCTTGGAGCAGCTGTCACTCCAGTGCCTCCATTGGACCACAAAGCTTCCGGCTTCCTTCTTCCAGTTGACGCGCCTGCACACGTTATCACTGGGAGAGATATCGCCTTTGGCGGATCCCAACTTTGCGAATCTGTCTTTTATCACGAGGCTTTCTATTCAAAAGCTGGACATGCGGTTACATCAAATGTCGCCGTTAACTCACCTTCCAAATCTGACCAGCCTGTTTTTTCCAGGAGCGACATTCTTCCACAGTTTCGAGGGGGATTTCTCATTTGGTCAACTGACAAATCTTCGTTCGCTGGGATTCGTGCGGGGGTATACTGACTTCCCTTCAATGTTTCCGTCAGAATCACCATGTTTCCGCCTTCAACGTCTTCTGCTAAGCAGTATTCCGAGCATCCCCCCTGAAGAGCTTGGAGAGCGGTTCCCGGTACTTCGCGAACTCTGCCTTTTCGGTAGCCGTCATTTCGCTGAGATTATGGTACCAGATTCCCTCACAAGTCTCAGCACATTGGAGATTCTAACCATTCGCAACTGCAATATATCCAGCTTGCCCGAGAGTCTTGGACATTTTCCAGGGCTGAAGTCCTTGGTGTTGAGAAGCTTGTCGCTGGGGAAACTCCCCGATTCTGTTTGGTTACTCACAGGGCTTCAAAATCTATCTTTGGACTATGTGGGCATTGACATCCTCCCTGCAGCGATTTCCTGCTTGGCTGCTCTTGAATCGTTCAGCATCACGGGATCAAGGCTGACAGCGATTCCGGAGGAGATAGGCGAACTCACCTATCTCCGTGAATTGGTGCTGAGCGGTTGTGAAGAACTTCAGCAGCTGCCGTCGTCATTCAGCAATCTCTCTTCTCTAACGCGGCTCGTTATCAGCAAGTGTCCCATTGTTAACCTTCCAGAGGGTATAGCCCATCTTGGTAACCTGCGGGAGTTGACCTTGAGCTGCTGCAATGAGCTGACAGCACTGCCAGCATCCATCACTCAACTGAGCCTCCTGAAGACTTTCAAGGCCCGCAAGTGTACCAAGCTCGCATCTGCTCCTCGAGCCTTGAGGAACCTCTCATGCCTGCGGGAGCTGGATCTGACGGGATGTGTTCTTTTGCAGGAGATTTCAGAATCTCTGCCACGGTCGTTGGAAACCTTGAGCTTGGGAAACGACACCAGCAGCATCATTCTTCCAGAGATTTCTACAACTCCAAATCTCAAGAAGCTGAAATTGATTCAGGTTACCATCATGGACGCACCTGCGACCAGCCGTTGCCTGTCTCAGGTAAAGCACCTGGAGATGCGCCTGGGCGTTGAACAAACTGAGTTTCCACTCCTGCTTGGTTTCCTTTCATGCCTCCGTAATCTACACATCTCGAATGCCAAGGCATTGCAACACCTGCCTCATGACATCGGCTCTGCTCTGCCTCAGCTGCGACAGCTGCACGTGGAAGGAGCGGAAGTTCTGACGGAGATTCCAGAAAGTGTAACACGGCTGGTGCAACTCACATCTCTTCATATTGAAGCTCCATGCCTGACCCATCTTCCTGACACCATCTCTTCCTTATCAAGATTGGGCGACCTTAGCCTGCATAATTGCTCCTCCCTGACAAGCCTGCCCAGTTCTTTCACCAGCCTCACTTACCTGCACAAATTGGATGTCAGCAAGACAGCACTTCACTTCCTCCCTCCCGGCTTCCACCATTTGGCACGACTCAGGGAGCTGGACCTGAGTGGTTGTGAACAACTTCAGTCCCTGCCGCAACAGCTGTCTGACTTGAAGATTTTGCGAGTGCTGATTCTCCAGGGCTGCAAGATGCTTGGCCCAGAGCTGATGCCTTTCGATCTGTACATAAGGCTTGGACTCAAGTCGTACCAAGACTAATAGGTTTATCCAACAGCTAGGTTGTTACTACGTGAAATGGTAGGCTCCCGTAGGTTGTTTGGGTTTGCTTTGCAGATTTGTATACAATATTCAGACATTAGCACTTGCACGAGTGCCTTGGGTGGATCAGGGATTCAGGGACTCCAGACTTTTTTCAAAATCGTTTTTCAGAGCTGGTGGTACCCTTATGCTTGTCATTCCCCAAATCATTGGAAATTCCATCTCACATTTTACTGCACTGTGCTTGGCCTGCTGAGCAAGGCAGGCTGGAGATTAGGTGCCGGTACCTGTCTGACTTATAGATAGTCAATAGAGAAGAGTAGCAAGATGAATGGATACACAACACAGACTGAGCAGCTGTGAGGAAGACAAGCATGGGTATATCCAGTCTTGCAGAAGAGCACCAGAAACATGCACAGCCCTGTCATGTGCTTGGGGCTGTTATTGGTACTTGTAGCCCTCTGCCTCGTTACAAGGTACATCAAAACACTAGAAGCCCTCGGCCTCACTATCAGGTGTTGTCAGACACTGAAAGCTCTCTGCCTCGTTATAAGGTGCCCCGTGACACTAGTAGCATCCTCTGCCTCAATATCTGGCAGTGATAGAGTGTAGTTGAGGGCGTTGAGTGTGAGCTGGGAGAGGTGTGGCAATGGGGGAAAGGAAGAGGGAGATGCAGAGATGAGAGAGTGTAGTTGAGGGCGTTGAGCATGAGCTGGGAGGGGCAAGGGAGAGGAGGGATGGAGTTGGAGATGGTGAAAAAGGAGAGAGAGTGTAGGGAGGGCATGGACTGATTGAGAAGCGTTTGGAATTGAGAAAGCGGGGAGATTGGGAGGGGGCCTAAAAAAATGAGAGTTCAAAGAGCTCCTAGAAGTAATAGCCGAGGGTGGTGACAATGCACTGGGAGCTGGGACGAGATGGAAGGAGGGGGGTGGGGACGAGGGAGGGTAAGGGAAGCAGAAAAGATGGACTGATGAGATGGGGAGAGAGGTGGTCTGGGGTTGAGAACACTAGGAGCCAGCCAGGAGAAAGAGAAAAGAGAGAAGGGTTGAGAGCACTGAGCGAGATGTGATGGGGGGGAGGCATGAGCGGTAAGAGGAAGTAAAGCCACGTGTGTTCGCTCCTGATGGAAGGCGATGATGGTGCATCAGGAGCCACGTGTGTTCACTCCTGATGATGGTGAACAAACATTGTATACCCCCGATTCAAACCCACAGCTTCACAGGAATAGGAGAACTTGTGAGTGGACACAAGCATTTCACCGTGATCGTTTTTATCTCACCGTAATCGTTTCATCTCACCTTGCTCGTTTCATCTCACCTTGCTCGTTTCATCTCACCGTGGTCATCTCATCATCCAGTGGCCTCCCATGGTTCGACACCGTGAACATTGTGGGGGATGTGAAGAGTCGTACAAGTCAGTGAACACATCCTTCGCCACCACGCCCTGCACGCACATGAATGGGAGATTGGGAGATGGGACATGGGTGATTAATGCGTGAGATCTGAAGCACGGTACAAGCAAGTGAACACATCCTTCGCCACTACGCCCTGCATGGACAGATATGGGAGATTGACGATGGGCCATGGGAGATGGCCGATGGGAGATTGACGAAAGACGGTGGGCGATGGGCAATGGGCCACGGGCAGTGAGAGATGGGAAATGGGAGATGGTGATTGCGCTGCAGCATAGGAAGCGTGGTAGAGGGACCATGCATGCATGCATGCACAGACAAGTGGCATGCACATACAAGTGGCATGCACAGGCAAGTGGCATGCACATACAAGATGCACTGAGCACATTCACAGCAGCACTCAAAGTGAGGACATCCTTTGCCAACACATTCACATGCTGCCGGGCAATGGGCGTGAAACCCTCCTCACCACTCCCCCCTCCACCCAAACCGACATTACCTAACTCAGCAACACACACTTAAGAGTGAGTGGGCACGCATGAGAGCGAGTGTGCATGCATGAGAGCGAGTGTGCATGCATGAGAGCGAGTGTGCATGCATGAGAGCGAGTGTGCATGCATGAGAGTGAGTGTGCATGCATGAGAGCGAGCAGCTTCCGTGCATGCATTCACGTGAGTGACAAGCAAATTCACTGCATGAACAAAGTCCATGAGCTGTGTGCGCATGACTGTACCTCAGGGGGTGTGGGCACGGCAGTGGATGCACCAACGCACGGTTCGTTCAGTTGAAGTTGATGCTCGCGAGAGTCGGTCGCTGGCAGGCTGCTACACTGATGGCACCTGGAAGCTGCAACAGGCGACATGGCGAACGGAGGTGGACGGAAAGGTGTTGGAAGGGGTGAGAGCAGGGGGTGATGGGTGATGTGAGGTGAGCTTTGCCCTTGAGTGGTAGCCTAGCTCACAGCCACTGCATGGCAGCAGCGCCATGCGGCATGGCCCATGCCCAGGCCCTCTCGGCCTCATCATTCTCACAGCCACTCACTAACGTAACGTGAGCGAACTGACAGAGATTGCACAGTCACGGTCGACATAAACTATGAAGCGCCACCAAAATCGCCTCAGTGATTTCAGTGTCAAGTACCTCGTTCCTTCCGAGCCCATTCCAGAGTGGGGCGAAAATCAGGCCACATACATGGTGCTGTCAGGCCGATTTTTGAGTCGACTCAAAAATCGACTACCACACCTGGAGTGGGGCGAAAATCAGCCTCATACATGCCAGGCGCTGCTGCTGCTGCTGCTGCTGAGGCATGGTGCTGTCAGGCGAACCACCATGTCTCAGCGGCAGCAGCAGCTCCGCCGCGCGAGGGTTTTCTAGGTTATCAGCCCGCCATGTCACATGGCCCTAGGGTAGCTGAGCTTGGGAAGGCTGGGGGTGGCTGGGGCGACTGGGTGTCAGATCAGACCGGTTAGGGAGGCTAAAACGGCTGCGGAAGTGGAACGTATGGACGATATGAGACGCGGAGGGATGGGTTGGCACTAAGAGCGAGAGAGAGAGAGAGACTGGCCGAACGCGACATGGTGATTAGGGCAGGGCGGGTCAGGGCAGAGCAGGGTGGCGCAGGGGGGGCGGGGGAGTGTATCCACACTCAGCCTGAGGACAGGCTCGAGCCTGAGGACAGGGGATATGCTGCGAGATGCACGGCAAGCATGGCTGCAATCCTGGGTCACAACAAGCTGACAAGCTCGCGTGGCGTAGCTGCGCGTGGCGGAGCTGCGCGTGGCGGAGCTCGGGTCTCTCTGTTGACCCTCTGTCGCCATCGCCGAGCTCAGTAACACCGATTTCGCATGCAGTGCAAGTCGCATGTTTGCGAATTGCAGCGAGGAGCGAGTCAGTGGCACGACATGGGAGGGTGGATGACCTCAAGGTGTGCGCTTCTATGCGACGAGAGACATTGGAGATCTTCTGAGGCTTACTGCGCGTGCGCTATTGCTAGGGCATGGCACGACGGGGCACGCCGCAGCAGAATCGCTCTCGCGGAATTCCTCTGCGTTCTCGCCTTTCGCCTTGTTTCTGAGCCCCCCTGCCCTTCCGCCGAGCGGCTTTGGCATGTTGCTACTCAGAGCAAGTCGCGGATCGCATTTCTTACGTAGCGCCATTGGGGTGAGCTCACCAGATTGTCAGTCACTACGGGACTTGGTCATGGATTTATTCGCGATTGGGGAAGGACTGCTAATGACAAGGTGCAAATATGAAAACGCACGGTAAGGTTCTTTCAGGCTGTACAGATAACCAGAGTCCGAAATTGATGCTTGCGCTACTCACAACGGCAAATTCTACTCATATCGAATCTGGTTCAAAAGATGATTCGAATTTCTTCCAATTTCTTGATGGGGGGTGGAGAAAAGCTACAGTGGTCAACATTTTTTGCGAGAGGTTGACTGGAATTTCGTGTGTTTGACTCGCCGACGGCCTTTGAGTCATCGCGCCGCGCAAAAATCATTGCGTTGGCGACGCGATGAGGGTACAAAAAGCATGCAACATTTGGCAACTCATTCATTCAGTCTACTTCACTTCGATTTACTTCACTTCAGCCTCAAAAAAATGACTTCGAGATCTCCGATTCTGAAGCTGCTCCGAGTCTTCCAAGCTCCTGGGCAGCTAGATTGCTCCTGAAAAGCTAGATTTCTCTCTCCGTGAGAATATTTGCTGCATCCTAGGTAGTGCACAAGCACAATGACGCAGAGAGTCTCACTTTCTTCGGGCCAGCGTCGTCGCCGTGACCTGAGCAAGGCCCTTCTCCTCCTCTCGCTCGTCCTCCTCTCGTCTCTCCACACGGTGTTTGCCTTCCGCTTCTCCGCGGGGCTCCGCGCAGACAAGCTGCGCGGGATGATGCGCGGATGGGCGCAAGGCGGACGCTCGACCGGCCAGCAGCAGCAACAGCAGCAGCAGCAACAGAGCGGCGGAATTGGTGGAAACAATATGGGCGGCAGCGGAATGGGCAGCGGAGGAATGGGCGGCGGCAGCATGGGTGGCGGCGGAATGGGCGGCGGCGGAATGGGTGGAAGCAGTATGGGCGGCGGCGGAATTGGCGGGGGCGGAATGGGCGGGGGCGGAATGGGTGGCGGCGGAATGGACGGCGGAAGCATGGGTGGCGGCGGAATGGGCGGCGGCGGAATGGGCGGCGGCGGAATGGGCGGCGGAAGCATGGGTGGCGGCGGAATGGGCGGCGGCGGAATGGTTGGTGGTGGAATGGGCGGCGGGGGCATGGGCGGCGGCGGAATGAGCGGCGGCGGAATGGGCGGCGGCGGCATGGGCGGACCTGGGTCCTCTGCTCCCGGATCACAATCAGCCATGGGTCCTGGGGGGACCATGGGCGGCGGAATGGGTGGCGGTGGAATGGGTGGTGGCGGAATGGGCGGCGGCGGAATGGGCGGCGGCGGAATGGGCGGCGGCGGAATGGGCGGCGGCGGAATGGGCGGCGGCGGAATGGGCGGCGGCGGAATGGGCGGCGGCGGAATGGGCGGCGGTGGAATGGGCGGTGGCGGAATGGGCGGCGGCGGCATGGGTGGCGGCGGAATGGGCGGCGGTGGAATGGGTGGCGGCGGGATGGGCGGCGGCATGGGCGGACCTGGGTCCTCTGCTCCCGGATCACAATCAGCCATGGGTCCTGAGAGGGGCATGGGAGGCGGTGGAATGGGCGGCGGAGGCATGGGCGGGTCAGGGTGGTTTGCTCCAGGGTCGCAGGCAGCACCCGGCCAGGGTGGACCTGGGATGGGCGGAGGGATGGGCGGAGGGATGGGCGGACCAGGGCCGTTTTCTCCCTAAGCCAAGGCAGGCATCATGGGTCACAGGGGGGGCATGGATGGTGGTATTTGCGGAGGCATGGCCGTTAGATTGCGCCGAGGCAAGAGACTGTAGGGTTTTCATGTTTGCTTTAGTTGCCAGAGCTTGGGTGCAGCAGCACAAGCACTGATGCATGGGGTCAATCAGTATAGGGCTGCTTCGTCCAAGCTTGTAGCAGCCAGCGTCTGTGCAGTAGGATGTTGTGAGTACATCTGATGTAATGGCTCTTTGTGTAATCTGTTGAGTTGGATTGTGTGCATTCTCTCCTTCGTGTAAATTCTCTCCGATGCTTTCACACATAGAGAGGCCGAGCCGAGCTGGTACGGTACATGGAAAGCTGGCTCAGGAGAGCAACCAACCATACCAAACAAATGCGTTTCAAATGCGATGCGAGTGCAACGACGCATACCGTAGCGTAAGAAAGCCGGATGGAGGGAGCCTATCAAAAAAAAAAAAAAAAAAAGTTCAGTGTCAGCTGTGCGATCATCACAAGCGCCAAGAGACTGCGACCGATCAATTCTAGCCATATCGGATGTGCATATGCAGGAACTGCTTGCAGCATAGGCAGCGCCGTGTGGAGTAATCACAGCGTGGCAGTGCTTGAGTGAACACTGAATCCATTGATATGGCCCAACACCACCACTCTATTTCAACTACTGATATGGCCCAGCACCATTCTATTTGATAGAGACGAGTGAACACACAACACAGACTGTACAGCAGAGGGGAAGCCAAGCCGGGGTATATCCAGTCTTGGTACCTGTCAGACAGGAGAGCAGGAGAAAATGCCCAGGCCTGTCATGTGCGTGGGGCTGCTGGTACAATACCTGGTAGCTTTCTTCCTCGTTATAAGGTTCCTCAAGGCACTAGTAGCTCTCTGCCTCGTTATAAGGCACCTCAAGACACTAACAGCTCTCCTCTGCCTCGATGTCTGGCCGCGAGAGAGTGTAGTTAAAACCCGGGGTCCAAGTGTTTCTAAGTTAGGAAGGTTGCTAGGGCCAAGAAACGTGACTGGCTCGCGAACCAGGGCGCTGTCGAAGTTTGTGGTTGTGGGTCGCAAAGTATGAAAACCTCGCGAGTGTAACCAGATCTGGATGGCAACGTCAAAATTCGTTCGCAACTAGTTTCGGATGGGCGCGAAATCTGTTTACGAAATCGTCACTGCTATCGTCCAGTAATTTCGCGTAGCGAAATTTTGCTCGAAGGTTTTCGAAGTTAGGAAGTTTGAGTCAGTGTCTACTGGGTCACACCCAACCAAAGTTAGGAAGTTCGAGGCAGTTTTGGCCTGTTTGGGACTCCGGTTTTAAGGGCGTTGAGTGTGAGCTGGGAGGGGTGAGGGAGAGGAGGGAGGGAGTGGGAGAGAGGGCAGAGAAGATAAAGCGTGTTTGACAGCAATGGAAGAATTGAGAGGGGAACGGCATGGGTGGGTGAGGGAGGAGACCGGGAGGGCGAAAGAAGAGAATTAGAGGACAGAAGTTAGTGTCTCTTGTATGAATAAGGGTGATAACAGTGGGCTGGAAGTTAGAAGGTCAGGGGAGGAAGGCGGGAGGAGGGGATGCGGGAGGGAGGGAGGAGAGGATGCGGGAGGGAGGGAGGAGGGGTTTGACGGAGAAGAGAGAAAGTGAATATGATGGAAAGAGGGATCGAGCTTGAGAGCAGCGGGAGTCAGCCAGGAGAGAGGGGCAAGGGGGAGGAGGGAGGGAGGGGGAGAGGGCGGAGGGAGGAGCGAGACGAGAATGGGTAATTGAGAGCTAAGGGTTGATTGTGAGGGGTACGGCATGGGTCGGCGGAGGTGGAGACGAGAGGGGAAAGGGATAGGTATTGGACAGAACAGAGGGGTAATCATGAGAGTTTTGAAGGTTCAAAAAATGTTCCATTAAAGGTGGTGACAATGGGCTGGTAGCCAAGATGAAAGAGAACGGGGATAGTGGGGGGGATGGGGCGGATGAGAGGGGAAATCTGAGAAGATGGAAGAGGGATCGAGCTTGAGAGCCCTGGGAGCCAGCCAGGAGGATTGAGGGTAAAGAGGGAGCTGTTCAGGTGTGATGGGGAGCAGGGGGAGTAGGCCCGAGGGCCAAAATGAGGATGGGAAGAGCTATGGTGTTCATTTGTGATGGACGGGTCACGGGCACCAGTGGTGCATCAGAGAATCGGTGGAACATTTCGCAATTCGGCAGCAGAGCCAAAGGAACAACGTAGGCAACAGAATCAGACACACATCTCCGCAGAAGAAGGGAAGCGGGTGGACACAAGCATCTGAACCTGTGGCTGTTTCATCGCACCGTAATCGCTTCATCTCACCGTAATCGCTTCACCTCACCGTAATCGCTTCACCTCACCGTAATCGCTTCGTTTCATCTCACAGAAATCGTTTCATCTCACCGTAATCGTTTCATCTCACCGGAATCAGTTCATCTCACTGTGGTCGTTTCATCTCATCATGCTTGTTTCGTCTCACCGTGATCGTTTCATCTCACTGAGCTCGTTTCATCTCACCATGTTCGTTTCATCTCACCGTGGTCATCTCATCATCCAGTGGGCCCCCATGGTATGACACCGTGATCACATCCTTCGCCACCACGCCCTGCACATATAAAGATGGATGATGGACAATGGGAGGTGGGAGGTGGGAGAAGGGCGACGGGAGATGGGAGATGGAAGATGGGAGATGGGAGAACGGCGAGGGGAGATGTGAGATGGGAAGAGGTGCAGAATGTGAAGCGTGGTTGGCACACGTGGTTTCACACAAGTGCAGTACCACAGGATTCCCCAGTACGCACTGCTGGGAGATGCACATGAGTGGCAGAGTGCATGCATGCATGCACAAACAAGAGTTGTGCACAGCACAGCCTGTGTCACTTATGGACAGCACAGGAAAAAGTGACACAAGGAAAACCGCTAGACAGCATAGGTACACAACAGCTCTCACAGGGAACACATCCTTCGAAAGCACCGAGACACGACGGGCGGGACAAGAGCCCCCGCTGGTCATGATGGGCGAGACATGATAAGCGAGGGGGAAAGGTGGGCTGCAGAGGCCTTACTTCCTTCAAATCAGTGGGTACGTATGATTTAGGACACGAGACGAACCCCATTGTTCAGGTGAGACGAGAAAAGGCCCGGTTAGGTGAGAGCTTATGCGTTTCTTAAAGAGCCTGCTTGCGTGCTGCGCTGCTCTGCACTGCAGTGCTCCGCAGAGCACTGCTGCCAATGGAGTGGCAGATTGGCAGATTGTCATGACTGCCAATGACACCTGGAAGCTGCAGGCAGAGGTGGGAAGAAGGGTGTACGAACAGTGGAATCGAGAGTTCGGATTTCTTGATTTTCTTGGCACTTAGCAGGGTACAACATACAGATTAGTACTACTGTCTTTCTTTTGCTAAAAGTGACTTCCCGACTGCAGCTCATCCAGTCCACATGGCCGACTGCCAATGACACCTGGAAGCTGCAGGCAGAGGTGGGAAGAAGGGTGTACGAATAGGAGAGAGGGAACGGTGATGGGTGAGGTGGGCTAAACCTGCTGTGCGCATCAGCATAGCTCACAGTCAGCACATGACAAGCAGCAGCGCCATATGACTAGGCCTTACAAACCGCATAGCAATTTGCGTGATCAAGTATTGGATGGATCAGTCACACACCTGGCGGGTGGCGCCGCTGCTGTTAGGCTGACCGTCTCTCAGCGGTAGCAGCCGTGCCCCCGCCACAGCCACTCCAGCCACTCGAGGCATACAGCAGGGGAGAATGAGGAGGGACTATCAGCCGGGGAGCACGGAGCTTGGAGCGGCAGCAGGTGGCAGCAGTGGAGGAGGAAGAGGCGGTGAGCGCTTGAGAAACCACGAGGCGGAGGAGTGGTGAGTGGTGGGAAGGGTGGGAGGCTGGGAGGGTGGGAGGTGAGAGGGTGGGAGGGTGAGAGGAGGTTCGGTCTAGTAGGGTGGTTAGGGCCTGGCATGGCATGGGGCCGGCTGCGGAAGTGGGAGGTGGTGAGGTGAGACGCAGAGGTATATTGATGAGGGCACGGCGTGGCACGGCGGGGCAGGGCGGGGCAGGGTGGGGACGGACAGGGCAGGACAGGGGACATGTGGCGACATGCAGGGAAAGGAGGCAGGCATGGTAAGCATGGCAGCAATCGCGGGTCACTGGTGACAGCACGCTCAACAGCTTGGCGGAGCTGAAGAGCTGCGCGCGGCGGATCTGGGCGCGGCGGAGGTGCGGATGGCGGAGCTGCGGATGGCGGAGGTGCGGATGGCGGAGCTGCCGATGGCGGAGGTGCGGATGGCGGAGCTGCGGTCGGCGGAGCTTCAAATGCAGCTCCAAGCTGCGGATGCAGCTGGGGGCTCGATGTTGTCCATCTGCCGCCATCGCGGAGCTCAGTAACGCGATTGCTTGCAATGCGGGTTCGCAGCGAGATGCGAGTCAGCGGCACGCCATGGGGTGTGGTTGATCTCAAAGTATGCGCTTCGATGCGACGAGAGAAATTCGAGATCCTCTGAGGCTTCCCGCGTGTGCGGTCTAAACCATCCCCTTGCTTCCCTTCCCCCTCTGCCCCACTCCCCTTCCTTTCCTCAATTCTCCCCGACGTATTCCTAGGGCATCACGCGACGGAGCAAGCGTCGACGGAGTCGCTGCGCGACGTCGAGATGGAATCGCTCTCGCGAAAGTCCACTGCCTTCGCGCCTTGTTTCTGAACCTCCCTGCCCTGCCGTCGAGCGGCTCCCGCATTTTTGCCACGTCAGCTTGGTCGAGCAAGTCGCGATCGCGACTTCTCTCGTAACGGGCTTGCGATGAGCTGATCAGATTGGCAGTCACTCTGGGGCTTGCTTTCGACTCTGGAAGCTTGACTGCTGGTGACTGGTGCAAATAACAAAACAGACGGTAAGGTTCTTTTCGGGCTGTACATATAAACAGAGTCTTCTATTGATGTTTGTTCTGTGCACAGCGGCACATAGTTGAAACATCGAATCTAATTCAAAGCGGGATTCAGTATTCTTCGGATTTCGTTGAAGCGGGATGAGGAAAAGCTTCAGTGATCAACATTATTTTGCCAGGCGTTGACTGGAGTTCGATGTGTTTGACTCGACGATAAGATCTGTTTGCTCATTGGGCAAAAGCTTACAGTTTGAGTCATCGCGCCGCGCAAAAAGACATTGCCGGGGTGTCCAGCATTGGCGACGCGATGGGGGGATACAAAAATGCACCACAGCAATTTGGTAACTCATCCATTCAGTCTTGTCCACTTCAGTTCACTTCAGCCTTACGATTCACAACAGGACTTGAGCTTTCCGATTCTGAACCTGCTTCCGATTCTTAGGTTCGGCAGCTAGATTTGTATTCGTCGAGGTTATTTCATTTACACCCTAGTCAGGAGTGGAAAAATGACGCTGAGAGTTTCATTTCCGTCGAGCCAGCGCCGTCGCCGTGACCTGAGCACGGCTCTTCTCCTCGTCTCGCTCGTTCTGCTCTCGTCTCTCCACGCGGCGATGGCCTTCCGCTTCTCCGCGGGGCTCCGCGCGGACAAGCTGCTCAATATGATGCGTGGATCAGCGCAAGGCGGACGCTTGACCGGCCAGCAGCAGCAACAGCAGCAACAACAGAGCGGCGGAATCGGTGGAAGCAGTATGGGCGGCGGCGGAATGGGCGGCGGCGGAATGGGCGGCGGCGGAATGGGTGGTGGCGGAATGGGCGGCGGAAGCGTGGGTGGCGGCGGAATGGGCGGCGGAAGCATGGGTGGCGGCGGGGGTGGCGCCGGAATGGGCGGCGGCGGCATGGGCGGCGGCGACATGGGCGGCGGTGGCATGGGCAGCGGTGGAATGGGCGGCGGGGGAATGGGCGGCGGCAGCATGGGCGGCGGTGGAATGGGCGGCGGCGGAATGGGTGGCGGCAGCATGGGTGGCGGCGGCATGGGTGGTGGTGGAATGGGCGGCGGCGGGATGGGCGGCGGCGGTATGGGCAGCGGTGGAATGGGCGGCGGCGGAATGGGCTGTCGGGGAATGGGCGGACCTGGGTCCTCTGCTCCCGGATCACAATCGGCCATGGGTCTTGGGGGGAACATGGGTGGCGGCGGAATGGGCGGCGAGGGCATGGGTGGTGGCGGAATGGGCGGCGGGGGAATGGGAGGCGGCGGAATGGGCGGCGGCGGCATGGGTGGCGGCGGAATGGGCGGCGGTGGGATGGGCGGCGGCGCCACGGGTGGCGGCGGAATGGGCGGCGGTGGAATGGGCGGCGGGGGAATGGGCGGCGGCAGCATGGGCGGCGGTGGAATGGGCGGCGGGGGAATGGGCGGCGGCGGCATGGGTGGCGGTGGAATGGGCGGTGGCGGAATGGGCGGCGGGGGAATGGGCGGACCTGGGTCCTCTGCTCCCGGATCACAATCAGCCATGGGTCCTGGGGGGAACATGGGCGGAGGCATGGGCGGCGGAGGGATGGGCGGCGGAGGCATGGGCGGCGGAGGCATGGGCGGGTCAGGGTGGTTTGCTCCAGGGTCGCAGGCAGCACCCGGCCAGGGTGGACCTGGGATGGGCGGAGGGATGGGCGGAGGGATGGGCGGAGGGATGGGCGGAGGGATGGGCGGAGGGATGGGTGGAGGGATGGGTGGAGAGATGGGTGGACCATCGTCGTTTTCTCCTTGATTCAGGTCAGACATCATGAGTCACGGGGGGACACGGATAGCTGTATAGAGGAGGCATGGGTGGTGGAGTGCACAGAGGCATGGAACTTTGAAGGCACAAAGGAAAAGAACAGCTTATAGGCGTCTCAGTGGCATTGCTGCAAGAGCTTGGGTGCAGCAGCATGCGCACTGATGTGCGGGGGCTATCAGTGTAGTGCTGCTTCGTCCAAGCTTGTAGCAGTCATACAGTCAGGATGCTGTGAGTGCATGTGATGTAATGGCTCTTTGTGTAATCTGTTGAGTTGCCAGAGCTTGGGTGCAGCAGCACACGCACTGATGCATGGGGGCTATCAGTGTAGTGCTGCTTCGTCCAAGCTTGTAGCAGCCAGACAGTCTGAGCAGTAGGATGTTTTGCATGTGTAGGCTCTCTGGAATTTTGTGGAGTGGGTGTGTGAGCATATTTCTCAGTTTTGTGAGAATTCTCTCTTTGCTTTCACACAATACCATACAAGGCCTAGCTGTTACATTGAAAGCTTGCCCAGGATGTCAACCAACTAGACATGACTATAGAAACATGTTCCATCATCATGCGTGCCGTAACAAAAATGTCGAGTGTAGCGTACACCCAACTGTTTGGTTGTATAGTTTCGATCAGCCATGGCAGCCGTGCGGTCAAGAGAACAATAACATTTAGCGCCCCTTGACAGCAACCATTTGAAGTTCTATCGCACGTGTGTGCAGGAAAGGCACACAGCAAACATAGCTTAGTATAGAGACGAATGGATACACAATAGAGACTGTACAGCAGTGCAAAAGCCAAGTTGATGAATTTAAACAATTCAGTCTGTAACGAGACCAGCAAGAACGTGCCCAGCTCTATCATGCGCCGGGATCTTCTGCTGGTCCCTACTAGTTCTCTGCCTCGTTATAAGACACCTCAAGACACTAATAGCTCTCCTCTGCTTCGATGTCTGGCCGCGAGAGAGTGTAGTTGAGGGCGTTGAGTGTGAGCTGGGAGGGGTGAGGGAGAGGAGGGGGGCAGCGGGAGACGGTGAGCAAGATTGATTGAGAATGGTTTGCACTTGGGAAGGGGAGGGGGATGGGAATGGGGAGAGAAATTAGGGGACAGACCAGGGGTGTGCTACTGGGAGTTTAAAGAACTCCATAAGGGTGGTGACAATTCACTGAGAGCTGAGATGAAAGAAAACGGGGGATGGTGACGAAAGAGAAGAAGGTAAACCAGAATAAAAGGTGATGAGAGTGATGAATAAAGGCTAAGAGAAATACGAGCCAGCCAGGAGAAAGAGGAAAGAGAGAGTGGTTTAGAGCGTTGGACAATGTGTGCAGGGGAGGAGGCATGAGAGGCAAGATGTGGAATGGGAGCAACGGTGTCGACTCATGATGGACAGGCAGCAGTGCATCTCTTGAGAGAACACTGTTGCATACATGCTCCAATACAGTGTTCGCTCAGAGACTTACTGCTGGAGCAGCCAGCAATGGAGTTGATGGGACGGGTGGCATGAACACCATATGAACACCATATGCCCCCGATTAAATCCCATAGCCCCACAAAATAAGGGGAAACTGCCGGCGAACACTGTGACAAATTCATTCACTGTGATCGTTTCAACCTCGAGACCGTTTCATATCACCGTGTCTCACCGTGGTCGTTTCATCTCACCGTGGTCATCTCATCATCCAGTGGCCCCCCATGGTACGACACCGTGAACACATCCTTCGCCACCACGCCCTGCATGCACAGATATAGAGGATGGGAAATGGGTGGTGAGAGTATGGGAAATGATAATTGTTGTGAAACAAATCCTTCACCACCACACCCTACACGCACACAATGAACGATGGGCCATGCCATGGGAGATGGGTGATGGTGATTACAGTGCAGCATGGGAAGTTCCGTACATGGAGCGCATCCTTCACCACACGACCCCCACCACACCACCCCCACCACACCACCCCCACCCACCCTCAGCACCCCTCAGGACCCATCGAAACAATGCCATACGCACCTCGGTGTCGATCTCTGCTGATGTCACACTAACGGACATCCCTGTCAGCACATCCACAATCTCCATCAGCAGTCCCGGCCGGTCTGCCGCCTCCACCCTCAACTCGCTACCACTGTTGTCCGGGAGGGGTGTGAGCGCCATGCGCGTTGGCACGCTCGCCTGTGGGGTGGAGCATGGGAGTGCATGTAAGGGAGCACACATGAAGGGAGGAGATGCATGCATCAGTTGCCGGTCTGCCGGTCTGCTGCCTCCACCCTTAGGTCGCTGCCCTGTCAGGGGCATGAGTGGCATGCGCGTTGGCATGCTCGCCAGTGGGGTGAAGGCTGAAGGAGAGCAGGGAGAAGGGAGCAGCAGTCACTGGCGAGGAGAAAACTGGATCAGGCAAGTGACCAGGCACCTGTGCTGCAGCAGTCCACGTGCTTGGAGATTTCAGAAGCACGTGTTGCTCCGAGAGCTCACACAACCACACGATGCAGCTGGTGTAGTTGCGAATCGAGATTTCCACCTAGGCATTTGTAGGTCGCATCGCATATGCAGTCACGATGCATTCAAGGTGAGAGTGATTTAACAGGGCCAACTGTACCGTAAGGTGAGTACACCTGTACGGTGGGCCCACACCAGTGCTCCACCCAAGCCTCTCGACCCTCGCCGCAATCCCAACCTCCTGACATTCCCCGCCCTCTGCCCTAACTCCCAACCAGTGCCCCACGCACCACGCACCCCAGTCCCTGCCGCTTTCCCCTCACTCACATAACGAGGTGACTTTTGAGTCGCCTCAAAAGTCAACTCCCAACCATGGCCCCATGCATCCCGTCCCTGCCACCTTCCCCTCGCTCACATTGCAAGGGGGCGAGTCGCATGTGAGGCCCATGGCTAGCTGCGTGCCTGACTCCTGCAGGTGAGCACGGGAAGGGGGAAGAGGGAAACGGGAAGGGGGAAGGGGGACGCGGGAAAGGGGAAGGGGGAAGGGGGAAGGGGGAAGAGGGAAAGGGGAAGGGGGAAGGGGGAAGGGGGAAGAGGGAAAGGGGAAGGGGGAAGGGGGAAGGGGGAAGGGGGAAGGGGGGAAGGGGGAAGAAGGAAAGGGGAAGGGGGAAGGGGGAAGGGGGAAGGGGAAAGGGGGAAGGGGGAAGGGGAAGGAGAGGTGAGGTGGGGTTGGGGGGAGCAGGGTAGAGCACGAGGGAATATACTATAAAACACGGGGAATGTGGTACGAATATAACATTGGGTGGCAGGCACTGCATACAAGCAGCAGCACTCACGGGGTTGCATGCACTGCACATCGGAGCCCTTACGGGGTGGCGAGTTGAGGAGCACTCACGGGGTGGTGAGTTGAGGAGCACTCACGGGGTGGCATGAAAACCGCACACTGCGTCAGAAGTGCAGAGAGCAGCACTCACAGGGTGGTACTTGAGGAGCACTCACAGGGTGGTACTTGAGGAGGTTAGAGATGATGGTGCCTCGAATGGCCTCTATCATCTCCGCACTCTCCACCTTGCCTCCCCTGCGAGTGGAGAGGTGGTGTGTGGGGTGGCAGAGAAAAGGATGGGATGGGATGGGGCAGGGCAGCGGATGAGATTATAAATCAAAAGAAGAAGTCATCTCGTGCCGCTCGCACATGGAGGGTACCTGGGGTGGCATGGCAGGGCAGGGGATGGGGGATGATTTAGTAAGTGGGACGGGTGACATGTGCTTTTGGCATTATCTCTTTCGGCGGTTTTCTATTGCAGGATGAGGCAAGGGAGGGCCGCTTGGAGAAGCGCTGGGAAGGGATCGAGCAGAGAGGGAGGGACGTGAGGGACCACACGGTTTTCCTGCGGATCGAATCCTTCCTTACTCTGCATGAGACATCTCAAAGGGGCGTTACACAATGCGCCAACATTTGATGTGCACATCTGCATGCACCTCCCCCTTCCACGCCTCTCTCTCACAGTCCTGGATGATGGTGACGTCACTGCATGCAAAACTGCCTGCAATCGTCACCCGCCCATCTATTCACAACCATCCCTCGTCCTTTTCCTTCCCATACCTTCCATCCACTACTCTCCCCCCTTTGGCCATCCTCATCCCAACCCCCTCCTCACTCACTCTTCCTTCCTTGCCCACCCCCCCTCCCCCTTTTCCCTCCCCCCCAAACGGCACTCACTCCTGAGTGATGGTGAACGTGTTGCGAGCAACGGTGCCTGCTGTCGTCACGCGTCCCTTCACCACGTTCAGCCCCAGACTGCGCAGCGCCGCCATCTGCCAGGGCGGGGAGGGAGTGGGGAGGCAAGGCAGGGAGAGTGGTGAGCAGAGAGAGGTGAGGCGAGCTCTGAGCGGACGAGGGAGTCACGCGTTCCTTCAGCCCCAGAAACGCGTTCAGCCCCAGAAACGCAGGGTGGGAGCAGGGTGAGGGAGTAGGCGCAGAGTGTGGGGGTGGGGGAAGCGTTAGGGGGTAGGAGCAGGGTGAGCGGCAGCAAGGTGGGCATGCGAGGCAAGAAGGGAAAACAGGGAGGCAAGACGAGCTGAGATTCTCTCAAGTTTGACTTGGATACAGTAAGGATGAAAGGTGGGGAGAGCAGTGACGTGCTTTCTAATTTGACTTGGGTTGGGAATGACCAGCCTTCCACCACATTTGATTCCAGCCCTGTGTGCGGAAAGCACATACAGGTTGCCTCCCTCGCACCCACCGAGCCAACATGAACCACAAAGCACCTGCCTGTCCACCAGCTGCTCACCGTGTCCATGAGTGCCCCCAGCCTGTCCCCGAACTCGAGCTGCACCACCGTTGCATTGGCCTCCGAGTGGTTGGCTATCACCACCACTGTCATCCCCTCCCTCTCCACCCCACCCCACCCCACCACACCACACTACACCACACCCCACGCCACCACACCACACCGCATCCCTCACCCTCCCCTGCACTCACCGTGTCCATGAGAGCCCCCAGCCTGTCCCCAAACTCCAGCTGCACCACAGTCGCATTGGCCTCCGAGTGGTTGTCTATCACCACCACCGGCACCGGTACCTCCTCTGTCTGCGCCTCCGCTGTGGTTGCTGCTGCTGCCACCACTGGTGCGCGGCTGGCCTGGTGGTGGGAGAAGGCAGAGCGACGGGGAGCATAGGGAGGAAAGACGGGGATTCTGTATAACTTCCCCATGTCTGAAGGCCTCCGAGTGGTTGTCTATCACCACCACCGGCACCGGTACCTCCTCGGTCTGCGCCTCTGCTGTGCCTGCTGCTGCTGCCACCACTGATGTGCCGCTGGCCTGGTGGTGGGAGAAGGCAGAGCGATGGGGCAGACAGGGAGAAAGAACGGAAAATCCGTTTTATGTTCAAAATGTTGGGAGCCCCTCTTGAGTCGGCTAAAAAGCTGCCAGTGGTTGTCTATCACCACCACTGACAGCGGCACCTCCTCTGCCTGCGCCTGCATTGCTATTGCTGCTGCTGATACTAGTATGCGGCTGGCCTGTGGAGGGACAAAGGGGGAAATGGCAGAACAATGGGGCGGATAGGGAGAAAGAATGGAAGTTTTGCGATTCCTTTCCATATTGGACCATATTGGAAGGCCTTCCAACGTGGTCACATCCTCCTCTGTCAAAAAGAGCGCATTTTGGATTTCATACACTGGTTGGCAGTCACCACTGCCAGCACCGGCACCTCCTCTCCCTCTCCTTTCCTTGTGAGCTGCTACTGCCACTGCCACTGCCACTGCCACTGCAACCTGCTGTTTGCCCCTCCGCTGCTGCTTGTCCTGCTGCTGCTGCTGCTGAAGTGTGGTTGGCCTGAAGATGGGGAAGAGGAAGGTTGGAGGTGGGGGAAAGAGAGAAGGGAAGTTCCACCACAGACACACTCATGTTTATCTAATGGTATCTCAACGGTACCAGCCCCATTCCTTCATCAGCAGCCCCTCTGCTGCTGCTGCTGTACCATGCCAGGCTGTCCTGCTACGTTGCCACGTCATCCCATGCTCTCGTGCCACGCTGTTACAGCACCCCATGCGACAATGCTCCTGGATTTAAGTCATGCCATGAACTTCATGCGTCGCCACGACATGCCTGCCACAACTTTCCATGCTTCTCACCTTCCGTACAGATCGTGGATTAACAGGCGCACGGGCGGAGAGGGCGGAAGGGGCTGCGCAAGCAGCAGGGGGGACGGCGCTGCTGGGTGGGGGGCCGAGTGAAGCGGGAGTGGGGGGAATAATTTGGATGCGGTGTGATTAGAATAGTGCTCAAACAGCATGAGAAAATACTATATCTCGTTCATTCTTTCATTCTTTCTTCTTTTGGTTCCCCTTTCAGATCTCAGCAGGAAAATTTCCCAGTACCCTCGACAACACAAACAGCTGCCAGCACATTTCCTACGCAGAGTCGAAGTTACGCAGGGACAATGTGAGGAGCGGGGGGAGTAAGATAGACGACATGCGGAATTAGCGGAGAACGAAGAGCGAAAAAAGAAAGTAGCCGTACTGTACTCGGCTCACAGTGGAATTCTTGTTCATTCTAAGCGTAAATTATACAATTTATACGGAATTGCACGTTGCGCCGGATAAATGAGAACCACGCGTAACCCGGAATTCGAGGTTCGCCTCGCATGTGCGAAGTCACGCATCAGGCTGAATTCTGCACGAATCCCGCCTCGATTCGACGAGGCACGCTGTTGGAAAAGCACAGACTTATGGGAGGGGGACGGCTGGAGTGGACGTGGAAAAAGACGACACGCGTGCGAGAGGAGGAGGAAAACAGATTAACAACCAATAAGCACAATCGCTGCGGCTGTTGCGTACCTTCTTTGTCCGCGATGGGGGTTTCTCAGCGGACGACCGGTGTCCAGCGAAGAAAATCTGGGACCGTTGAAAGTGGTGGCACGCACAACAGAACTATTCGTCGCCACGTTAGACATGCCGGACACCGCGAAGGCGGTAGAAACGGCGGAGACGGCGGAGACGGCAGCCATGTCGGAAAATAGGTGCGTGGACGATGATGCCAACAGCGCGACGGTGTTACTGGCAACAAGTGATGCGCCAAAGTTCGCAAGCTCCCTGTCAACGTTAACCGCGACACGTGATGAGCACTGTCGTCGGCCGGGTAACGAATCCCAGTCAATTACGGAGCGCACTAGACGGCACGGTCAGGGACGAGATGACCACCAACCTTCTTGAAACTGTGCTTTCATGCAAGCTATGGTTGAATACACCAATCTAGTAGGGGAGGATAGGCTGGTGAGAGGACATTTGAGGAATCTCTGGCCTCCCTGCTGCGTCCGAATGCTGCTGCTGCTGCTGCTGCTGCTGCTGCTGCTGCACTGACTTGCGCTGTAGCATTTCGGGGATCTCGAGGTGGACAGATAGTTCCTCGCTCTCGGTGCTTGATTTGTGCCGCAAATGAAGAATCAGGAACGAACAGGTGACTGTATTGAAGGAACTCGGCGGTCTCACCACATTGACCAATGACGGGCGCGTCCAGATGCTTTGGAGATTCCTCCACGCTGGCATTGTCGCTCGCATTGTCAGCTACGCCACATGGCGGCACGAACTGGTGGAGAACATGTTGACCTGGGTCCCAAGACAATCTCTTACGTGGCACTACTTCACTCCTGAACTCGATAAAATCCTTAAATTACACTGAACCTTTCTAACGCTTACTTCTACGAAGTCTACAGAAATACTTATTGAAAAAACATCACATACGATACAATGCCCATAACTTCATTACGACCCCCTCTACTTGCACAGCTTGTGCTGCGCCATAACACACTGCAACAGTTCTAAACGCCAAAAAACTCCTTGTGCAGCAGCTGCACCAGCTCTGTGGCTTGATCATCATCCACTACCAATGCAATGTTCACCTGCAGACAGAAAAAAGGAACAGTCAGCCACAAGTCAAGAATGACTCAGTGAGATAAAGCTTGTTCGAACTCTGCGGAAACCTCACACCCCAGAAACCCCTCCCTGATCTCACCTTGGAAGCTCCCTGCGAGATCATCTGCACGTTTGTCCCGTTTCGTCTGAACACGCCAAACACCTTCTCCAGAATCACCGACGACCGCGCCACGTTCCCAATCAGACTAATAATCGACCGCCGCTGCAATAACTTCACCACCGCCACCTGCTCGAGCGCCTCCACCATCTTATCCAGCTCCTGCTGAATCAACTCCCGAGACCACAGCTTCGCCGGGTCCAGTGTGAGCGACAGGCTCACCTCACTCGTTGCCACCACATCCACCGAAATCCCCTGCGCCTCGAAAATCGCGAAAACTTTCGCGAGGAACCCAAACTGCCCGAGCATCCTCAAGCTGACCAGATCCAGCAGGGTAACCCCACGTTTCACCACGATACTGGTCAGCAGCGCCGACGACAGGTCCCTCTCTTGGGTAATCAACGTGCCGGGTGCGCTGCGATTGTACGAGTTCTTCACCCTGACTGGAATGTTCCCCTCCCGCGCCGGCCGCATGCTCTGCGGGTGCAGCACCTGCGCTCCGAAATACGCCAGCTCGGAAGCTTCCTCGAAGGTGAGGAAGGGCACGGGCACGGCGGGGCGGTGGAGGTTGGGGTCGCAGGTGAGCACGCCGTCCACGTCCTTCCACACCTGCACCTCCCGCAGCCCCAGCGCTCGCCCTATGATGGTTGCCGTCAGGTCGCTGCCTCCCCGGCCCAGTGTCGTTGTTGCCCCCGTCTTCTTGCCCTGCAGGAGGGCGGAGGGGTGAGGGGTGGAGGGTGAGGGGCGAGGGGAGATGGGTGAGAGGAGGTACGACATGCTGTTGATAGTGATGCTGATGACATGGAAGCAAACCACAGTGTAACCACACACAGAGAGGTGTTCTTGCAGAGCTCCACTAAACACCCATTGGTTGCAAGTGCATGCCCACACACAACTGTCAGAATGTTTTCCTGGACCCCCCATTTACTCTCCCTCTCCCTACTCCACTCACCCTGCCGAGAAAGCCAGTGACCACCGGAATGAACGCCCTGCTGCGGCTGTCATCCCCAGTGCCAGCAGCAGCCTCCCGGTGAGCATGGTAGGCAGAGAGGAGGGAGTTGGCCACGGCGGGGTAGGTCTCGTCCAGCACGTCCGCGTTGGTGAACTCGTCCGTTGTTATCACTCCCATGTGGAACGCGTCGAACTGCAGAAAGGGAGGGGGAGGGGTGGAGGGAGGGTGGATTTAACGGCACAGGTGGCGTCAGCAGCAGCAGGCGTTGGTGAACTCGTCCGTGGTGATCACACCCATGTGGAACGCGTCGAACTGGGGAATGGGGGAGTAGGTGGGGGTGGGGGGGGGGGGGGGGTGGGAAGGGGAAGGGAAAGGGGGAGGGGAGAAGAGGGGAGTGGAAGGAGGGTGGATTGATGGCACAGCCAGGGTCAACAGCAGCAGGGCACGTCCGCGTTGGTAAACAGGCCCGTGATGACAACACCCGTTTAGAACGCGTCGAAATGGTGAAGGGAGAGAGTGAAAGGAACGGAGATGGGTATAGCGGAGGGGGACTAGGAGGGAGAAAGGGAAGGGACATGGGAAGGCGTCAAATGGAGGAGGGAGTGGGGGAGGGGGGGAGGGAGGGAGGGAGGGAGGGAGGGAGGGAGGGAGGGAGGGAGGGAGGGAGGGAGGGAGGGAGGGAGGGAGGGAGGGAGGGAGGGAGGGAGGGAGGCAGGGAGGGAGGGAGGGCGTGGGTTGGACGGCACCGTACCTGCTTGGAGTCGACAAAAAACACAGAGGACGTGGTGGAGAAAGGGAGGAAGCCAGGGAGGGAGGGCTTGGTCTGCGCCATACCTGCTTGGACGGCACTCCCAAGGAGTTGAGGTAGGCGGCGAAGATGCGCGTGGAGCAGCGCTCGCCGAACGACACGAGGTAATCCGAGGACCGCGGAGTCAGCTCGCGCATCAGCGCTATCCCCGTTACTAGCTGCTGCAGCTCGTGCATCAGTTCTGGTCAGAGGGGACAGGGAGATAATTGAAGCAAGGGGAAGAGGTGAGTGAGGAACCAGATGAGAGCAGATGAGAGGAGCTGAGTGGACGGTTGACATAAGCAGCGCAAGAGGATTCAATAAGCAACTTGCGCACTGCACAAATCGCAGCGGAAGGGTTTAAAAGA